GATTTGTCTTTGATCACAACCTGCCTGCTGGCTGCCTCCCCACTGCCTACAAACATTGCCTTCTGCTGCCCAAGTTGGGGGGGGGGTGGTTTCCAGGGAAATTTTGGAGCAAAACAGGCAAGTAATAACCCCTTTATATACCTAAGAAGTACTGCATGGCGTCCATTTGTTACGCATCTTGTCAGCATGCTTATGTGCCAGGAACATATACAAAGACAAAAACAAAAAGTTTTACCTTCATAAAGTTTATGTTCTTTTTTTATGTTTCTTATGTTCTTTAAGGGGAAACTGCATAAGTAACTACAAAACATAGCATAAATGTTAAGTAAGAGGCAGTGTGAATGTGTTTAGTGCAGTGTTAGCCTCCTAGTCAGGAAGACCTGAGTTTACCATTAGCCCCTCAGAGATACTGGTTGTATGACCTTCGCCAAGTCACCTAAAACAGAAATCCTCTAAGGCTATATTGTAGGCTCGGAGATATAAAGATGGGACCTCAGAAGCTGTCTATTCCACTCCCCTTATTTTACAGTTGAGGAAATTGTGGCCTAAAGTTGTGAAATGAATTATCCAAGGTTGTACAGATAGTAAGTAGCAGAGAAAGTTCCTCTGACTCAAAATCAAGGTTATAACTATCACTGTGTTATGTTACTTGCCTATATTCCGTCATAAATTTATTATTAAAGGCACATTAGAAACTAAGATTGATGTCTGTAGGGTGCCAAAAGGAGCTAGCTCTATTTCTAATCCACTGGGTACTAAGGAAGGTTAATTTTGTGAAAAGTTTAAGATTGGAGGGCAGTTAGGTGGTACAGGTCCTGGAGTCAGGAGGACCTGAGTTCAAATCCGGCCTCAGGCACATAACAGTTACTAACTTTGTGACCTTGGGCAAGTCACTTAACCCCATTGCCTAACAAAAACCAAAAAAAAAAGAAAGAAAGAAAGAAAAAGAAAAAAAGTTTGATTGGTTGAAACTTCATAACTTTTCTTTTGTTATTTTTTTAAACCTCTGTTTTCTGGGTTTGGTGGCTACAAAAACTCATAGAAAACATCAAAAGGATACTGTACTTACTTCACAAGAAGGGTGGTGGAAGTGAGAGAAATGGAGTTGCAGATAGACTGCTGTTGATTTGCTTTGGTACAGGGAGTTTCCTGTATTGATGAAATCACATGTCTGTTCCAAAATAAAAAGATATAGTCACTGGAGGTAGGGTTGGGGAAAGCTCTAACAGCTGGGGCGATCAGGATTGTTTTTTGATTGTGTACTAGTAAATTTTGAGCATGCACCACATTATTATTTTGATTTAATTATTTTAATTCAATAAAAATCCTCGTTCTTTCCTTTCTTCCTCCCTTCTCACACATTGAAAAAGAAAGCAAAACGTAATTCTTGTGACAGATAATGTCTAGTCAAATAAAGCAAATTCCCAGATTGGCCATGTCCAAAATATGTCTCCCTCTGCATCACGAATCCATCACCTCTCTCTCAAGATAGAACATTGCATCGTGAATTCTCTATAGAATTTCTAGAATTGTCTCTAGAATCAAGCAGTCAAGATTGGTTATGTTTACATTATGTGTGTCATAAAAGTTATACAAAAATAGAGACTGAAGGATGTAAAAAGATGAAATATTTGATCCTAGAGTCAAAAGAGAGCCCTTGGAGTTTATTGAGTAGAGGCATGACATCACTTTGGTAGCCTTGTGGAAGATAGTTTGGACAGGGAAGAAACTTGAACAAGGCAGAAAGATAAACCAGCACTCTGTTGTAGTAGTCTAGGTGAAAGGGCCTTCGTCAGAGTGGGGGCAGCATGAGAACAGAGAAGTAATATGTATGAATGATGTTGCAGAAGTAGAAATGATATACTTGCAAAGGATTGGTTGTATGGGATGAAAGATGGTGTGGTGTTGGCTTTGGGCACCTGGATGCCTGGAAAGGTGATGGTGTCCTTGACACTAATATCAGGAGGTTTGGAGGAGAGATGGATTTTAGAAGAAAGATAATAGTAGTGAGATTTGTGATGCAGAGCACAATCCCAACCATGCTTGCTCATTCTTTTTGCCTCAATCTTTCCCACTCAGAACCAAAGCAGGGTGAGTCTTTTATAGACTGGTAACTGGTAAAGGAACCTGACCCTGGGGAGTTGAGGTACCTGTCACATCCATAAGGTGATTGAGGAGATTTAGGGAGGAGGGCATGTTAGGGTGGAGGGAAGAATTTTCCCAGTATCCCTCACATAACTGTTGTGGGTGACCAGATAGTGGTTAGATTGTAACTGCCCAGTGGAGGCATTCACAGAAAGTGAAAGGTTTGGCACTTTCACAAGGAAAGGAAGGAGTTGGGTTGGGGGAATGTTGGTGGATAAAGGTGGTTTTGGAGACAAGCCCAGTGACTGGTTATTGCTTGGTGGTCCACACACCCCTTGGGATCAGGCCCCCTTTTACAGGCACCATTCATCCTATCTCCCAGTGGCTACTCTTATCTCCACTGTCTTTGATCTTCCAAGGCCTGGTTCCTTGCATGTCTGATACAGATTTGGTCATGTCTCCTCCATACTTAAAAAAACCCTCACTTATTCCTGCCTTCCCCTTTAGGTAATATCCTCATTTCTTCTACTTCTTTTCTGATTTCTTTTACTAGCTGCTGGCTTCATTATTCAGTGGAAACTCCTCACTCCAAAGTTCCCATGATCTTGTAATTGCAAGATCTAGTGGCCTTTTCTTGAAAGTTCTCTTTCTGCCTTTGACATTGTTAGTCATCATCTTGTAGATACTGTCTCCTGAGTTTTTGTGAAACTTCTCTCTTCTTGGATCTCCTCCTACTTATCTCACCATTTTTCTGTCCTCTTTGTTGGATTTATCAGTATCCATGGCATACTCAGCAACTGATGATGAGTGTTCCTAAAGCTCTTTCCTGAGAACTCTTCTCTTTTCTGTATTTTCTTGGTATATTTTCTAACCTGAAGCAAAGAAAACAAACTTATTTCCTTTAGCCCCCGCCTACTCGCTACTGTGTTCCTGACCAATTCGGTGTGTGGCATATAATAGGTATTTAATAAAATGCTTATTGATAACTGATTGATTGAGTAATTGAACTGGGACTTAAAAGAGGAAAAAAAGGAGGAAGGAGGTAGCTTCCAAGCAATTGCAGAAAAATACCTGATTATAATCATTGTGATCATCCATTCTCTCTCTCCATCCAAGTAGCTCAGATTGGATTTCTTTTAATTGTATATAATACTTTCAGATTCTCATTTTATAATAACTTTGATATTGGTTATAACAGTCAATAATCTGACTTTACAAAGTGAATTGATTTGGAAATTGCTCCCACGTCAGGAATGAGTCATTTTCTCTTTATTTAAAATATAATTGGTTTTATTTTTTGGTGCTTACCTTGTTCAGTGCCTTCTGACTCTTTTGGAAGAAAATATTGGTAATTTATGTGTGTGAGACTTCTGTGTAGTCTACCATTTGCCTTGTTTCTTCTGAGCCATAACTTTCCACATTGCATGCTGTTCTCCCTTATGCTTACTTTTGCTTTGAGGTTAATGAGTATTAAATATTTTAACATTTAATTTATAAGGTCTTACCGAGTGTTTTTGGTACTTTTTCTTTACTTCCCAAGCCTGTGCTACCAATATTGACGTAAAAGTTGCAATTTTTTTCCTTGGAGTCTTTTTTTTTTCTTTTTGCAAATACTTATCAGAAACATTGTGATATGAGATAACCAAATGTCCTAAGAAATGATGTTTCCTGTTGCCTTTATATTATGATAAAACCAATGCTGCTACTTCCTAGGCAAGAGAGCACAAGAGTCATTCCATTAAGCTACACCATTTTATTTCTGGTTTCCTTTGTAGGATTAATGTCTGATACAATTCATGCCCTCCGGTATTTTCAAAGATCTCATATTTTAGAATACCAGGAGCTTAGTTAATTGTTATAGGTGATCAGAAATGTATAGGATTCCTAATACCCTCTGTCCACTTTTCTGACACTGTCATAGCAGAAATAGAAGAGGGAGTTCCTCAGAGAAGGCCAGGAGCCATTGTGTATTTGATATTGAATGGTGTACTTGCTCCGTACATAGGGGATGTTTAATAAATAGTTGTTGATCAGCTCCCTGCAATTAAGAGAGCTGCCCAGCTACTGACAAGTTAAGTGACTTGCCTAGGACCATACAGTCAGCCTGCGTCAGAAGAAGGGCTTGAACCCAAGACTTCCGGATTCTGGTAGACTTCTCTCCAGCCCCTCAATGTCCTGCCATAGATCTAAGAGCCATTGCCAGTGGTTTGGAGTGCGAGGAGTCTGTGGAGTACCTCTTTTAGATGACAGTTTCCTTGGTGTAAAATGAAAGGATTTGACTTGACCATCTCTAACAGCCCCTCAAACTCTGCGATTCTTTGACATCATTGCTGTACAGTCGGTATATCATGCACTGAGGAGCTGTTTCTGCTTTGGTCTGGGAATCTGACTACCATTGATATTAACATTTTACCAAAAACACTGAACAGCGATTTAATTTAGGTATGAACTGTTAGGTGTGCTTGAATTTTAATGGTGTTTCCTATATTGTCATAAATGGGGATTGAAAAATCTCAGTCACTGTACTAATCAGAGGATGGGTGGCAGCAGGCCTTGCCTGCCCTAATGCAGAGGTTTTTCACCTTTTTTGTGTTATGGACCCTTGTGGCAGTCTGAGGCCTATGAACCCGTCTCAGAATAAATGCATAAAATCAAATACATACAATTATAAAAGAAACTAATTACATTGAAATATAGTTATTGAAATATTAAACAAGTTCATGGATCCAAGGTTATGAATCCCTGCTTGAAGGTTTCTACCTTTTTGAAAATATTAGTAGGTTCCTAGTTCTCTAATTGAAAAAAAAAACAAAAAACTTGAGGTTGTTCTTAACTCTGTGACTAACTTTATGGTGATGATCTTTTTTCCTAGGTATTTCACATTAAAAAAATCTCCTGTAAAAATTTTGAAAAGAATGGCAGCAGAAACTCAGACACTTAACTTTGGGCCTGAATGGTGAGTTTCTCCTTTTTTTCATTTCATTAAACATTGAGTGATCTTGGGAAACCTAACATCTCTCAGGGGACTATTATAACTAATACTATGATGTTTGCATATAGTATATAGGAGAAGTTTGTGAGCAGCACAGTATTTGTAAGGCACTTGGGAAAATCTTTGCAATTCAGAGTATTTTTATTTTTGCATATGAGTCTTAGGCTTTTGACTTAGATGAAAAATTAATATACTTTTATAAGACCCAAGAAGATCTCATAACTGATTATCTGTTCTGTTGGGGGAGAGTGCTGCTGTAGAAGATCTCAAAGGTTGATTAATAACAAGATTTCTTTTTGACCATTGAGTGCATATAATTTATTTTTATAGTAATTGTTTTTTCATAGATGTTATTCTGAAACTATTAAGTGGTTTGCATTTCCTAAATGGGCAAGAAGCTCAGAAACATACTGGATTAATTTTATTTAATTACTTTTTTAAGTTACTACTAATGATCCGTACTTAAATAATTTCAAGTTAACTTCATTGTTGCCTGTATTCAGAATATAACCTTTATCATAAAAGTTGAATTTATTATAACATATTATGGTTAGTTTTTTCCTCCTATAACTTTCATCATGATGTCCTTTCTGTCATGGTTTGAATAATAATCCATTGCTCTTTCAATCCTTAATACAACTCCTTTTGTGGTGCCAGGTGCTGTGTTTTTGTTTTTTAAATATAAGCACATGTGTATGGTAGGGGTTTTATATTTTTCATATTTGAGAGGCAAGATGCTGTAATGGATAGAAAATGGACTTAGGAATGAAGAAGACCTGTATTTTGTCTCTACATGAAATCCTGTCAGGTAAAAAAAAAAAAAAATCATCTTCTTACGTGGTATTCTGTTGGGATCAGTAAGGGTAATCTTCACTTTTGCAAATCCTAGTTTTTCTTCCTTTTTAATCCTTTTTTAAAAGTATAATATTTAGTTTTATTTTTAAAATTTATTAATAGTTATATTGTCAAAAGATACTTCCGAATAAATATACAATCCCATACTAAGTACATTCCTAAAAGCCATTACTTTATCAATAATTTATAGAAAGGAAGGATCAGTGGATCCTTAAAGACTCTTAAGTTTGGTCCCTTCCTTTCATGATGAGTAAATCAAGGCCCAGAGAGGCTGAGAGCATCACTAGAGTGTGAGAAGCAGACGACAGGCGTTTGAATGCAAGTCCCAGGACTGTCCAGTCAGCAATCATGCCTGCCTCCCCTTAGTGCCCTCCTGGGTCCTGGAGATTTTTGGCTGTCTAGCTCTGTCTCTGCATGCAGATTACATGTATGTGATTACAAAGAGCAGTAAATTTATACTTAGAAAAATTGGACTTCGGTTTCTACCTTCTTATTTATAATAACCATGTGACTTTGGTAAAGTCATTTCCCCTCTTTGACCCTCATTTTCTTCATATGTAAAACAGACCGCACAGTTGCATGATAACGTGCATCTGTACCTATATGTGTGTGTGTGTGTGTGACTTGATGAACTATGTCAGCAGGACTCTTGGTCCAGCTGCCTGACTTAGTGGTTGAAATGCCCTGTTGATGTTTATTTTTCATTTGTGGTTGGTTTGACCAGTTCTTTTCTAATTGCGGTGAGCATTTTTTGAGGGCAGAGATGGTTTTTGCTTTTATTAGTATTTCTAAATATTAGTGTAAAAATTCTGTGGTAAATAATAAGTTGTTAATAAATGCTCGTTGAGACTCCATGCCAAACTGGTTGCCTAACAGCCCTATTCTACCAAAACCCTGAAGTTTGCTGCAGACTAATAATGATCAGTTAATTAAGTAAGAAACTACAATAAAAGACTTCTTCTACCCCAGAATTGCACAGAAATACAAAATTGACTGGCTCCCTACCAGCAAATCCACTGTGAGTGCAGTTCAGCTTTCCTTGTGAGACCAGAGCTGGCCAGGGACGTGATTATGTAGCCTGCAATCCTCTGTGTCCAGATGCAATAAGACTGGAGACCTAGCTTTGAGGAGGCCCCAGGTGGGGGTCTTAGAAGCCTCAAGGAGTGGCAGTGATGATGCCACAGTGTTCCACATGCTGAATCCTGGTTTCCCACAAAAGTCCCTGAAGATGCAGCTCGTTGAACCTCAGAAATCCAGAGGAGGCTAGACCTGGGGAGGTAGGGATCAGTAGCAAAACCCGAGCGACTCAGAGTGAAACCATCAGGGTAAGCCTGTCCAAAATGGGGGAAAAAACAGGCAAAAAGTCCCAGCAAGCTGAAGGGGTGAGCAAGTCAGAGAAAACACCATCTAGTATCAAAAATTATTGCATTTCTAACTTCGATTTTTCACAAGGATTACATGAATACCTAGGAGAAATTCAATTATAAAAAATGAAATAAAAGATCTGGAGGAAAGAATTGGAAGGAGAATAGGTAGTTTAGAATAGAGAAACTGGTAAACCTCACTGAAGAAATAAGATGATTTGAAAATTAAAATTTTCCAAACTGAAATCAGATTCCATGAGATAGCAAGAAATATTAGAACAAAATCTGAAAATGGGAAAAGTAGAAGAAAAGATAAGCTATCAGATCAGAAACAATTGATATGGAAAACAGGTCAAGAAGAGATAATTCAATAGTCATTGGACATCTAGAAAACTGTGATACTCTTGTTTTCAAGAAATTATAAATGAACACTGACAAAATCTATTAGAATAAAGACAGAAGAGAGCTACCCATCATCTACTGAAAGGAATCCAAATGATTAAGTCTCAGGAATATCATATCCAAAATCCAGAGCTTCCACATCAAAGAAAAAGACTACAAGCATGCTGAAAAGAGCCGTTCAAGTCCAAAGAACTGCAGTCACTATCATGGTAGCTTACTCTGTAAAGATGAGAAGGTCTGCACTACAAAATCCCAAAAGGTTCCAGAGATGGGCTAAGAGGTAACAAGAACTCAGCTTGCAGAGCGGAGCAAGTATGATTCTTCAGGGGGGAAAGTGGTTCTTTTTTCTTTTTTTTTTTGAAGGCAACTGAGGCTCAGTGACTTACCTGGGGTCACACAGCTAGTAAGTGTCAAGTGTTTGGTCTGAGACCAAATTTGAACTCAGGTCCTCCTGACTTCAGGGCTAGTGCTCTATCCACTGTGCCACCTAGCTGCCCCATGGAAAAAATGGTTCTTGATTGGAATAGGGAACTTGCAAGTATTCCTCCTGAAAAGAAGAGAGCTGAATAGGAAGTTTGAAATACAAACCTGAGAGTCCAAACAGACCTAGAAAGGTCAATTGATTTGAGTTTTTGGAAGGGGCTTATCCTGTGATGGGGGAGAAGAAACAAGTATTTTTTCAGAACATTAATGACTTCAAAGAATATGAAGGAAGTTGAGTAAGAAAACAGGGCCTGAGGGTGGATTGGTTGTGTTCTGAAGGTTTTAGGAAAGAGAAAGGAGAGTAAAAGAAAGAATGTGTAGAAACAAGAAAAAGGGAATACTTGCTCTTTCTTATAAATGGGACGCATGAGAATTGTATACAAACATGAAGAGAGTGTGGGGGGGGGACTAAACATCAGATGACCTCACTCTTATCTGGGGGGAAGAAAAAAGGGTTGAAAACTCAGACACATGCAGTGAAATACAGCAGATTCAACAGGGAAATAGCCAGGAAGGGGTTTGGGGGGGCATGTAAAAGGGGTAGGATGATACTGGGGAGCAAATAGTCACAAACCTACAGTCTTCCTGATTTTGATGGAGGGGAATAAGAAGGGGAAAAGTGGAAAAGAACCCAAGTGGTGTGAGCCTTAGATTGCCTCTTAGACAACTGGGGAAAGGCTGACTAAACCGTGGCATATAAATATAAAGGAATACTAGTCCTCAGTAAGAGGTGATAAACAAACGGAGAGAATTCTGGGTAGTGTGAACTGAGGGAGAACCAAGAGAACATTTTATAGAAAGGTTATATTGTAAAGAAAAACCAACTTTGAAATGCTTAAGAGCTGATCAAAGCAGTATTCAACCTCGTTTCAGAGAATCTGGGATGAGACATACTGCCTACCTCCTGATAGAAGGGCAAGGCTACTGTATTTCTTTGGCTTGACTATATTTGCTTGTTATTTGGGTTTCTTCTCTTCCTTTCTTTAATTAAGAAAGGGTTAACAGTAGTGATACTAAGAAAAAGAGGGGCCTTTTAACACTTTTAAGATGCCCAAGGCGTATTACATTCCAATAGGAGGACAAAAGCTTGTTAGTTCTCACATGTTGGATACAGAACATAGAGGGTTTGTAACTGAAGCCCCCAGAGTGCAGGGATGAGGCCTCTTTTGTGTCTCAAGTGCCTAGCACAATTGTTTGTTCTTGGTAGATTATGAAGTGTTTGTTGAGATAAGTAAAATTGAATTCATGAAAGGGAGTTGTCATGTGAAGTAAGGTTGGGAAATTGGGTTTGATTCAGGGGTCTCATGCCAGCTTGAGGGATTTAGACTCATATAAGGGAGCTAAAGAGGGTTTCAGTCAATGGAATGATGAGGTCAGATCTGTGCGAAGAATAAATTAGAATGGGGAAAGGTTGGCTATGGATATCAGTTAGGAGGCTATTACAGCAATCAAGACCAAGAATATATATATAGTCTGACGTAGAGTGGGGAGGAGGGGGCTGAGGCATTAAGGTGGAGGAAATGAAGGAGGAAGGAATGTTAAAAGACTAGGAAAATAATAGTAACATTTCTCTTGGTTTGAAAATTTGCAAAGAACCTTACACAAGGAAGATTATGATTCTAAGAGATAAAGTACAAAAATCTGAATATCAGTGGAGTAGATTTTAGCTTTTCTCCTCAGTTAAGGAGTCATCTTTCCTGGCATTGTCTGCTGGGATCAATGTACCTTAGGATTTCCTCAGTTCTTTTCTTACATAAACTCTAGGGCAACACAATCTAAGACTTTCTTGATAGATTTTCTGGAAGAAGACAAATGACTTTAAACTATTTATTTACATCTTATAGAAAAAAATCCAGACTGGAAAACTCAAATTTCCCCTTTTATGTTTTTAAATTAAAAAAAAATTTTTTTTCTAAATAATGAAAATCTACCTTCTCTCCCTCTCCTCTCCCACTGAAAAAGAAACACAAACCCCTTGCAACAAACATGCCCACTCATGCAAAACAAATTCTTACTTTGATCATATCAAAAAATATATATCTCAATTCTCACCCTGAATCCATCACCTCTTTGTTAGGAGGTAGGTAGCATGTGCCTTGCTTGGGTCCAGTGGAAATGTGAGGTTGGTCATTTCATTGATCAGAGTTATAAAGTTAAAAGTTTTTCATGTAGTTTGCCTTTACAATGTTGTTATTGTATAAACTGTCCTCCTGGTTCTGCTCCCTTCTGTCTGCATCAGCTCAGGGAAGTCTTCTCAGGTTTCTCTGAAACAATGCCTTTCATCCTTTCTTACATCATAATAGTATTCCATTACATTCAGGCAGCATAACTTGTTCAGCCATTCCCCAGCTGATGGACCAGCATCCCCATTCTTTGCTAGATCACAGAAGAGCTGCCATCATATGATTGGTATAAGAATATTGGCTCCTTTCACCTAGCACAGGCCCCAGCACATAGTAGGTACCAAATAAAGATCTGTTGATTAGATTGATTGATTTATCACATTTAGATTTATTTTGGATTTTGAAATTGAGGTCATCAGTGTAGACCGTAGTATATAAAGATTTTTTTGGGGGGGGGGAAGATGCTTAAAGTGTCTGGTATGTTGGAGATTTGGGTGAGAGATTTTTGTGGGTTGGGAGAGACAGCAATAAGTATATCATTAATCTTGAAGCTCATCTGACTCAGTTCTATTGGCATGTGAGACTGACGCTGCAGGCACTATTTTTATTATGAATAGTATATTCAGAACTGTATCGAACACATTTTCTGTGTTGTACTAAACCCCATGTTAAGCAACCTCTCTTTAAAACCCAAAGTAGGAATTTCCAGTTACCAGATTAGGAATGAGATCTTGAAATGGTTTCTTTTACATTGTTAGCTACCCTGGTTGTTGAAAATGAGTCACTTTCTAGGCAGTAGGTGAGCCTGGCCATGTTCTGGATGCCTGAGTGGAGGACAAGGGCAGGACTGAGTTCTGGTGATTGATGAGGTGGACTCTTCTCTTATGAATGATTTTGCATCTTTAACAGCTGGGCAATTTTTGTAACATGAATAATTAGGATTTATTATATGGAGATTTACTGGTATTAGTTTGAAATGATTTGTTTGCTTGATGCAAAGAAGCGCATTGTTATTGAAATCACTGTATCTGTGCTGTGCTGAGAGTTGCATTCATTATGAAGGCAACTGCCACCTCCTTTCCACATGACAGGTGTATAAAGAAATCATACTCTAATTACTTCGAATGAGGAACAAGAGATAATTCTGTCTACCCTGTTATATTTTGTTTACTTGCAAAGGTGAAAATGTGTATTTTAATGATTGATTTGAGAGCTTGATAACAAGCTCTCGTATGGCCACAAACAAAGTGCATTGTTTTGTAATTTACATGTGTCAAGTTCACATCTGTGTTGTTCATTGTTGATAAGTCTGAGATGTTCCTAGTGTGGTGGGCCTTATTCGGTTAAGATAATATGAATTATGGAACTTTAGGTAGCCAATGGTTCTTCTCTGCTGTGTTGCTTATACTTTAATATCTCAATAGTTCGCATCAAAATGGATCATCTTTTCAGTGGTGGGGATTTTAACTCACCCACACTTTATCATCTTGTATACTTTTTTCTCCTTACATGAATCCTAGTGCCCACCCAATATAAAGGGTGCTTTCTTCTAGATCAGTGATGTACAAATTGTTTTGATCATGCATACTCTTGGTTTAAAACAGTGAGCAGGCAGCCCTAGCATATTCTGTTTATTCATGAAATGTATATGTGTATGATTATATCATGTACGTTATTTAAAATATACACAAAAATAGAACTTAAGGTTGAGACAAAGATAAAATAAACAATATTTTAAAATACCTTAAATTTTATTTTATAAATAAATTGTCCACTAAAATAAATAACTTTTTAAAAGAAAATCTGATTGAATGTATTTCATTGTTTTAAAGAATCTTACCCTCTGTGGTAAAGTGATTCAAAAGTTTAAGTTGAGTTTTATTTTGATGCCTAATATTTAACGGCTGTCATGGCTGAAATACATACTTAATAAAGAGACATAGATCAGAATGGAAGGAAGAAAGGCATCATTGACTGCACTTACTAAATCATGTTGCTCATTTTGCAGTCTCAGCAATTCCATAGAGGTTTTTTTTTTTGTTTGTTTGTTTTTTGAAATTGGCTAATCAGTTTCCACCTTTTGTGGTGTAAATCCATTCTTTCAACTACCCAGAAGGTATCGTTAAATTAAATTTTAATTTTAAGTTGTTTACAAGTTTACATTTTTAATTAATGGGTTCAAAATCCACCGAAACTCTTCATTTCGGAGGATTTTAACAAGTTAAAAAAAGTTTTTTAAAATTTGCAGATAAGATAGTTTTAAATTTGTGAAAAATTCACATAATTCTTGGCACCAAAAGCTTAGTTTTTTAAATGTTTTATAGATCATGATGATAATTCACTTTACATACATTTTAACCTATTTGATCCTCTCAGCAATCCTGTGAATAGGTACTATTATCCCTATTTTACATATGAGGAAACTGAGTCTGAAAGAGTTGAATAGACTTCCCCATGGCCACCCAACTAGTAATGTTTAAGGCAGGATTTGAATTCTAATCTTCCCAACTCTTCAATGCAGTGCTGTAATGCTACCTTGCTGACTCTGTATGATGGCTGCATATGACAATTATTTCATCTCCAGTATTCATAAAGAGAAGGGTCATCATTAATGGTTGTGAAGTTATGTTTCCAATCTTCATGGTAATTTCAAATTTTTGCTAGACTTTTCATCAGTTCTTATTAGATCAGCATTGTTTATTCATAATAATGAGGGTGAAGAAGACTGTCACGGACCAGGAGTAGAAATATCTATCAGTCCTGCCATTTTCTTCTTTACCTTTGCTGGCATTATTAATATTGACTTCAATTTGCAATGTCTTTGCAGATAACATTTCAAGCTAGTTATTTTGTGAGGGTTAGTATACTTAAATCCATAAATTGACTTTCCTGGGTATACAACAAAATTAATAGGTTGCACTATTCTAAAAGATGACAACAATAGCGAATAATTCACATTTATATAGGGCTTTAAGGTTTGCAGAGTACCCCTGATATGGATATTCCATTAATTTTCTATTTTCTAAATTAAAAATAAACGTAAATTCTAATATTTTCTTTGCACCGTGTTGGATCATTTTAGGTAGCCCACTTTGGAGACTCCTGCTTCAGGTTTCTTTTTTTTTTTTTTTTTTTTTTTTTTGGTGAAGCAATCGGGGTTAAGTGACTTGCCCAGGGTCACACAGCTAGTAAGTGTCAAGTATTTGGTCTGAGGCCGGATTTGAACTCAGGTCCTCCTGACTTCAGGGCCGGTGCTCTATCCACTGCGCCACCTAGCTGCCCCCGGGTTTCTTGATGATGATTGTCCATCTTGTCCAGCCTCTCTAGTCACACTCTCTTTGATTAATGTATTGCAACCCGTTTACTCCTTTCTCATTGTCTTTTAGGTGTCCTGGTATTTTGATTTTTCAAAAACCATGGTATTCCAGCTTTATTTAAGAAATAAAATTGAATCAAGCAGCATTTATTAAGTATCATTGAGGTGCCAGTCACTGTCTCAAGTGTAGAGTGAGAAGGACAAAGACAAAAATGAAAGATGCTCTGACCTCAGAGGGATTGTTTTCTGTGGTGGGAGACATATAAAAGTACAGACCTAATAAATACTAGGCAATTTGGGTGGGGCACTGGTAGTTAGAGGGAATAGAAAGGACTAGTAGAAAGAGAGAGGTGGTGTTTGAGCTGCACTTGAAAGGAAAAAGGGTCTTAAGAGGTGGAGATGAGGAGGAGTGTATTCCAGGCATGGGAGCTAGCCATGTGCAAAGATGTGGAAATGGGAGATGAAATGTCCCCTGTAAGGAACAGCTAAGAAGGCCATTTTGGCTGGATTAGATTGCAGGGGTTGGGGGCATTATGTTAGCTGGAGAGGTGGAGTAGAGCCGGGTTGTGAAGAATTTTTAGGTACCCAGAAGAGGAGTCAATATGTGATCCTAGGGGTATCATGTGTCCCAGGCAAATCCACTGGAGTTGAGTGAGTAGGTGAATGATGTGGACAGACCTGTGCTTTGGGAACATTGTTGTCTTTGGAGGGAAGCGAGATTCACAGCAGAGGGTCCAATTAGGAGGCCTTAGTCCAGGTGATGAACTAGGGTGGGGGTGGGGGTGGTATTAGGAGAGAGCAGTAGAGTGAGCAGTCAGGGATGACATCTATCTTTCTAGTGACTAGAAGGGTGGTGGTTACTTGGACAGGAATGGGGAAACATTTGGAAGAGGGTGGGTTTTGGGGAAAGATAAAGAGTTTGCTATACCTCTGGCAATCCAATTATAACTGTCCAGTAGGCATTTGATGATGTGGGAGTGGGACTTAAGAGAGACTGGGCTACACATAAGTTTGAGAGTTATTTTAAATCCATGGCAGCTGATTAAGTCACCTAAAGAAAGAAGGTAGGAAGATAGGAAAAAGGGTCTAGGACAAAGCCTTGGGTGATGCCCACTGTTAGGAGACAGGCTATGGATTGTGGTAGAACAAAGGAGATGGAGGAGTGGTCAGACACCTTGGAGGGGACAGTGAACAGTGTCACCGAAACCACGAGAGGAGAGTGGTGAGCAGTGACAAGTGCCACACCGAGATAAGAAGGAAAAGCGCTGAGCAAAGGTCTTTCGATGGCAGCTGACAGCTGCGTAAAGAAAATCTTCACAGAGTACACTCAGTGCTTATGAGTCTTCTGTTGCCTGTGTTGACTGACTCTCTCATTTGCACCTCTGCTTTTCCTCCAGGCTTCGAGCTCTGTCCAGTGGTGGCAGTGTGACGTCCCCTCCTCTTTCTCCAGCATTGCCGAAGTATAAATTAGCAGACTACCGCTATGGGCGCGAGGAAATGTTAGCACTTTTTCTAAAGGATAACAAGGTAATCATACAGGCTTTATGACAGGGGAGAAGACTGAGAGCACCCCGTGATGATCTGAGACTGGAGAGCAGGCTGTATGCGCACCTCCTCCCACCCCAGCGGCTTTTGATGATGCCTTTTCCCCCATTCAGTGAACTCTGGCAGTGTGCTGGCAGCAGGGGCTTGCCCAGAAAGGGAAGCTCTGCTCTACCCAAGGTAGACAGGAGAGCAGTTAGCCCTTAGTCTGCCTTAGTGGCATTTTCCCTAGATACTCCTCATCTCTTGAGTCTTTGCTGCCCTGAGTTGGAGACAGGAAGTCCAGTTTCCTCCAGGACACTGTGTGATTAGGAGCTCTGCTCTGGGCCCCTTCCAGTCCTGGACCTCTCTCCTCTGGCTCCATGTTACTAAAGCCTCAAACCTGAGCTTGAGGGCACGATTCCCAAGCTCTTTTCAAAAGCAGCAGCAGCAAAGATAACTAACATGCGGTGGTTTAAGGTTTCCCCGAGCTGTGCATAGGTTATTTCACTGTAGCCTCACGGTAGCCCATTCTCTTATTCCCATTTTTCTGATGAGGAGACTGAGGCTGAGAGAAGTAAGTGACTTTCACAGGGTCACTTCGGCACCTGGCTACAATACAGACAGCTGCCTTTAGAGTACTCTTATGTTTTCCATCAGGTGGGAATGGGGGGAGAGTACAAATTGGTGATGCACCTAGCTACTGATTTCTGTGTGGTTGTTTGCTTTTCTGTATTAAACGATGTGACTTACAGAGCTTAATTGAAAATTGCTAACTTTGGACCCAGACACTTGTAAAATTTGTGTTTCAGAATTTCATTTATTTTACTACCTTTTGTTTTTAAGTTAGATTCATTTCTGAATATACCTCTTCCTTCTCCCCTGCCCAGTGAGCCTTCCCTTTTCAGAGGAGGAGAACAAGGACAGTTCTGCCAGGCAGCCTGCCCCATTGAGCTCCTAGGACACGGGCAGTCTTCCACTCCCTTGAAAGGGAAGGGCATGATGGGCAACTTTCCCAGCTCTTGGCCTTCAAGTTTAAGGGGACGGGGGGGAAATTAGGCATGTCAGTGCAGGGTCTTTTTTTCCATATAATTTAAAAAAGCTGAGACAGATTCCTACATCAAGTCTGTGCTTCTTGGCTGCTGGTAACATTTGTCTTGGACTTCCTACTCAGCGGCAGTGCAGCACGAGCACGGGCTGGGGAGTGTTTGGCTGCCGGTCATCGTCTCTGCTCTTCTTGCTTCCCTAGATCCCTTCAGACCTTAAGGATAAGGAGTTCTTGCCTATTCTCCAGGAGGAGCCCCTACCACCACTGGCACTAGTGCCTTTTACAGAAGAAGAACAGGTTGGTGTCCATCTCCTCTTGTCTCTGGCAGTAAGAGTCTGGTTTACATTTAGAGAAGAATGATGATCATCAAAATCAAAGTCCACTTGTCGGGTGCTTTTGGAAGCTCGAATGCTTTGCGCGCTTCTTTTGATCCTCAGTAACTCTTTTGGGCTGCTAGGTGGTGCCGAAGCGCGTCGAGCACTGGGCCTGGAGTCAGGATGGTGCAGCATCTTCTTCCTCAGTTCAGATCTGACCTCAGACACTTACTAGCTGTGTGACCTTGGGCAGGTCACCCCTGTTTGACTCAGTTACCTCATCTGCAGAATGAGCTGGTGAAGGAGATGGCAAACTGCTCCAGTATCTTTGCCAAGAAAACCCAAAAGGGGTCATAGAGAGTCGGACAAGTAACTCTTTTATATGGGTAGTGAAATGAATAACCTCCTTTTTACAGAAGTGGAAACAGTTTCAGATGCAGTGTGAAAGATCACTTCTCCAGGAAGAAAAGCATTAGATTTAAATCTGAGCAAGCAGCTCCCTCTTGCAGCTTTCACCGTGCCTTGGGGACCCAGTGCAAATCAGCCTCTCTGGGCCTTTTTCCTTGCTGCTGATTTCTGTGTGGGTTAGAGTTACTTGCTTTTTTGTAGTAAGTGATGATATGACTTGGAAAGAGTACTAGAAGATTGCTAACCACGGACCCAAACACTTTTTAGTATGTGATTCAAAATGTAATTTATTGTTACCTTTTGTTTTCAAGTTAGACTCATTTCTCAGTGTAGCCCTCCCTTCTCGCCTGCCCATTGAGCCTTCCCAGGTAAAACAGGTTCTGGAGAAGAGTGGCTCAGCCAGAGCTCCCCAACACATTGAGTGCTTGTCGCCTTCTGTGTGAGATGAGAAGGAAGCTTCATGACAGTCTCGGAGCACCAGAGGCAGTGCCGTGGTGGATCTGAGGTTGGCCAGGGGCTCGGGGGCTGTTGGACGCCGTGCTTCATGATTCCTGCTCTGCTGCTCTTCTCCTGGGAGCGTTCCTCTTTCCGGGTCTCAGACCTTCTCCAACACAAGCTGAAACTCTCAGCACTCCGACTTGGACACTTACCAAGTGCCCGGTTAGCTTTCTCATAGGGTTCTTTAACTGCTAATATGGAGCTTCCTCCCTTCAAGTTAGCTGGCTTTTCTTAGAGGTATTAGAAGGATTGAATGTGCAGGTAAGTGAGAGAAAGGTGTTTCTCTCAGGATGGCATGGCTCAGGTTAGTGGTGGGTCACATGCTCTTCCCCGAGTGACTTGCGATGCTTGATTATCAGCATTGAGTCCTTTTCTGTGTGAGATAGCAGCGGTCCTGGATTTGGAATCAGAAGACCTAGATTCGGATCTCACCTGTCATTTAATAGATCTGTGACCTCGGCAAGCCAGTTAACTTCTCTGCCTCAGTTTCCTTCTCTGTAAAATGGGAATACCTGTAATCTAAAGAAAGGAAGAGTGCTGGATTTGAAATTAGAAAACTTAAGTGTGAATCCCTGTTCTACTATCCATGTTCATTTGCCTTTGCTAGGCCTAATTTCCTTCTGAAACGTGAAGGTGTGGCATTTGATGGTCTTTAGGGTTCGTTTTGGCTCTAAATTGAAGATCCTCTGGTCTCATCTACTTGACAGGCTTTTTCTGAGGATTAAATGGGAGAATGGAAGGAAACAGTATTTATAAATCTCAACAATTATTATCATACCCTGGGTTGGTAGCACTCACACCTGCTGTAGAGGAAAATGTGCTTCCTAAACCCAGTATTTGAACTAGGTTTTTATCCATTTCCCCACAACAGATCCTGATGACCATATCCTTGGATAAACAGCCATTTTCATTTTATACCTAGAGTGTGCTGGGGTCCTGATAAATAAAGCAGAAGGAAAATGACAGTCGCAGGGCCCAGTCTTGAGGAGTTGACAGTTTTGTCAGGGAAACAGAAGGAACTTGCTGAAGGGAGATCACGTTGGCCAGATCATTTGAATGGTTCACTTGGAATATTAACTGAGAAAGGACCATCATTCTTCGGGGCAGGCTTTATTCCTCTTTGTTATTGCCATGTTACCTATTGATGCCATTATCTTCCTGATTTAAAATACAGCATTTCCATGCATGACCACTTCTATTGTTATACCAATATCTAAGACAAAATAAGTAGGATATTTGAACATGGTGTTTTTCTTTTTGTTTTGTTTTTTGTTTTTTGTTTTTTTGCCCAAAGCCATAAAAAGTTTTCCACTGCCTCCATGTAGTGGAAGCTGTGAGAACTGCAAGCCTGCTGCCCGGGGACACTGGCCATTTTGCTGTCTAGTTTTCCTTTACCACAGAATGTTACCGTCCCAAGAGTCACAAATACCCTTTGGTATCTGATGGTTTTCAATGGGTTTTGAAGTGGCCATAGTTTTTGGAGTGCCACAAGAAGGTGCTTGGCAGCCCTTGATTTCATTTAATTTTTTATATATAAACTTGTTTGTCTCACGGGAGGATTGAGGACCTTTTCCCATTAACTATAATAAATCAACTAACATTATACCTTAGTAAATACTTAAAATTGCTAGCCTGTGTGGAAAAGGGCCTGAATGTGCAGGGCTCTGTGTCCCTCCCTGGCAGCAGGCTTGTAGTTCTCATAGCTTCCACCAGATGGAGGCCGGTACCAGCAAGGGCTCTCCTGGAGTGAGGTTCGTCCCCTCCTCCTGCCTCGGTGGGGGGACTCTCACAGGGCCTGTGCAGTCACAATTTTCTGCATGAAGTTGAGCCTTTGGCCACTTTAGTTGCCTGATGAGAGGATAGGGGAAGTAGATAGAGCACAACCTCCTGAGAAACTGCTTCCTGGACAGAACAGCGCTGTGTCTGATGCTGGCTCTCTGCTTCTCTCACTCTCTGCTCTATCTTCTGAACGCAAAGTCACCTTTAAAAAACAGCCTGTGGCCTGAGCTCCATAGTTAGAATTGATTTGGTGGGGAGGGGCAGTTTGACTCTAGTACAGGGATGGGGAACCTGCAGCCTCAAGGCCACATGTGGCCTCTTAGGTCCTTGGGTACAGCCTTTTAACTTCACAGAACAAATCCCCTTCAGAAAAGGATTTGTTCTGTAAAACTTGGACTCAGTCAAAAGGCCTCACTCAAGAACCTAGAAGGCCACAGGTTCCCCACCCTTGCTCTAGTACGTTTGTGATTTCCTAAGTGTGGGTACCTTATTGCTGTGGGTTTTTGTGGCTGTCCTCTTGAGGATGATTCAGTCCTTGGCCCCTCTGGTCCTTGAGCAGTGCACATAGAGTCTGATACCAGGCCAGTGTGGGGAGCCTTTCCATATTTCCTGGTGGAGCCCTCATACACTGCCAAGGTTAGACTTCCAAGCAGAACTAAAGTGCAGGTAATCCTGGTTAGAACATCTCCTGTTTTTCTCATACTTGTAAAGATTTCTGCGACTTGATCATTACAGCAGTTTAAGAAGATAGGTCAGCGTATTATTCCCATTTTACAGATGGGGAAACTGAAACGCAGAGAGATTAAGTGTCCAGCATTATATACTACTAGGTGTTGCTGTAGCTTACAGCTCTACCTGAGGGATGTGTGTGCGTGTGTGCGTGCGTGTACGTACACACACACACACACACACACGTTCTTGATAGGCTTTTTCTCTCTTTCCAAATTTTAACATTGAACAAGATACTCTTTTCTGTTGTTTAGTATTAAAAAATAAAAATTAGAATTTGAAAATATTCTCTTCCCATTAACTTAGGCAGGGCCAGGCAGAATATGAGCAGGGTAGTCTGATCATTTTTCCTGGTAATTTGGGCATAACCATGACACTGAGTGCCAAAGGTCCAGCCTCAGGCCTGATGCTCTCAAGCTGTTCATCCCTGTCTGAATTTTTCCATTTCCATTTTAAGGTTATTTCGCCTGCAGTTGAGTTTACAAAAGGGGAGATATAGAAGATAAGGCATTCAGGTAAAGTGAAATTGATAGTTTCAGAAAAGAGATAGTATTGCATCTGCTTTGAAACTTAGAAAGGGTCTTCCGTTGGATTCTTGAGTTAGAAATATTTCTTTGAAAATGATTACACTTTTCCTGTGTTTTTTATCAAATCAGTGGTACCATGCTTGATTGGGCTCTTTGTTTCCTTGAGCTAAGGCTCATAAATCGGTATTTAGCTCCTTTATATTCCTTCTTTTATGTGATTTTTTTTTCTTTTTTGAAGAAGTTAAATGGGTAACCAACAAGTGTTCTCATCTCACCTGTTGCTTTTTATACCTCACCTACCTACGTTTGGATAATTTTGAAACCTCGGCATAGATAATACCACTTAATAGATATGTAATATTTTCTACACATTTATGATATGTTAGGGCATAAAATTATACTTTTTTTGGTCAGAGATATGGGGAAACTGGGACTCAGAGAAGGGAGCCCCCCCCCTTTGCTATTTTGTAGCAAGTCCAGGATGAAAACTAAGGCTTTAGATTTCTGGTTCAGCTTTTTATCCAGTCATTAAATATCAGTGATTGTAATCTGTGGCTCCAGTTTGTGATTCTGATTGTCATTTCCAAAGCCAGAATATTCAGACTGAGTTAAAATTACCAGAGGGTGGCATAGCCAACCATTTGCTCCACTGTGTCAATATTGTTTCTGATTTTTGTTTTTTTTAGCTGTTTTTTTTAGAAGAGGAACGCTTTCCCTTTGTTCCCTGTATTCCAGTGGTAGTTTAGGTGTTGGTCAAATATTTTTCACTTGTTTTTAAAAGTAAAAATATACTTAAATGTATAAAATGATGTATTTTGAATCAATATGCATGTTTTAAACCAGCCTTCCTTATATTCCCTTTAAATGTTGTCTTTTGGATATTTTGAGGTTATCTTAGCCTTGCTTGTCTAAATATTTACAAGACACTAAGTGTACAGAATGCATCTGTGTAAAGAAATAGGACACTTCCAAGTACTTTGTTCAAAGACCTTGTAAATCAAATGCTAGGGATGCTTACATCTTTTCAATGGATGAGCCATTTTTTAATAGGTCTGCGTTGGAGAGTGTGCTTCCTGCCTTTTACCTTTAACTCTCTGTGTCCTATGTTTGTATTCTGCTGTCCCTCCTCCCATGTTCTCCTTTTTGGGAAGAGAGCCGCTTAAGCGTGATTTTGGCCTTGATGTCTCCCTTGCTGTGGTTTCTGGACACCGCTGCCCTCCTGGACCAGATTCTGCCATCCCCCAGCTGGGGAGGGTTGAGCTTCAGTTTATTTACTTTGCAGAAGAAGAGTTTTGAAATGTCACATTCCTGCTTCACTTTTTTTGTTTGTTGGTACTATTTCAGAGGATTGGAATAGGTGATTATATTGCTTCTTAAGGGGAAAGAGGGTGATTGTGGAATTTGGCTTTCTGAAGCTCCCCCACCCCGTGGCCACATCCCCTGTTGCCCTTCCCACACACGTCCATCTTGGGGCCGTTTCAGTGTTCCTCAAAGCAGGATGGGGGAAAGACAGGATCCAGTTCCCTATTTGTAGAGTCACACTTTAGTTCTGCCATGTCGCCATCATGTTAGACTAAGGCAGAGTCAGCTGAGCAGTCAAGGTCTTCTGCCCCATATGTCAGTTTTCTTAGAGTGAAAGCATTTCCCTTATCGTCCTTGCTACCATACTTCTCTTGCCTTGAATCATGCACTTTTCCCTGTGTGAAATGATTAGTGTTCTCCGGTAATTCAAACACTCTGATCCCTTTAATCCACAGGCATTTATTAAGTACCTGTGTTCCGGGCACCTTGCTTAGACACCGTACTTCAAGTCTTAGCTAGTCTCTCATGATCACTCCTTGCTGTCCATGAGTCAGGATAGCCCTGGCAGGGAAAAGACATGGCACTTAACCTCCATGCACCTCAGTTTCCTCATCTGTAACATGTTGATAGTATAACCATTGTGCTTCCTCCCTCTTAGGTGGTTGTAGGAGGAGCACTCCATTCTTGGAGGGTGAGGTGGTGGTGATGGTGGTTAGTTTAGCCCATCACTATGTGCTGCTGTTAGTGGGCTCTGTTGGAGACATGCTTCCCGAGGACTGAGACGTGGTTTTAGGGTTTTAGAGGCCTATGGGCCCTAGCACCATCGTGGGCACCACAGTGCACCCCACTCCGCCCCATCCCACCCCACCCCACACGTAAATGATGGTTAATTTGGTGACTCTTGGCCGAAATTACCTATGTGTATCTTCTGTGCTCTTCTGCGTGCGTGAGTGTGCGTGTTGAGGGAGGGGACAATTTCATGTACTTTTTGTTTTTACCCAAATTGCACTTTCTTTCCTTGGCAGAGAAACTTTTCCATGTCTGTAAATAGTGCCGCTGTCCTGCGATTGACAGGACGAGGAGGAGGAACAGCGGTAGGGGCTCCTCGAGGTCGAAGTTCCTCTAGAGGTCGAGGTGAGCTTTTATATTAACAAAATAATGTTGTACAAGAAAGAGGATGCTAGAGGAAAATCACAGTAAAAATAAAAAGAGGTGGAGATTTTTATTACCTGTATGAACAGGATTTTGCTCAAGTACTCTAATTTACGTTTCTGATCAGAAGCCATTTTTTCAGAGCTCCCTAAAGCCTAATTTGAGGAATTGAACTGGATTCTGGCTCCAGAACTGGAGGCATGAGCAGACTCTGATATTTGCGTTTACGCTTCTAAACTCCTTTTGGGACCCTTGACTACTCTTCCGTGCATCCTGGGAGTTTGTATTCTCTGAACTGACTTGGCTTCCTGACCAGCCTCAGACTCCTAGAGAGCTTCTGGGAAGAAGGGCATGCTCTCCTGGGGGGGTGGGGCCGTCTCCCACTCCCCAGCCATTCAAGGTCCATGGCAGCAGAGGGGGATGTAATGTGGTTTCCCATGGGGATACCTTGAAAGTGAAACAGGAAATATTGGTATGGAAAGCAAGTAGTTTAATTTGTAATCTGACAAATTTCTAACGTTTATTCTTTTGCTTTTTTTCTGTTTGGTGCTGTGACTAATTCTGTCTTGTATTTGTTATTTTGGTGTATGAGGGCATCTTGAGTATTTGTAAAATGATCGTGTGTATGTTTACTTAGTAGCAAACACATCTTTCACATCTTATAATTTCTTTTAAAATGATTTTTTGAAGAAAAATTGAGCTACCTGAAGTGCATAAATAGAATGGCACTAAGTATCTCACTTAGTTTCTTTATGTTATTAGTGCCTTCCTTGTGCCCTTCTCCTTTACATTGGGATGATAAAGGTCCATGAAGGGTTTTCTGTGGTGTGGTGTCAATAGTGAGAGACTTTCTTTCTAATTTATTGTTTTTCTCAGGTCTCTGGAATTGTTGTTTTTCTTAGTTCACTCAGGGGTTTAGTCAAATCAATAAGCATGTATTAAATTTCTTGTAAATTTCTTTTATGAGAGGATATGAAAAACGTATTTATTAATACAGTCATTAACTGATTGTACCTAATTCTTCCTTCTCAGTGGTCAGTTTGTCATTAAAAACTACTTCCAGTGTGTTCTTAGATCTTTTTACCTTGATGGTGGCAGAAGGTCAAGCTAGAGATAGGATGGACAAGAATTCCTTCCTTCCTTCCTCCTTTCCTCCCTCCATCCTTTCCCTCCTTCCTTTTCTTCCTCCCCTCCCTTTCTCTTCCTTCCATCCACAGGAGGTTAGCAGCTAGGGGAGGGCAGGGCTTGATAAGTACAGAAGCAGCATTTTGCTAGAGCAACCTTGACCCGGGAGCATCATAACCTCAGGTGTTGCCTGTTTCTACATCATTTGACGGTGAGTTCCCGTGGGGAAGAAACCACCAAAGGCTGTAACTCATATAGAGAAACAGAAGGTCTGGACACTGAGGGATCAGTCCCAGTGTTGTACAGAGTATGTCTTTTCTGTCTGAACTGATCACCAGGTATGTGTATTGCAAGGTTCCTCAACAGGATAGAAGTAATTCAAGATCAAAGCCAGGAACAAAATAGTCTGAGGGGGCAGATGGGGAACCAAAGTCAGGTTAAAAGTTTGTTGAATAGAAGAATGTAACTCAGGAAGAAGAGAAGGAGAAGAAACTCTGGACCATCTAGCCTGCAGCAGACATGAGGCTTTGTCCATGGACTCTAGAGCTGGGTCTGAGGAGGGAGCAGCAAGGCTTGTTTGATGAAGACCGCAGAGACAGGCATTAGCAAATGGGGAGGTGACTTTGTGGTCTCAGGAGTGAGACATTGTGGCCGTTGGTGAGCACATGGAGCCCTCCGGCGTCGGATTTCTGTGGCCTCTTCCAGTTAAAAAGGGTCTGTGCTGCCTTTCTCGGGCCCATATCTAAGACACGATGGTGGGCTTGTCATGGATCTTCTAACCTGGTGTTTTCTCCTCATTTGATATGTTTGATCTTATGTAGTCAGAAGATATCTGGAAAGTATCTCTTAAGGACTTTGTTACTCTGCGTAGGTAACTGAAGGAGGGGTGTGCCCTGGTTGCTGTTTCTTCTTTCATTTGGAGGTTATGATAGAGGAAGAAAGAGTAGTATATGGGAAGTAAATAGCTGGATAAATAGTTATCATTGAAGAAGACAAGTTGGTTTTCTTTCTTTTTTTTATTTGTTGCATTCTTAAAATTTTTTAAAAATTTGTTTTTTAACATTCATTTAAAAATTTTAATTTTCAAATTCTTTCCTTCTTTCCAGCCTCTCCTCCACCTATTGAGAAGGCAAACTATGTGATGCCTATTATACATGTGAAGTCATGCAAAACATTTACATTTAGCCATGTTGCAAAAAAAAAAAAAAGAGAAAAGTAAAGAAAATGGGGAAAAAATATGCATCAGTCTGCACTCAGAGTTCAGACGTACAGGTGGATAGCATTTTTCATCATGAGTCCTTTAGAATTGTTGGGTCTCTGTATTGATCAGTTAGCTAAGTCATTCACAGATGACTATCATTACAATATTGCTGTTGCTGTTTGCAGTGTTCTCCTGGTGCTGCTCACCTCACTTTGTATTAGTTCCTTCGTCAGTCTTCCAGGTTTTTCTGAAACCTGCCCCCTTATCATTTCTTATAGCACAGTTGTATTGCATCACAGTCATATGCCACAATTGATTTGGCCATTCCCCAATTGCTGAGCATCCCTTCAATTTCCAATTCTTTGCCACCACAAAAAGACCTATTAGAAATATTTTTGTACATATGGGTCTTTTTCCTCTTTTCTTTGATTTCTTTGGGATACTGACCTAATATTGGTATGATTGGGCCAAAGGCTATGCACAGCCTTAGAGCCCTTTGGGCATAGTTCCAACTTGTTCTCTCAAGGGGTTTGTCCAATTCACGACTCCCTTAACTTAAGTTAGTGTACCCTTTTTTCCCCACATCCTCTCCAGCATTTATCATTTTGCTTTTCTGTCACGTTAACCAATCACATCAGAGTTGATTTAATTTGCATTTCTCTAATTATTAGTGAGGGCAGCTAGGTGGCACAGTGGATAGAGCACTGGCTTGAAGTTAGGAAGACCTGAATTCAGATCCAGCCTCAGATACTTCCTAGCAGTGTGACCCTGGACACCTAATCCTGTTTGCCTCAGTTTCCTTATCTGCAAAATGAGCTGGAGAAGGAATTGGCAAACCATTCCAGTATCTTTGTCAAAAAAAAACCCAGATGGAGTCATGACGAGTCAGACATGACTGAAATGACTAAACAACAATAGTTGTTAGTAATTTAGAGCATTTTTTAACGTGACTTGATAGCTTTAATTTCTTTTCCTGAAAACTGCCTATTCGTAGGATTTGGTTTCCTTGACTGATTTCTTACTAGAACTGTAGGCTACTGGAAAGGGAGGGGTAAAGTTCTGCTTCTGAAGATGAGGAAGAATGATGGGGAGTCAAAGGCTTGAAGCTGTAAACAGAAGTTTGAGGGGAAGAGAGAAGAGTGCCCAGCAATAAAACTCGTGTGTGTGTGTGTGTGTGTGTGTGTGTGTGTCTGTGTGTGTGTGTGTGTGTGTGTGTGTGTGTGTTTAATACTGAAGCTACATATATATGAAATGGAATGATGAAATTATGGTGGAATACTGTTGTGCTGTAAGATATAATAAAGAGGATAATTTTAGAGAAACTTGGGAAGACCTAAATGAACTGATACAAAGTAAAGTGAGCAGAACCAGGTGTGTGTGCGCACGCGCATACGTGCACAGGCATACCATTGCAGAGCTAAATTTGAACAGATGGAGGGCAGTATAATTTCCTAGATATTGTTGAGGTTTGGTGGAATGGGAATTGTAATTTAAATATGACAAGGGGTCAGTAAATGTTTGGTTTAAAAGAAATTAATTGGAGAAGGAGTGATAAGAATAGAAGTGTAAAGCAGTTTTTCATAAGTGTTTTATGTACTATATCTGTTTTGGTCATAATAATTACGTGAAGTAAGAAAAGAAGGGTTATTATCCACTTTTAATGATGAGAAAACTAGGCCTCCTAAGTAACTTTCTTGGAATGACGGAACTAATGAGTGGTATATCCCAGGACTCAAACCCAGGTCTTCTGAATCTAGTTCAGTGCTGTTTTTATTTAACTGCACTACTTTTCTTTTATATTAAGGCATTCACTACATACTAAAGTCTACACCTGTGTAGAAATCTATAAACCTTAGTATGTAATAAGCACAAAAGAAAGCATTTGAGTGTGGACAAAGGAAGAAACAAATAGTGATGTAGTTGCAGATATAAAACGGACCTCTAAGTGGCGCAGTCAGTAGAGTGCTGGGTCTGGAGTCAGGAAGACTCGTCTTCCTCAGTTCAAATCTGGCCTCAGATACTTACCAGCTGAGCGACCCTGGACAAGTCACCTGACCCTGTTTGCCTCAGTTTCCTCATCTGTGAAATTACCTGGAGAAGGAACTGGGAGACTACTTCAGTGTCTTTGCTAAGAAAAATCCTAAATAAGGTCACGAAGAGTTGGACATGACTGAAATGGCAAAACAAAACTGAGCTGCTCATAAGAATGTGAAAGGTGTTATCTTAATGTCGGCTATAAAACTGGAACAGCAGCAGGGTCTAGTGGTTTCATTTATCCAAAACTTCATAGATTTTTGACTTACTGACAATTTACTTTCTTAGAAGCAAAAGCAGAAACTGTTGTACATTTGAACTTTGTTATAATCAAAAAGGGAAAGCTGATTGATGAATTGGAATTCATAAGAACCTTAGGAGAAAGTGACCAATTATAATAAGAGAAGGGGACATGAGATGTGCTTAAACACATCTCCCAGGTTTTAGGAAAACGTTTTCAGAAGTTAGGATTAGTTGTTCTTGATAGAGATTCCAAAGGAGAAGGTTTTTTTGAAAAAGAGCCAGAAGAGTCTCAGAAATGAAATTCTGCCTAAATGACCATGGATATACTTGATGAGGAAGAAAATATCTGTATGTGGGAGGTGACAGAGGAATGACATTGGAAAACCCAAGTGCCTGAACAGGGCTTATGCGAGACTATAATGAAATCTGACACATAACCAAGATGGAGGAGATGGGCCATAGAGTCAAGGACAATTATGTAACAGATAGCACAGTCCTATGAGAACAGTGTCAGCCTAGAATTGGCTAATGCTTACGATATGATAAAGATAAAAATAAAGAAGAGGTGAGTCCATTGCTTGTGGGAAAATGGTTTGAGGTTTCCATATGAGAAAAACAGAATTATCTAACTCTTACTATGCCTGATTTTATTTTTTTAATCAAGGATCATCAAACTTGAGTGAAGGCAAACATTCTCTTCTCCAAGTAGGTGAGCATCTGTTCACTTCGATGGATTAGCACCATTGGTAGTCTTTGAATAGACATGGAAAATAAAAAACAGAAAAGCTAGAAAGATGGAGGTCGGCTTGACATCTGTTCTCATGGAAATTGTGGAGTGGATTATGCAGTGGATGATCTCTGATACCTTAGGACAGTCATAGGAAGTGCAGTGGGTATCCAGCGTTCAGTCGTGCCAAACCAAATTAATTTACTTTTTTGGCAAAATGATTAGATTTGTAGAACAAAGGAGTGCCTTAGATACAGTTTGATTTTAAAATAATGAACTCTCTTATGCTATCCTTGTAGATAATATGGAGAAGTGAAATTTGGATCATAGTACAGTTGGGTTCATTCATAGCTATTTGAACAGTCATACTTCGACTGGATATACTTCGGTGACTTGGATGAAGTTGTCACCTTCTTTGCCTATCATGCTTACTGATGATAGCAAATCTGGCAGTGATCACTAATTTATGAGATAGGAGAACTAGGATTCAGGTACTCTCTGTGGGCCTGGACTAAATTCCTGGGACGAAAATAAACCTTGCACTTGGTTTCTGTATGCATTTATGAAATGGGAAGTTGTTGTTCACCTCTAAATCTTGCAATTAAGACTTGGAAGTTTCTACTGATAGAAAAGCTCTGTGGGAGTTGATAGTGACAGAACTGCTTAAACAGTGTGTATGGTTTGTCTGTGTTAACTGATGACAATATCCAGCTCAAGTGAAGTAATAATGTTCACTTTTGACTACCTTGGCATTGTTGTGTTCGATTCTGAGTGCCCCAAGTTTAAGAGGGATTTTGACAAACCATGCTATATGCAGAGACAGTCTACAAGAATAGGTTGGTAAGAGTTCTGGAAACCGTGCGGCACCTGTTATTTGAACATCAGGCTTTAACGTAGAGAACACTTGGGGATGGGAAACAGGGATATAATATCTGTATTTAAATATTTTAAGTACTATCACATGAAGGAGGAAGTAGATATTGTGTTTTTCTCGATGCCAGCGGTAGACCGAGTGCTGAAAATCATAGTAATATGTTTTAAAACTTATTTACTTTGAACAAATTGGATTTGTACCAAGGATGCAAGGATGTTTCAACCTTACAAAACAACCATCATAAATATTGAAAATAAAAATGACTGAAACCACATGATTACATTGTTGTAACAAAAAGACTTTTGCAAAATGTAGTAGTCATTTATGGTTGTTTTTTTTTTTAATCAGAGGTATAGATGGGCATTTTTAATATGAAAATTATATCTCTAAAATAAAAACTGGCATTATTTGCAGTGGAGAAGCATTAGAAATTTTCCTACTAAATATAAGGTTAAAATTGGTATATTACCCCTTTCCACTATTATTTGACATTTTTAGCTATGCAAGTGATATTAGTAAGATGAGAAAGAAAATAAAGACATAAACATTACCAAATAGATGGAATACTTTACATGCAGGTGACATTAGAGTTTACTTAGCTAATCTCAGAGAATCAGAAAAAACTGACAATACTTTAAGTAAAATCGCAGGAAACAAAATAAATGAACATAAGTTATCAGCATTTCTATAAAGTAATAACAAAACCAATGGAAAAATGGTAGCGAAATTCCACTCAAAATAAAGTAAAGCTACTTAAAATATTTGGGAGTCCGTCTCCTAAGACATGTTCAAGACATCAAAACAGAATTACAGTATATTTTTTAAAGAAAGATAAATAGGCCAATATTTGGAGAGAGATTTATTGCTTAATGGTTGGGTGACACCAATATAAAATTGATCTACAGATTCAGAGGTATACCAGTCTTAATTAGCTTGGGATTGGTTACTACCTAGAGAATGACAATTCGTTTTTAGGAACAAAAGTTCTAAACACTTTTGGTTAAATATAAGGAAGGTACATGCTTTCATTGAAACATCAAAGTAGAAAGCTCAATAACCATCTGTGGTGGTTGGGTGGAGGTGGTTGCATGTGAGGCTGGATCTCTTTTCACTTTTATGGTTTGTGATTTGCGAGTCTTTGTCACCTCTATTACTTTTGTTGATCTTCAAGAGTATATTTTACTTTAAGGTAACTTTGATAAACCAAAATTTATAAGTTAGTTGGTATTTATGAACAGCATTATTGAAAGAATTCCTGACAGTTCTTTTAAATAGTGAGTTTCTTTGTTGTGTTCACAGTTGGTTTCCTTTTAATAAATTGATCTAAATATTTAGTGTGATACAGCTGACCTTGGAATGTTTCAGAGTTGTTTATAACCTAAGATAGATCAGTATACTTTCTAACCATGTACATTCAGCGGTCATCTGTTTTAAGAGTAGCCTGTGGGAAAACATACTCTAGGCCCCTGGTATCAAATTCAAACAGAAAGGAAGAAGGAGGGCACTAAACGATACAGAAAAATCTCTGTGGGTGTATATCAACTTTAAAAAATAACATATTAACCCTGTATATTCTGTTGTGTTTTTTTAAAAAAAAATATTTCCCAGTTACATTTTAATCTGGTTTTGCTGTACTTGAGTGCATCATATTTGACACCTCTGCTTTAGAACCATTATGTCTGAAATGTATCGCATGTTTTCTTTTTTTCATATAACCAGAGATTGTTGAAGGTTTACAACTCACTAAAAACCTCTAGCAAATGACAATTATGTTATCTGTCAGTAAAGCTCTTGACTTTCCACCATATTATAAGCCATAATTATTGCTCATTGGATAGAATTATTTTATTTGCTTTGAAATACCTTGTAGAGTGCTTCATTTCAACTAAAAACGTTATTTTCTTATTGTCTCTCTTTACTTATTTTACTTACTCTCTACCCCTTGGAAGGATAAAGACCTATCCCTTCCAAATCGCAACTTTTCCCCCATCATGGAGTATCACCATAAAAAAACTTTTATTATAGGGGCAGCTAGGTGGCGCAGTGAATAGAGCACCAGCCCTGGAGTCAGGAGGACCTGAGTTCAAAACCAGTCTCAGACACATAACACTCACTAGCTGTGTGACTGTGGATAAGTCACTTAACCCCAATTGCTCTCACCAAAAAAAAAAACAAAACAAAACAAAAAACCTTTTATTGTATTAGATCTCTGTGTATTATATGTTTTATTTCTTCTACGAGCCACTTTGAATGAAATCCCAAAGGTTTGTCCATTTAATTTATTTGTACTGCCATTTTATTGAAATATACATGAGTGCCTAACGTCTAGAAATATTTTTTATGTGGTTTTTTTAAGTGGTAGCAACATTTATTGTTCTGTTGGACATACAATCTATTATGCCTTTGGCTCTGCTGTTTTAAGATACACCTATGCTCTTTGTAGTCAGTCTTTGACTATTTATTACAGAGGAGGGAGAAGATGCATAGATAAATACAGATAATTTTGAAAATCTGTCGTTTTGTATTTAACTTTGAAAAATATCCATGTGCCCTTTCAGGTCACATGATCATTCCCACCTGTCATCAGAAGAGATTTTTTTTTTATGTGAGGACAATGAATAGAAACTCCTCCTTTTTTGATGGCTCTGTGAATGTCTTGCTGTAATGGCCACTTATTTCTGTTTTTTGTTTCGTTTTCTTTGTTTTTGTTTGTTTTTTTGTCTTTGCAGGTCGAGGCAGAGGTGAAGGTGGTTTTTACCAAAGAAGTTTTGACGAAATTGAGGGTGGATTTGGCCGAGGTGGCGGCGGCCGAGAAATGCACCGATCACAGAGCTGGGAAGAAAGGTAACCCCTGCCCTGGTGGCCTCTGCAGCCCCAAACGTGGGTCCTGGGAACCCTTCACTTCCCTCCTCTTTCTGGGGTGAGGTCACTCCACACATTGGATTGGTTTGATAGTCTGAGGAGCAGTCTGGGCTGAAAACCTGCTCATGTTGTGAGAGGAGAGATGGAACAAACCCAGTAGGAGAATATTCCTGAAGAATAATATTCCTGTGCATTTAACAAATAATGTTCTCAGCAAGACTGTCCTCACTTTGTCAGTACTTTGTCGGATCTCTCATCCATGTGGGTGCTCCTTTCATCGGTACAGAATGCAACCAATCCAAGTATTCTTATCTGTGCAACTGTTGTTGATGTCCTCACGTAAATCTTCCGTAGGGAATCCTGACAATGGGTTAGGGGCTGTCCTCATTTTCCTTTGATAGTGTGTGGATACCAGTGGGGCCTGTGGGCTGTTCATTGGTTATCCCTTGTTCTTGCTCTGTGACTGGCAGAAATCCTTCTCCTGCTATGTACATAGCTTTTAAAAATGTTTTGTTGGTATTCTTGTCTTTTTAAAATGTTGTGAATTCCCAGTGATTCTCTCCTTTCCCTCTCCCCCAACCTTCCTTTGTTTTTGTTTTTTTTAAAACAAATAAGTATATTCAAGAAAAACAGATCAACACATTGGCCTTGTCTGAAAATGTCTGTATTGTCCATCGCCCATCTGCCAAAAAGCTAGAGGCATTCTTCACCATCAGTCCTTTGAAGTAATGCTTGTTCATGCAATTGGTTTGAGTTTTGATGTCTTTCAGTGTTGTTTTTCTTTATATTATAGTGGTCATTGTATAAATTATTTTCCTGGTTCTGTTCACTTCACTCTGTGACAGTTTATACCAGTCTTAGAAAATTTCTCTAAATTCTTTAATTCAGAGAATTTCTTATGACAATAATATTCCATTTAATTCCAATGTCATAAGTCGTGCTTATATTCTTCATGCACTTCTCTATATTATATCCTACTTAGGCCTACTGTGTGCTTCTCCAGATGCATAGTAATTAAGAAGGGTGTGGCCCCAACTGTCCACATAAGATGAACCAAATGAATGAAGAAAGCCTGTTGGCCAGATTGTCATATCCACTTGGATGGACGGTGTATAGTAGAGCTGGTCCATCAGTCTACACGTCTTAGACCGTGAAGAGACAATGAATTGGGTCCATCATTGACTAGGAAGGAGAAGCCTATATTGCCTTTGAGAAGTTACCTGGTCTTTTTCATGACCCCATGTTTCTTTCTGAAACAAAGGCCCATATTTGGCTGAGACTAATAGGATACTACGGTCTCTGGAGAATTTTAGTTTTCAGTCATCCAATGTCGCTCAGGATAGATAATTTAATCTCTAGTAAAATGTTTACTTGGATTAAAGGTGAACTTGAGCAGCTAAAGGCTTGTCTTTTCAGGTTGTTTAATGAAACGGGCCTTTCTAGTGAGTCTTACCCCTCTTTTTTGTTGCTAGTCCTAAGCTAAGAAGAAAGTGTGTACCAGAACTGGCGTTGAAATTATCATATGGCTTCATAGTCCTTGTTCAAAAGTTTATTTCTGTTTTTCTAGGGGAGACAGACGGTTTGAAAAACCAGGGCGAAAAGATTCAGGTAAGGTGTTTGGAAGTTCGAATTATGACTTTCATTCTCTAATTGCTTGTTTTCAGTTTTGAGTTATTCTAGGATTTTATAGGGAAAGACAAACTAGAGTGGCCATATATTTCCTATGTGTTCTATATGGTATAGGTTCCCAGGTAGAGGCATGGCAATGATGTTTTCATAATGGATATTTAACTATTTCCTGAATCCCGTGGTGGTTTGTAAAACTGTGAGTTTGCATCAATTCTTTTTGGGGCAAGGGTGATTGGGGAAGGAGGCAGATTGTATGTAGTATTTGTGGAAAATTTGGAGGTTTAATTTTTTTTTCCATTTGGAAAGCTTTGCTTTAAGATTACTTGAAAAATGGGGCAGTACGTTTCCAATTTCCTATAAGAAAAGTATAGTTTAGAACAGGCCTGCACAACCTGTGGCTTGCCAAAGGATTTCCTCTACATGCCTCTACATGCAAAGGATGTTTTTCTCTACATTTTTTGCAGGCTGCTTGAAATCCTTTGGCCAGCTGCAGGTTGTGTAGACCTGGTTTAGAAATAGGATAGCAGTTATGGATTCTGGACCAAAGGACTGGATTATGGTCTGGAGTCTAGGTCAAGTAGCTTGGTGAGAGCTTTTTGGCAAAATGGAGCCTTAGGAATTATTACAGATGCTGCTGTGATAGGAAAGGCATTATGATAGAGTGCACAGAAGGCTGGCTTTAGAGTCAGGATAGACCTGAGATCAAATCTTACCTCTCAGCCTTATTATCTGTGTAACTTTGGGGCAGTCACTTTGCCTCTTTCCTCAACTGTAAAATGAAGTTAATAATGCTCATAGTACCTCTCAGCTAGGGTAGATGTGGATAGTGGCTGGAGTGCTGGGCCTAGAGTCAGGGAGACTCCTCTTCCTGAGTTCAAATCTGACCTCAGATACTAACTAGCTGTGTGACCCTGGGCAAGTCACTTCACCCTGTTTGCCTCAGTTTCCTCATCTGTAAAATGAGCTGCAGAAGGAAATGGCAAACCGCTCCAGTATCTCAGCCAAGAAAACAAAAGCCAAAAAACCCAAATGGAGTCTTGAGGGGTCGGACACAGCCAAAGATGACTGAACAAGAAGTCTCTCTAAAAGAGTTGATCAGAGAATCACTTAAGATAATCATACACATGAAGTGCTTTGTAAACCTTGAGGCTCTTCTAGAGGTTAGCTCCAAAGATAGTAAGCACTTATTGAGTGTTTACTACATCATTACTCTTTTGCTAAGCTCTGGGTTTATTTAAACAAACAAAAAGCAGACCCAGTCCCCGTCCTCAGGAGACCTTCTTCCGAGGTGGGGAGACAATGTACCACCAACTGTGTGCACACAGGACACCTGCAGAGTCATGGGAGGGCCTCCTAGAGCGGAGGGGGAGGGGGCAGCAAAGGCTTCTTGCTGAAGATGGGACTTGAACTGAGGCTTAAGGGAAGGAATTCCATTGACCATCTTGACTGAGAAGTCTGTAGTCTTGGTCTAGACAATGTAATGAAAGTTTTCTGCTGTTATGAACTTGGGTCCTTTATTATGTGCTAGGGAATTTTTAAAAGTAAGATGTCTCTCTTTAACAGCTCTAAATTCAGTTTTTAAAGAGAAATGAAAGTTCTTTCTCTATAGCCATGAGGAACCAAAAGATGAATTTATAGCAGAAACTGGCCAGTATTAGCCTGCAAAGCTTTCTTGTCACAGTGTCTAATGCCACTCAATGTGAGGTATGTGCGGGAAGCCGCTACTTCCCTCTATAAGATGTCCAGATATGACATGGTGACCCACAGAAGAGTGTTCATGGTAGACCTAGCGCCAGCTTCTGTTTTCAGGAAGCTCATTTTGGGCAGGGCTGGCGTCAGTACAGCAATGCTAAGTTAGGAGACTGAAAAGTAACTAGTTATTGCTGTTGAGAGAAAGTAAAAACAGGTGAATATTACTTTGGCACCATTCTAATTCCAGTCACGATTAGTGTTTTTTCAGGAACAGATTTCCTTACTTAGTCATTTATATCTCAGTCCCTGTCATCTTATTAATCTGGGTTTTCATGGACTCAGGGCAAGAGAGACCAAAATCAAACTTTCTGGTTAGCAGATCCAGGTACTTAAGAAACCTATCACAAATGACCTGTGCCGTTGTGGCTTTAGTGAGCTTGTCAGGAGTCATGTTGTAGAACTATCTATCAGTCTTGTGCTTTTTAATGTTGAGTCATAATGCCATCCCCTTCATTAGACCGTGAGCTCCTTGAGGGCAGGGTTTGTATTGTGCACAGCATAGTGCCTGGCTCATTGTAGGTGTTTAATAAATGTTACTGACTAACTAGTATAGTGTAGTGAGAAGAATATTGGGTTCTGAATAAGCAGAGCTGACCTTCCACTTGTGTCTGGTTGACCTTGGGCATTTACCCAAACTTTCTGGGCTTCTGTCCCTTGATCAGTCATATAAGGAGTTTGGCTTGGAAGATTACTAATGCCCTCTGCAGCATGGCGTTTGGAGGTGGGGTGCTTTGTAAAGCTTAAAGCACAATGTAAGCCATTACCTGTTAATATTTGAAGTAAAATGAAAGATACAGTTGGAAGGAACATGAACTGCCTTGGATTCTACATATCCCTGCAAATGCCCAAAGAGACTTCCTCTATGCTGTTAAAATGAATGATAATAATAGCAGCTGACACTGATGTCACATCATGAGGTAGATGAGGCACTTTACATAAATCCTCTCCTCTCAGGTAGGTGTTACAGGTTTTAATAGCCTCATTTTACAGAAGAAGAAACTAAGGTTCAGAAAGGGGAATCCAGTCCCTTGCTCATGGTCACCCAGATGTCTAGTGAATTTGAACCTGAATTTTTTTGGGTTTTTAAGCCCATGATCCTTTCTACTACAGTATTGTTAACTAATAAGGTAATGAGAATACCATTCATATTATTCCATTTGATATAGAGATGTTACTAACGTGGTTAAGAAATTCTAGCAACCACTTTGAAGCATCAATAGGTGACCATTTCTTGTTTTAATGTATTCATGTTCTCTTTGTTTAATGAAGTATAAGAAAAAGCCAGAAGTTTCTGATGAGTGAAATAGCTTATGGAAAACCATATGGAAGGGTTATAATTGTACTCGGTTAATCCCATGAAGGTAATTTTGCACATAAAGTATCTGTATTCAGAGTGTGTTCAGTAAAGACAAACACTTCCCTCCCGGGCTCTTTCCCTTTAGACACACCAAGAAGGCTAAGTTATAGGTAGCTTCATCCCAATACTGATGTTTGGGAACTTGCAGAGATATTAAGATCGGGGAGGACTTTCTCCTAGAGTGTAATATGGGCTTATAGGGAACATTTGGGGGGGAAATAAAAGCTCATCTTCCTGCTGCTTGTTTAGAACTTGGCTGTATATCCCAATTCAGACGTGGAGGTGATTTTCAAGATTGTTGAGTCCAGCCCCCTCACGTTAACAGATGAGGAAACTTGACCCAGGGATGCCTGGTGCCTGGTTTTAGGTCAAACAACAACTAGGAAGCCACAGAGTGGAGCACAGGGAACCTCTGCTTCTCTGACTCCAAACCCGGCTGGCTTTCCACCCTCGAGAGCCTGTGGGTTAGAGAATGGGGCTCCTTCAGGTGCCTGTTAATTGGCACTCAGTTTGTGCCCATTACCATGGAGACCAGGAGTGAACATTCTACACTGAAGTTGCCTTCCACAGAAATTACATTAAGAGCCAGTGGGATGAACACTAGGGCACATTTCATATGAAGTTTCTTAGTTGATACTAAGTAATGTAAATGTCAGGGACTAAAATGATACTAATAAACTTAATGGATTTTGTAATGTGAGTATGTGATTCTAAATAGCCCCTTTTTGATGTAAAGTACTGAGAAACTGAAAATGTTCTAGTTGCTACATGGCTACTAGCAAAGGAAGATTTTTTAGCTCATTCGGCAAAGTGTAAGTATCTTGACCTTCAGCCAAGCCCTTAATGCTTCATTACACTGCCCCCAGGAGTTTATTCATAGTGAACTCTAAGAATATTTCACAGAATCGGAAGGTCCCTGAGAGGTCACGTGGAGTCCAAGTTCTTCCTAAACAAGACTCACCTGTCCATTCTGTCTGACTCATGATTGATCATCTGGCTTTTACTGAGAGACCTCCAGAGAGGGGGAGTCACTGACTAGCTGTTCACACAGCCCACTTTAAGGTGGTGGTAAATGTTCGTGTCATAAAGAAGTAAGACACAAATGCAAACAAGCGAAGTGTTGAGTAGTGACTATGTTAGAATGAAGGCAATGTGTGAACCTGTCATCCTTGCTCCCTCTTCCTCTACCTCCCTGTTGTGTACTCTTCTGGGTGCGATGCAGATTGTACATTGGAAACGTGAAGGTTATGATCCTGGACCTCTTTCCTTACTTGGTTATGGGTTGAGCGTAAAGGAAATAACGTCAAAGAAAGCCTTTCAGTCTACTAGGGGAAAGCTTTCAATATAAGTGTCAGTTATATTTTTCATAATCCAAGGGCTTTTGGTTTGTTTTCATTCATTTGTTTTCAGTTGTGTCCTACTCTTCATGACCCATTTGAAGTTTTCTTGGCAAAAATACTGGAGTGATTTGATACTTCCTTCTCCAGCTCATTTTACAGATGAGGAAACTGAGGCAAACAAGATTAAGTATCTCATCCAGGGTCACATAGTTCAAAATTGTCTTGAGGCCAGATTTGAACTGAGGAAGATGAGTCTTTTTGAGTCTAGGCCAGTCCTGCCAAAGGATTTTGGGTGGCCAGCGAAAAATGTAGAGGCTGTAAAAACAGTTCTGCACAACATCTGGCCTGTGGGCTGCTTTGGGGGCCTCAAGCGGCCTGCTGTAGGCATAGCACTCTATCCACTGGGCCCCTAGCTGCTCAGTGCATCTGATACTCCCTGTTGGTCAGTAATTCCAGTAATCTTGTGTTAGGATAGAAGCCTTTTGTTACTATATCCTTAAAACAACCAAAAAACAACTTTTCAAGTGGCAGATAGCTATTATAGTCTTTAAGCCAGGCCTTTTCTCTTTGCCATTTTTATCCTGCCTCTATTTAAAAAAAATTTCAGCAAGCATTAAATTTACAGCTTCTTCTTTAACTTGACATGTACTATTCTAAACATGTTTCCTGTCCTTGCTTGGTCATCACTAATGCAATATTCATCTTCCTCCAGTTTCTTTTTCCATGTAAATTTAATAGTGGGGACTTCCAAGGGGGGAGGTAGAATAATAACTCCTTGTGAGAATTTGGAAAGATTGAATTTGTGCGTTCTTATTTTATAAGTTGAGGTGTAGTTTAGTGTTGAAAAGAAATTTTAAAGTGTATGCCAAGAAAAGAGTGCAAGGTTTTGTTCATTAGGTTGATTGAAGAATGCTCTGTGAGAGTCAGATTTGAGACAGATTTACTAGAAAAAGAAGCAATGATCCAAGATAGCATGGCTTTATTAGGAAGAAGGCATGCCACACTAATGTATCTTTTTTTGACAGGGTTACTAAGTCAATAGATCAGGGATATGCCACAGATAAAGTTTTCCTGGCTTTTAGCAAAATATTTGATCAAGTTTCTTACGTTTACAGAAAAAATGGGGAGAGATGTGCTAGATGATAATAAAGTTAGTTTCAGAATCGGTTCTGTGGCTTGACCCAAAGAGTACTTAACATTTAGATAAAAACATGGAAGGAGGACTTCAGTGAGATGGTATAGGGATCTGGACTTTTCTCAGTAACTTGGATAAAGGGAGAGGTGTTTTCTTTGTCAGATTAGCAAATGGTATAAAAGCTGGTATGACTAGGTAACATACCGAATAATTAGAATCTAGAATGATCTAAACAGGTTAGAACCAATTGGACCAAATTAAACTAAGATGGAATGTAATAGAGCTAAAAGCAGCCTTATACTTGGTTTCAAAAAATCTTCCCAAGTACACGAAGGGGCAGACATGATTAGACCGTCAACAAGACTCTGAATAAGATGGGATAGAATGGGGTGTAGTGGACTGACAGGTGGGGACAACTCAGCAGTGTGACCTGGCTGCCACACAATATGGTCTTTGGCAGCACTGAGTATTCTATCTTCCAAGAACATGGAGATAACCCTCCCATTACACTTTATTCTGGTCAGACCACGTGCAGAGTACTGTGTACCATATTTTAGCAGACATTGATAGATTGGTGAACGTCCTGAGATATTGTGCCATGTGAGGTTAGGTTTGGAGGATGGTTTTAACTGGAGACCAGAAGCCTCAGGCTGAGAGGGAGGAGAATGTGGGAGATGGCTTTTTGGTAGGTGGAATAGCTTTACTCAAGCATTTGAAAGATTATCACCTGGAAAGGGAAGGAGAACTTTCTTAACAGTTGGCATTGTCCAGCAATAGAATGGACACCAGATTTGGTGAGCTCTTTCTCCTAGGAGGTCTTCAAGCAAAGTTTTGGATGACTGCTTGGCAGGCATGTTTTAGCGACAATTCTTTTTCAGATATAGTTTGGACTGGATGGTCAATCTTATGATTCTCTGATACTTTCATGGGTCTGCATTGTACCTGTAATTAATTTATTCCTTCCTCCATTAATTTAGTTTGTAAGTACAATGTCTAAATACTAAGTTAATACATCATTGGAAATAACAGACATAGCTACACTTAAGAGTAAGATGATTAAAATGTAGTTATCATCGAATAATAGAGTCGGAAGGAATTCTGAGGGTCATCTAGTCCAATGTCCTACTGATCTTTTGTGTTTTCAGAAGAATCTATGTGCTTTGGATTTAGAAAAGGAAATTTTGTTCTTAATTCTTTGATATGTAAATATTCAAACTAGATAATATTGCTTCTTTGCCAGTCTCTGTAGTAGTGTTATGTTTAAATGTCGTTTGTCTGTTTGAATCCTTAAATTCTTCTTCTTTTTTTTTAATCATTAAATTCTTAAAGAGACTTTGTGATTAGAATATATCCTATTTAGTTACAGTATGGAATCATTTGTATGTTTTCCTTAAAATGAAAACCATGATGATGTCATTTTCAGTTGGATGATTTGATTCCAACTTTTGCAATAGGCAGTGTTTGCTCATAGTATTTGCTTTAACGGAGTGCAATTTTGGAACCAGAGCACCTATGCTTGCATCTTCACCACTGGTTACCTGTATAGCTTGGGGTATTGGTTAGCTTTTCTCTGCCTGTCTTTGGTCATCTGCCAAATGAAGTGGTTGGATAAGACATAATCTCTACAATTCTTTCCAGCTATAAGTCAGTGAAACCATAATTCTAATAAAAATCTGTTTTAGTTGTATGTTTTGTTTTTTCAAAGTTTTCTAGGTTGTATTGACTTGCCTTCCATCTTTAATAATAAATCTCGATAGGAAAAATAAAAATGTTAAATTGTAAACCCTCTTTTCTGTAAAAAAAAAAAAAACAACAAGCAATGTTAGAATAAAGACTGTAGTTAGGTATTTTAAATAATGTACATAGATTTAATGGGTGTTATTTTCTTTTTAGTAAGTCAAAAGTATCTCTTTTTTGTAGCCCTAATATTGGTTCATTTTTACGTATGATGGTCAGGCAAAATTATTCTAACAAAAGATACAAAGCACATGTATCATTATTTCTTATATCCCAAATAAATAGTTTGCTACTAACTTAAAAACACTCTCTACAGGGTCATTTTTTTTTCTTTTGTCTTTGACTAGAGCTTTTTGAATTAGGTCTAATTTGCCTTCATAAAAATTCTCTAAACACTTAAAAGTGTCATGTCCTTATGAATTTCATTATTAACTCTTAAAAATTAAATCTAGTACTTAATGATCTTCCTGGCTTTGTGAAAAGTGTGATAATTCATATAACATAATCATTATATCCAAGGAGAATTTACATCATATAGTTACTTCAAATTGGAATTATATGTATTACATTAATTTATAGATTTAAATGGAATTGCTATGGGTAGGCTTTCTTTTTTCTTTTTTTTGGAGGTTACTTTCTTGAATTCATTGCCTTTTACAAAAAATATCAACTCATTTAAATGTCAACAGAAATGAAGTCTGTATAATTTTTCTTTCAGTCACTGTAGCTTTGATCAGTTTAGTGAAATCAGCTGGTAGAATTATTGCTTTCCCAGATTCTATGTTACTAGAGTGTCTGCAGTTAATTCATCCATTAGTCTCAGTTTATGTGGTCATATATCATGCTTTGCATACCATGCTGTAATTGAAGAAAAAGATAATGGGAGAGCAATGATGAGGGGAAAGCAGCTGCACATCCAGTTAAGTAGTTTAATATATTTTTAAAATGTAGCCATGTTCTGAATCTATTCTGCTAGCCCAGTCTCAGAGATCTGAAAGTTATCAATGTGTTGTCCATTAATATTGATTCCCATGTCAGTCCTGTTTGGGCTCTTAGGGACTATAGCAGTTTGAAGTTCAGGGATAGTTTTGTCAAAATTCTCCATTTTGATAATATATTCCCCTTTGGAACCTCGAGTCATCAGAGAGGCAAAACAGTGATGCATCATGATCTCTGATGGTAGGTAGGATGTCCTCCTTTGGCATATTTCCCCTGTGCCCTCATGAATAGCTGAGAGGAAAACTACTAATTCAAAGTGTCCAGAATTTTCATGCTGGAGAAAAGCAGCTAGAGGGCTTGAGGGTGTAATGGGGTGATAGTAGGTCAATGGAAAGGTGAAGAGTGGACACTCCTCAGAGCTGATACTGTCAAGGTGCAAGTCCACACTGGTCTGATAGATTTGGTTATTTTCTCGCTCCTGGTAGAGAATAGCAGAAACCCGGACGCAGGTGAGTGGGGTTTGTTGAGTGTTTGCCACTTTGAAGATCAGATTTGGTTTGCCATCTATGTGGGCTACTACTGCCAAGTCAGTAAAGCGGATCCAGAAAATTCTGTTCTTTGGACGGGCAATCTTTGCCACAAAGGCACCTAGATTAGAAACAGTTGACTTTGTTACAAACTTATCATTAATTCTAACTAACTTTTATGAGCTAATGTACCAAGTGTCGTATTTTCGGTATTATTTCTTACATTAGGTTAGATGTGATATTGTTTGTATTTTAGGTATCATTTTTTGGAATTGATTAGGAACTAGATTCTAAGTGTCATGTACTACCTCTTGGAATTGATCTTGTTTAACTTTTTTGGGAATGTAAACCTTTTAAGTACGGCCTGGAAACAATTTGTGTGTTTAGTAAGTGCATGTTTTGTCAAAACTTTTCAAAGAAAGAAAATATATTTTCTTGGGGTACATGTTCTTAACTATAAATTTAAATCAGGTCTGCACAACATATAGTCTGCAGGCCGCTGTTGACCCACCAAAGGATTTCAGGTGGCTTGTGGAAAATATAGAGGATGTAAAAGAAGGTAAAGATGTAACAAGTACTTTGTCTATGCCCCGCTTAACCTGCCTTCCACTAGTCATTATTGTCCCTGTCATGTAATTTGGTGGGTGTATTGCCACTATGTACTCTGTCCTGTTTGTCCCATGACCCGCAGCAACCAACCATCGTTATACCTTTACTTGGAAAGTGAACCGCTAGAAACTTATCTGGGGTCTGAAGAAGTTTAGCCTATTTTAATTTTGGCCCCTACCTACTGCCAAGTGGTGCAGGTCTGATCTAGATGGAGATATTTTAATATGAATAAAATCGCTTTTGTTTATTGGGAATGGGAAAATTCCATTTTCCTCGTTTCTTAGATTTGGGGGTGGGGGCAGTGACCTCTGATTTCATCAGCGTAGTGACTTTCCAGCTCCACTGATCTGTGGTTTGTAATCTTGCTGAGGTGTTGGGAAGTTAAGTGACTTGACCAAGGTCACCCAGCTAGGACCATCTAAAAAGACTCCACTACACCAATATTCTCCAAACTTTTTTGATTGCAGATCCATATTGTTAAAAGATTTTTTTAGAGTGTGCCCCAATTGGTAAAAAAAAACAAAACAAAAAAACAAAAAAAACTTTGAGCACCTCTCTCAAGTGTATAATTATTTACTTATACCTTATACATGTACTACTCCATCAGTAATTATATAGGTTATAAAACTTTCCCCAAGTAGACATTTTTAAATATGATGTCATATTTTATCTTAGAATCAACAGGGAGCCTCTGGAGTTTTGAGAATGGTAGTGAGATGGTCTCATCTGTGATTCTGTGAGCTATGGGAGGATTACTTGGAGAGGAGAAAGACTTGCAGCAGATAGACCGATTAGGGGGCTGTTGTATGAGCCCGGGCAAGATGTGATGAGGTCCTGAGCTACAGTGATCCCTGGGTCAGTAGGAAAAGGGGCCAGATGTCAGTAATGAAGAATCAGAACTGATTGGATGGGTGGGAGGGGCCAAAATGAGGCGTCCAAAGGACCTGGAGCTTGGGAGAAACTTGCATGACTGGAAATATGGTCATGCCCTTGATAGTAGCTGGGAAGTTTGGAAGAGAGGAGGGTTTGGCCTATGGGATTAACCCTGGTTTACTCAAAATGGAGAGTGATGGGGCTCTTCCTTGCCGCAGTCCAGAGGTCATCTTGGGGGGGGGGCAGCGGTATTGAGACAGGGTTGGAATTTTCTGTGCCCTGAAGGGTCACCACCCTACTTCAAATGGGATACTGGTATGTACCTCATGGAGGTAACTTATATAATAGAGGGATTGTTGGGGAGGAGGGCAAGTATGGTTGTGTGAGAGCTGTCTTTCTATTTGGTTACATACCCTTTGGGGACCCACTTCGAAGACCACTGCATTTTATTATCTATTATTAGGAAACTGTTGATATGTCTCTCTGTGTGTTGGGCAAGAGGAGGAGAGCACCTGGTAAAGGGAAATGCCCTTTGGGAGTTGCCAGACCCTTAAAGCTGAAATAGAGCTTTATTTTAAGTCAAATGGTCTTCATGATAGGGAGAGTGTATTGAAATAGTGCTGGATTTGGAGTTTGAGGGCCTGGTTTCAGATTTTGCTCTGCCACTATAAAGGATGAGCCACCATAATTTCTCACTGAAATTGATAGGCTTGTACCAGATTCTGTTTGTTGCACTTCACAACTTTCAGTATTTGTTGCTGTGAATGGACTCAAGGAGTGTTATCACCTCTGAAAGCCAAGGTTTTTTCCCTTGTGAAAACATATATTTTAGAGCTTATATTAATTTAAAGGCTTTTAAAGTCCTTGCAACCAGATTATATCTTTTTAGCCTTGTTCAAGTTATCTTTCGCCAACCATAGAAAAAGTAGTCAAATCAACACATATTTAGTGATTACCTGTTACGCAAAAGACGTTATGGGAAATGCGTAACAAGCTAACTGAATGGTATAGAGAAATAGTGTCCAAGTTTAGATAGTTTAGGTATTTATTGCCTTCCAGGTGCCAACCTAAATCATGGACTGGTCATCTGATTTGCCAGAGATCCCAGCAGGACTGGGACCTGAATCCATGCCCCCTGACTCTTCACACAGCATTCCTCTGAGGGATCGAGAAAAACATTTAGAGGAAAGGGCTTTTGTTTGTTGAGAGTGTTAGTCCTGCTAAGGGTTTCTACCTTCCCCGAGGTACTTCCCGAGGGCCTTTTTGAACAGTTCTGTGACACAGTTTTGCAACCTAGTTTCTAGTGGATTTTTATCTAGGGTGGGTGTTGGATTTAGTCTCCATCGTGTAACACTGACTCTGGTACTATGTCCCCAGTGGAGGGTCAGATGTAATCAGGGGGTAATTCTGACTTAATTGGAGAAAACCGAAAAATAAATTTTTGCTTACAATTAAGATGCAGAAGCCATATTTCACAATTTGGAAGCTATGTCTTCCCAACTAGGAGTGCATCTCATTGTGGGCTTCTAGGTTTGGGTGACTGAGATGCCAATCTTCCTTCTTAGCTGCTATGCTGCTTGGTCTCTTTTAGACCCTTCACTCCTTGAAGCCAGGGGACATGATGGAAATAACACAAAGTATTTTTTCCTGTACCTACAAAGACAAGACGTATTTGGCTTTCTTGAAAAGACTGTGGCATCCCTGTGGAACTTGATAAGAGTTAGGATTTACTAGCAAGGCAGCTTCTTCAGGATGAGAATGTCTTTAGCATAGAATTATTACTATTTCTCTCACTTGGAGGGAGGGAGGGAGGGAAACCTTTTTCTTCTCCCTGTTCCCTGGAAACTCCCACTCTAATGAGAACACGTCTCAGAGGTGAATCCTTCTCTGTGTTACATGGATTTCCTGTCCTTCCAAAATACTCGGTCACATTTTTGAGAGAACAAAGAAAATTACCTGTGATAAAGGCCTCCAGCATGATTCCCAGGAGCATCTGGGTGGCCAGTAAGAAAACTGCTCCGGGACATTCACCACTGGGGTACATGGTCCCATAGCCAATGGTGAGCTGCGTCTCCACTGAGAAACAGAATGCATCTGTGAAACTGGTGAGGTATTTTACACAGATAGTGTGGTTTTCAGGTGGTTTGTCATGGTTGATCCCAAGATCGCCATTCACCTCTGCCAGAACATACCAGAAGACTGCAAAGACAAGCCAGTGAAGCACAAACGATGCAGAAAAGATCAGTAACATCCATCGCCATCGCATGTCTATTAGGAGTCCCCACACGTCTTGGAGCCGGGCAAGGCAAGATCCCGGGGCTTTGCCCATTTGCAGGGTGCTGTGGCCATCTTTGGTCACCATCCTCTTGTGTGTCTGAGTCAGGAGTGGAGTCATGTACTTAGTGCCATCCATTCTGGACTGTTGCGCTCTGAAACCAGAAGATCTATTGGTGGCAGATGGTTAGTCAACATGAAAAGATTCTGACAGCCCCCACTAACATACAGTCTTGCACAAACACGCCAGCCCAAAATGATACCTTCCCTGTCTAAACTCTTACAGTATTTATCTATACCGTTCAGTAAGCTTGTTTTGAATTTCCCATAATGTCTTTTGCATAACAGGCATTCACTAAATACTTGGTTGATTTGATTACTTTTTCTATAGTTGGCAAAAGATAACTTGAATAAGGCTAAAAAGAAATCATCAAAATTGAATGAATTAATGACTTGTCACTTTATAATATTTAGATTAAAAAAACTGGAATTACTTGGCAGTTAAATTTCTATATAGTACCAGCTTTTTTAGATCACATCTACCTTGAGAATTTTCTATAAGGAAGCTTACTGTACAACGAACTTAGGAAACAGGTTGATGCTAAGCTTTTTGTCCCACTCTAGAGGCAGACAGGTGTTACGTAAGAACATATGTAACAATGAAGCATAACAGTGCTTCATCCACCTGTTCATTGTGTAGTAGGAATGGCACTAAACAAGTACCATTGGAGATTTTAAAAGAAGTTGAGCAAAATGAATCATTATGAAGGAGTCTAATGAAATGTCAGTTTTATAAAGATATGACACCATATAATAAAATGGGAGTTTGAACATTTTCATTGGCAGGTTCTCACTGGGGCATCTGGTTTTCCTTTGTTAAGCATAATTGGGTGTGTTTCACCTATGCTCACCCTTATGTGTGGTGTGCTAAATAAGGGGCTTCTACACACCGGAAATGAAATGAGGACTTTTTCCCATTGAATACACCTTTTAGAAAGAGTACATCATCACAGTAGTGGCCTGTTAGTTATAATCTCTACATAGAAACCTTGTCATTATTTTTACATCTTTTACTCGGAATAAGGATGCTTAAGAAGGCTCTTAACAGAAGCATTCAGCGTGGAAACTCTGCTCCTGTGGCTTCTTCGGGTGCTCTCAATAGCCATTGGCCTGACTTGGAGAGTTGAAAAATGAGGCAGATCACAACTGGTTATTAGATGATTAGTTATTTATTCCTCCTTTCTGCCAGAAAGATTCATTTTATGTCTTTCTGTAATTTTCTTTCTGAATTTTAGTCTCTGAAACCTTTTTTCTTCCTATTGAGCCATTGGATTTGAACCCCCAATTTAAAATGTTTCAGAAACATTTAAAAGGAGAAAGAGAGCATCCTAATTTTCCAGTTTTCATCATGAATCTATTTAGGGTTAACTGGTTACTTAAACTTCACATGTATACATTTTTAATGCTAGGTTGTCCATTAACACAGTTAAAAGCATTGCTGTCATCCTCCAAGTATAATGAAGATTACATGTTAATAACTAATTAGACCCTTGATGTAAAAATGATTATAAAGGTCTGTCATATTAGTGGTGCCCTGGCGTAATTATTTAATGACTGATTTTGCTAGGCACCATGCACAGACACATACTCACTGTTTTTATGAATGTTCAGTACTTCTCCAGAGGTGACTGATGTTGCTACAAATGTAATCTGTGTCAGCATGTGATTTTATTAAGCATAATTTTATTAGATTTTGCCCTGGCCCTCTACTTAGGTTTACTTTCATTTTCTTTAATATTTCTTCATGGAAGAATACAACATGAGATAGCTCATTATCTTCAGTCATCCTTTTAGGTATACATGTGATTTTTCAGTGCAGAGACTGCTGATTTGCATGTTGTTTTTCGGTCTGTACACTCTATTCTACTTTACTTACATCAGAATTTTTCTTACAAGGACCACTGTTAACTCTTTAGTTAATTTATTTTCACACTTAGATCTCCTTGGTTCAGAAATGTGCAGCATAAATCAGTTAAGTACTTCCTAAGTGCAGAGAGCAGTAGGGGAGATCCAGAGTTTAGTTAACAAAGACCCAGCCCCTGACTTCCTGGAGCTTGACTGCCCAGGCTGATGTGACACATACACATATGAGAGACGTGATTAGCAGAAACAGCATCATCCATGAATTAAAGTTATGTGCAGGGTAAGGAGCCTGCTAACCTGGTGTACATCCTCACACTTTAGGGCCTGGGGGCCCAGCATTACTCATTGAAGCCGTGGCCTTTTGCTCAAAAGTTTCATCCTGCTTAGTCTGACTTGTCAATTTTTTAAGCTTTTTTCTTATAAGTACTCCTAATCATGAAATTCACTTATTTAAGAATTAAGAGCTTCTGCCATTTGAATTTTAATTGTGTCTTCTCCATCCCCCACCCCAGCACAGTTCCTGAATCATCTTCTTCCTGCAGTTTTGTGCCCCCTACCTCTTAAACCCCTACCAGCCTGCTCCTCTCTCTGCTCTTTCTTTTGCTCTGACAGTTTAAGTATTTCTTTTTCTTGCTAAGGAGTTTGCCTGACTTCATGCTCAAGTCATTTTTGAAGACTCTGGGGCCTTTGCTGTCTGGTGAGTCAGACACGCTGAGCTATGTCCTACATTGCTGACAACATTGGACTCTGGCCTCAGTTGTTGCCGTGGGTGTGACCCTGCATAGGTCACTTCATCTTCAGGGGCCTCAGTTTGTTCGGGGTGATTTGGGCAGGACTTGGACCAGATAATAACTGTAGTAAGGATAGCAAACAAAATAGAGGACAGTTTAAGGTCAACAAAGCAATTCATCCTCATAAAAGCTCCAGGGAATTACTGTGATAATTACCCTCGTTTTACATTTAAGGAAATAGAGGCAGACTTGCCTATGGTCAAAAAGTTAGAAAGTATCTGAGGCAGGATTCGTCATACTCTGGTCTTCTGGTACTGAGTTGAGCGCTGTATCCACTCTGCCATGATCTCTGTGGTTTTTTCTGTTTCTAAATCATATGATCATGTTCCATGTCCCCATATGCCCATGTGCTGCTTTTCTATATTTTGCATAATTCATTCGCTGTTTTGTAATTTATCTGTAGCGATCAGTATGTGTGTGTATGTATGTATATGTGTGTGTGTGTGTACATATATATGTATATATATGTATTAGATTGTAATCAAAGATTGCCCCTAACCTTTTCTATTGTTATTTCTTTTGTGCTATCTGCAAAGTACTTCATCTTTTAGTGGATTCTGTCATTCAGTAAGTTATATTTTGATTGAATAAGTGAGGATGAATGAATATTATGTAGATGTTGTTACTGACTTCTACTTAGATGATTTCCGTCAGCTAAAATGCTTGTAATGAAATGAGTAGTGGAAAAGAAATTTTGAGAAAGTTTTATTTGAGTTGATAGAGCAAGATTTCGTACACGCACACACACGTGTGTGTGTGTGTGTGTTTTACTACTTTGGTGAGTTAAAATAAAGGACTATTAGACCCTTCAAGCTAAGGTCCTGAAATTATGTCTTCTCTGCCATGGTTTAAAATACTGTAATTCACACTATGTGGTAAAGATAAGTCATAACAATAAATATCATCTTAGTTGATCAGTTTTATTCACATTTGTTATAAACTGGGTCAGTACAGTTAAGACGTTATTGAGAATTATATACCAATTTTCTTTTTACATAATTGATAAAAACTACAAAATAATAGCCCATTCAGACCAATTAATAAGCTTCATGTCCTTTTTACTTTTTGTCTCCTTAATAGAAATAACTTTTTATTCCAATCTTAACCATCAACTTAAATAGTGAATTAAAATTAGGATATAGGTAGTGAAAGGTAGAGCAAGAGAGAGAGAGAGTGTATGTATGTGTGTGTGTGTATCCATTAATTGAAAATAATAACTATGCCAGCATTTAAATCCTTTGTCATTAGATTCTCAAATGTCCATTTTAGGAGTTTTTACTCTTGTAATTTACCCCTACTGAGTAAAAAGCAAAGCATAATCTTAAAAAAAAATCTTTTTAATTCCTTCCAGTGACTCTGTTCTCCAAGTGAAGTTTCTGAATCATAATCAGATATAGGCATGTATTCAGTGAGGTGATGAGAAATTCCAGGAATATTTTCAACCAGGCCATCCCATTTCTGATATTTCAAAAGAAATAATAGCCTTACTTCCGCCCTTCTAGTTAGTTATATTTTCATAGAATTACCCATATTGGACATAACTAATTATGACCCCTTACCTTTCTACCTACCACCCCCCCAACCCCCCCCATTAATAGTTTTTAATAGATAAATACTTACCAACTGTTTTGAAGCTTTGGCTAATGTGCAAAAATGTGGCTCTTTAGGGAATCTTGGAGGGGTATTTCTCTTTAGGCAGACAGCCCTATCTACAAGTCTAGTTTGTAGGGCTCTCTTGTTGAACTGGGTTTACAGTTCACATTCCTCTGTTTATAATGCAGTGGGGGCTGGTTTCTTCTGAAGCTGATGTGATTGGTCACTTAGTCTGCAGGGGGGCCAATTAGCTCTGATCATGTGGAAAAGAATGCTCGTTTGTTAGGAGGTCTTTCTTTACCCAACACAAACCTTAGCAGCCCTAGAGAAATCCTCCAAAACTGACTTGGAGAAGGGGTACATTTTTTTCTCTAATCAGAATCCGACTTTAGTAAGTTTTGCATAATCTTCCTTAAGGTTTTATTTGGAAGTCCAAAGGGATAAAATTCCTTACAGCTTTCCGTTTGGTCTTCTCTTTTATTGTAGGTTAAAGTACAAGATACTTCTACTAATAAAACCTCCTTTCTCCTATCACTTTATTATTTTTTTTTCTCCTATCACTTTAGATAAGGTTTATTTTGGAGAAGAATGTTATAATCAAAGATCTAAAAGAGACTTTTGAATCTAGCTTCCGTATTTTACAGATGAAAAAATTAAGATTCAGAATCCACAGTCATTTTGGTGATAAAGCCAGAACTAGAATTTAGGGTTAGAAATAGGCCAAGATGTTACTTTTATCTCTTTTTCAAATGTCATTCCTAGTTAGAATGGCTATTACAGGTTCCAGTGTTGTCCTGTTAGTAATAGATCATTGGGGAAAACCCCTCAACACATTTATAGGTCAGTATAGTAATATCTAGGACCTAACCTGTCCAATGACTTCTTTGGTAGAGGAACGGAAGAATTCAGTTATAAATCCAGCTTCAGGGGCATTTAAGGGATTTTTGCTTTAATGGCAAATATGGTGAACCTCAGTAAAATAAGGTGTACAGGACACAGACAATTCAGCTCAATGCCATAGTAGTGTTTAGCTGGAAACTTCTGTGTGCAAGCTTGTGTCAACACCGAAATGAACTGTGGGGATAGCTTTGTCGTGCCCTGCAGAGCAATACTTTTTCTTCTCTCTATTAGCTACTGATGTGAGAACTTTGATCCAACATTCTATATAAGAGGATCTGAGGAACAAAGACTCTCATTGTGTCTTGCAGGTTGAGCTGTTGGAGACCTGCTGGGCAAATTATTAATGTGGACCTATGTAATGCTCCTTAGGGAGTGAAATCGGCCCTTGGGGACTTTGGCTCTTTTTGTAAAACAAACAAAAAATTAATTCTTGCTTTGTTTAATTAATACCAAACATTTCAATACAAGTTCAGACACAGCATCTAAAAATCTGATCGATATTATGTGACCTTCTGAATTGTGGAAGGTAAAACCCTCGGAAAGGGACCTGTGGGATATCATTTCACTCATTCCTCTTTCCTTCATTTTTTTTTCTCTTAAAAATTTTTTTATTGCTATCTTTTGTTTTTATATCTCCTTTCTTTCCCAATATAACTCTTATTTTCCCTCCTCCCAGAAAGCATACTTTTGAAAAGGGAAAAATACAGTTCAGCAAAACTAATCAACATAATGAAAAAGATTAACATACACTGTTTCACATTGATAGCCCTCACCTCTGCAAAGAAGTTACCTTCTCATCTCTCTTCCTCTAGGCCAAGCTTGGTCATTATATTTTCTAGTATTCAGTCTGATCATTTTGTTATTGTTCTTTCTATTTACATGGCTGTAGTCCCTGTGTACATTATTTTCCTGGTTCTGCCTCCTTCACTTTACATTAGTTCATATAAGTTTTCTCATGCTTCTTTTCATTTATCGTATCTATCATGTCTTGTGGCTAAAGTAATATTCCATTACGTGGACTTCACTCTGATGGGCCTCTGTTTCTTCATCTGTTAAATGAGGGAATAGTATGGAAAGAAAGTTAGATTTGGAATGTGAGGACCTTGATTTAGATCTTCATTCGTGCTTCCTACCACCTGTGTGATGTTGGGGAAGTCACTTCCTCCTCCTGTTCCCCAGTTTTAGGTCCTAAGTCAAACGACAGAGCATTTCAAAGCCGGCCTGCTTTTCTGTGTTGCTTCTGAGTTTCTTTCTCTTCTGTCCATTTTCTTTGAAATGTTTCAATGACCCTCTTCTTTTTTTTTTGGAGCCGGTGGAACTATTGCTGATGTCTCCTAAGTTTTTCCTAGGGTTGCCCATATGAGGCAGCTGGCTCCCTGTGCCACATCCAGGAAGCTTCATAGAGTCTTTCCTTCATGTGGTAGTAGAAATGATAATTAGCTGTTGGCAGGCTGATTTTTAAAATAAATTCTGAGCATTTTATAGCAGCTGTGACGTAAACAGATAATATGTAGGGCAGAGGCTTATGATTCTAACTGCCAAGTGGCTTCCAAGTAAGTGTCTTATAGTAGAAGGATGAAATTGGGAATTACTTTCAGTAAAATGAACTCTTACAGTCATCATATCCCAGTAGATTTTTATTAATTGATATTTATACTGTATTTTAACAGGGATAGTTACAACTTCAAGAAATAGGGTTTTAGAATGTAAACTTTGAGATCTTGAGGTACAAGGAAATACATTATATGAAACTGGCGCTCATTTTACAGAATTCTGAACTCTTTGAATGATATTTTTGAGTCTTGTCAAATTTTAGACCAGGAACTGGATTTCTTGGAAGAAGACAATTGAGAGGTAACAAATGAACCTCCTTCCTTATGACAGTTTCCTCTCTTGTAAGTCAGAGTAGAAATCCTGACAAACAACAGAATTTCCAGAAATGGCCTTAACTGGAAAATAAGTGAACTGGAGATAAGTGCTGATTGTTTTTTTTTTTAAATTTGTGGTGTAAGAAAAGCAGTAACGAGCACCAGAGGGATGGTGATCTAAAATGGTGTAATGAGGGCAGCATCAGCCACACCATGAGAGATGTGCAAATGCTCAGCTGACAGGGAATCCACAACAATCTGAATAGAGCTAAGACAAGGGAAACCCGCAATGTAGACACATGGAAATGATGTAAAGAAAGTTAAAAGTCTCAGTGGAGGCAGTTAAGAGCACCGTTACTACAGAAGAGGGCAAAGTAGTAGAACTCAAGGTGGAAAAGCCACCTTAGAAAAATAATGGAATTGGAAAAAGATGATGGAAAAAATGCAGATAAAAACAACAAGATTGGGAAGACAAATTAGATAAAACATAATGGGGAGGTGTCCCCCAAGTGCAGAATTACCACATTATTTCAGGAAACTATAAAGAAGTTTCCCAGATGTGTCAAAACTAAATGCCACACTACAAAGAGAAAGTCTTCCTAGAAGCTCAACGTGGAGATAATGGCAGTCTGGACCAGAGGTCATGCAGACTCTGAGAGGGCCAGATCTATTGTATGTCAGTTTTCTGAGAGAAGTGGAAATGTGGGTGTGTTCCTGACAAGGGATACCCTTTAGCGACATTGAAGAAGCTCCCCACTACTGTAGACTGACATTTAAAGTGTTGGTTAAGGCCCAGCATGACTCTTCAGTCTGTACTCCATGACTGTCTCAGGAGTTTTGAAGCCTCTCATTTGTCACGTGTCAGTGTGACCCCCTGGTTATTTTGGATCGATTTGGTTTTGGAATGATATAGAGCAACCTTGTCACAAAGAACCCAGATCAGCTGCATTTGTACAGTGAAGCCCAAGGTCTCTGTGCCCTACCTTCTTCTGTGTTTCCTTCCTGGCTAGAATCTCACCCCCAGTAGTCTTTAAACATGTACATTCATACCATCTTCATGTGGGCTTGCCTCTTGTCCTTCCAGCATACAGGGATTCTGAGGACCGCCAAGATTCTGCTCTGGGCCCAGGGCTGTCCCAGAGTGCCTTACTTTCTCGAAAGCTAGTCTCTTTACCCCAAAATATCCAAGCCCAAAACAGCCCCAACAGTAGCTTTTTTACCTTTAACCACACTGCTAATTCCTAGCCGATCCCAGGCTCTCTGTTAGATGTAATGTTGGGGTCACATTGCAGTGAAAGAAGAAATTGTCGAGAAAGAAGGAGTGCTGACTTGGAACTTAAAAAGACTTGGGTTCAAGTCTTGTCTCCGACATACTGAGTGTGTGACTTTCTGCACATCCCTTCACCTCAGTCCCCCCCCCGCAAGTCTCTTAAGCTAACTAAGGAGCAGTGAAGTGGCTGATTTTGTTTTGGTCAAGTAGGTCCCTATACTCATGAAATCACAGGGTTCTTCCCCTCCAAACCCCTGCCCTCTGAAAAATAAACAAACAAACAGGCCTGTTAGACTATTAAAAGGCAATACTCTCTGGAATGTCTGATAGTCTTTACCCCTCAGTTCTCTGACATTAAGGTTTGTTATTGAATATAAAAGGAAGACAGACACATTTTAAAAATGTGAATAGTAACATGTCACAACAAATAATAGCAGAGATTATTTAGCATCTAATGTAGAAACCTTGTATACTAACAAGTTGATATATCTCTGTCCCATAATTCCGCTTTTGCTTTTTGAAAGTGGGCTTTCGTAGGCTCCAAGCTTCCCAGCTGTAGATTGTGTTGGCCGAGGGCCTCTTTTGCTCTGTCTGAAGTTTTCCATAAACACCACTGTTGGCTGTCGGTCAAACATGCACACAGGTGCCCTTTCACTGCTCTTTCTCCTTAGGAAGTCCACTCAATTAGACCAGGCCAAGGCCAACACTACATTTTATTTTATTTTTCGTTGTAGAAAAACCCTGCCCAATGTTAACTACAGTATGTAAGGCAGAAGTGTCTCTGAAACACCCGAGTTCTGGGGAGGTTGTACGACAGTGATTCACTGCAGTCTCAGAGGACTCAATTCCAGGTGACCCTAAAGCCAGTGGAAAGAGAAGCTACCCAGTGGGTGCTAGCAGCATGTGCCGCTTTCCCCAGTGATCCTTCCTTTGTTTATGAGAAATGGCTTCCAGGACACATTGAACTCAACAAGGGCTGGCCAGTTGGCCATAATGTAGCACGTCAAAGCCAGAGGGGGTCCTCTGGTGTCCCGGGCAGCTCGATTACCCAAGGAAGAGTTATAGAAAGACAGGAAGCTTCACTGTGCACATGTGGCAGCTTGGAGAGATTGTGATCTGTCCTGTCCAAGAGGTGGCGATTGGAGGCCAGGCCTCAGCGGCGTGCTAGTCCAGTTGTGGAACTGGAGAAGCAGTGAGGACACAGTTCAGCGAGTGTACATGAAGGAGTTGATGAAAAACATCTGTGCGGAGGGGCAAAGTGGAGATAAATGACACCCTTAATTTGGCATAGTTCTTTGGAGAGATGAAGGCACCTCATTCTGGAAGATGACGGGTCCAGCTAGGCTTTTTATAGTCTGCCATGTTTGGCGTCACGGTTTTTCAAGTTTTCACGTAATATTGTGTTTTGTCTTCTTGCTAGACTTATCTGTAAGCTCATTCAGCACTGGATGGTGGTGTTATATTTATTGTGCCTAATAAATGTTTATTATGTTGTTTTATTATGATAAAAAGAAGAATCTTAAGGAGAAATTAAAGGGATTGTACTTAGGGAAGTGGATGAGAGTTCAGACACAATTTGGGTGTTTCAAGGGAAGTAGAGGAAAGAGCCTGCCGGGATCTTGAGTGCAGTAGGCAGGAGATTGGGGCCTGTTTGAATCCTGTTCTGCTATTCCTTTAGCACTGCCTTTGGGAAATTCTAAGCCTTCATCAGTTTGTTGGGAGGAAAGCATTTCCTAACTTGAAAGCGTTGTAGAAATGTTACTTCATACCAGAGCACAAGTTTGTGAAAGGAAGTCTTCAAGAAAAGATGGGAATGACTCCTTCCAGTCCAGTAGGGGACTGTTAGAGTGGGTGTGCTCCCAGCATCCGCTTCAGTCTTGAGGCTCTGAGCCATAATCATAAGGATAGAGCAGTCAGTTAGAACCAGGCAACACTTGAAGAAAGCAGTAATTCCTTCTGTCTTTGGTGAATACTAACTTTCCTATGCCTATAGGCAGAAATCTGACTTGTTTAATTTCACATATGAAAGTTTTGCAGTACTGCTTATCTGTTCTTTGTAGGGTCTGTAATAATAATGTAAGTATCATAATATATACAGTATCTCAAAAGTCTCAGTGCAGTTGTAAGCTTGTAATGCTTTTGAAACCTCCTGTATACCACAATCAGAACTGTAGTTCCCACTAATTACTTAGAAATAAGTTAGCTACTTCTTAGATATTAATTTTATATAGTTTAAAGTATGGTCTGTCAATATAGGTTTGGTTTTTATAGAATATAGCTAAAACTACTGTTAAAATTTCTAACTAGTCCACGTTGGACTATTTCGGTATTTCTCTAGAGTCCTTTATCTCTAGCAAAAGTCTAAATATTTGCTGAAAAAGCCATAGAATCTTGGTGAAGAAGTTTCTTCTTACTCTATTGACATATCAGATTATCTTCTAGAAACCGTTTGCTCGGCCTTGCTCAAATTTTTTTTTTTGGTCTAATTCCTCGAAGGCTTCTGGTATCCCCATCTTTAAATTTTTTGATGGTCTGGACCTGTGAGTTCACTGATGTGGGGAAGTGTGTTTCACCTCAAAGCAGGATCTGAGTCCAGGTTTTCCCAGTTGTACACTGCACATTTCTATTTTTGCTCTAGAAGTAAACAGGCATTATTAAAATAATAGCTCTGGAGAGGAAGTGGGCTTCACATGTATCCCATTTCGATTTTATTCTGGCCCACTCAGTTGTACTTACAGCCTATTAAACCTTTGCTGTTTGGCTTGGTTTTTGTTTAAACTTCTTTGTTGTCCAGATGACTCAACCTGCACTAATACTGACCGTTCTTAAGCCATCTGGTGAACACCAGACAGAGCTGTGTCTTCTTTGAAATCTCTCTTTCTAAGTGATGGAGAATGGTTGGCTGTGAGAGTATCAGAAAGAAGTAGTGTCCATGAAGCATGTTGCTCTATTTCAGATTTATAAGAGAGTTAAGGGCATTATGATACATTTTTTAATACCAGAAACCAGAAATTGAAGTTAGTCAGCATCATCTTTCTTAGATAAGAAGATGGTGATGAGAAGATAATCGATAACCAGTGAGTGCTGAGGTAAGGCCAGGGGTAGGGGTGGCATAAATTTTACTATTTTGCTGCTCAGATTTATGTTTATTTTAAATTGAGTTTTCACCTAGTAGTACCATTATGAATCCTTCAGCTCCCTACCGCAGCAGTATTGGATTGTTGAAATGCACTTGAAAGGTTTACTTTGGAAATTTCAGGGTTTTTTCTTCCATAGATTATTGAAAATAAGATCAATCCTTATCCCATACAAGTAGAGTGATTGGAACTGGGTCACATAGTATTTATTAAGCACTTCATGTAAGGAATTAAAAAGTAATAAAATAAGGAATGCCATATGCTTGTGTGGCGCTTCATAGTTTTCTGAATGCTTTCCTAGGCATTTTCCTTCCAACCACTTGCAGGCTAATTGGGGAGAAAACATTGGAATCCTCTGTTGTTGAGTCGTATCTGACTGAACTGAGCTGCATTGGGGGTTTTCTCGGTAGAGATACTGGAGAGCTTTGCCATTGCCTTCTCCAGATGAGGGAACTGAGGCAAACAGGGTGAAGTGACTTGCCCAGGGCAGCACAGCCAGTGAGTATGTGAGTTGAGATTTGAACTCTTTCTGACTCCAGAATCCTAAAGGATTCTGCCTTCTTGCAAAAGCAAATGGTTGATGGCCTCTTTGGGGCCAGCGAATAGCCATTGGGGGATGGGGACGGGGGATGCTTCAGGTACCCGGGGTGCCAGCGTGATTGATGTTTTTTCCTTTTCTGGCAGTTATTTCAGTAAAGTGCTTTGTATTTCTCCTTCTGATATTTTCATAGAGATTAGAAGGAATCATTCTGTCACAGCAGGCTCTGTCCCATGAATTTGAAACTGCTACATTATTTATAAAAATCCCAGGGTTTGAAAATCGGAAGGCACGTCAGTGGCCATCTAGTTCGACCCTTGCATGACAGGAATCCCCACTGTCCCATGGTGACAGTGGTCATCTGCCTCCTCCAGGGAGGAAGAACTGTCACCTCTCTCAGGAGCCCTCCTCTGGACATCCTTCAGTTTGGTAACATCTTTCTTAAACTGGGGTGCCCGGAATTGAACACAGGACCAGGGCAGAGGACAGTGGGACTGTCACCCCCCACTTCCTGAGAGCTGTGCTGTTCTTGTTGCCTCTGGAGATCTCATTGGCTTTTTTGGCTGCTATGTCACATTGCTGACTCATTTTGAGCTTTGGGTCCGCTCAGACCTCTAGGTTTTTTTTCCAAAACAACTGCTCTCTAACCTTGGCCTCCTGCATCTTGTATTTGTGAAGTTGATTTCCTATATCCAAGTGTAAACCTTGATGGTTATCTGTAGTGAATTTCATCTTATTAGATTCGGCCCAGTGGTCTAGTCCTTCAAGATCTTTTTTGGTCCTGATTTTGTCATCTTCTGTGTTAGTTGTGCCTCCCAGCTTTTTGTCATCTGCAGAATAGATAAGCATGCCACCCATGCCTTTAACCAAGTGGGTGAGCACAGATGTCTACAAGAGAATGTGCCACTTGGGGTGAACTGTCCTAGGATTGTAGATCATGTTATGGGGGGGATTCTTGCAAGTTTCTAAGACCCTTTTCAAACTGTCAGATGGTAGGATTCTGCAATTTCAAAGGATGGTGGTGCAGTGTCCGTGCATGTGTATGTATGTGCCCTCTGGCTCTTAGCAAAGAGATGGCAGGCTAAATGAAACAAACGTTTTCATACAAGAGCCAATGTGTTGATTTGTTTTGCATGACTGTACTTTCTTGTTACAAGGTAGGGTTTTATTCGGGGTGAGAGTGACTGGGAAGTACCTGATTTTATTTTAAAAGAGCCTCAATGAAACATTTTAAAAAGGATGATTATATAATTCTGTTTGTCTAGGAGCAATGTTCACTAAGCAGGGCTATACCTTTACTCTTCCAAATATGTGGGACAAAATAGAGAGAAACCATAGGACCTTGGTAGAAAGATTTCTTGGTAGTTTTGTAAGGATTTTCTTGTCTTTTGATAACTTTTTATTGGTTGTTTAAGTGTGAAAATTACCCCACTCCCAGGAAAATTTTATTTTAAGAAAGCTGATCTACCAGTATATGATCTATTTGATTATTCGTGACTGGATTTGTTACTTATTGCTTAAGAATGGAAATGAGGGGTGTTGGAGGAGGTTGGGATTTAGACGTCACATCCATTTTGCAAGAGTTGTATTGGAAAAGTTCTGTGATTACTTTGTTTACTTTTCAGTGAGACCAAACTTTGAGGAAGGCGGGACGACAGTAGCAGGGAGAAAGCATGAATTTATCCGTTCTGAGAGTGAAAACTGGCGCATCTTTAGAGAGGAACAAAATGGGGAAGATGAAGATGGAGGCTGGCGCCTGGCAGGATCACGAAGGGATGGAGAGAGATGGCGTCCCCACAGCCCAGGTGAGAAGTTCAAAAATCACTGAAATAACCGAGAGCCTGGACATTGTCTAGAGAGCGATGACAATGAAGAGTGGTTGGTTTGTGCTTGGCTTTTGTCAGTACAAAATATTATCCAAGGAAAAGTGAGCTGTTGCTTGTTGACTTCTGGACCTTAGGTTCCTCACCTAGCAAACAAAGGGATCTGAAGAAATCATCACCCAAGTTTCCTTCCTGCCCCACATTTCTGTGCTTCTGCTCCTAACTCTCTATGCATACTTTTCGTCATATATTTGCTTATGTAGAAATGGGAATGGAATGTGTCCCCTCTACCACTATGGGTCTCAAGAAAGGGTATGTTATTTTATTGCTGTTTTCCCTGAAAAAGTAGTGGTTTATTTTGCAAATCAGCTTAAAACCCAGGTCAAATGTATTATCACATGTTCTTTTTCTGTATCTTCACATTGGAAGCAAGGAGAGAGAATAAGAAGTCCTTTTTGGTTCTTTTGCCTCCTCTGTTTTACTCTGAGAATGCTTCAGTCTGTTCTTTCTCCTGACATAAGATATGCTGGTAATTGAACACAGTGGTGCTTGTGTTAAAGTTCAGTCCCTACCAAACTGCTGATTCAACACCGCATGATAATCAGATGTGGATGTAGCATATGTAGGTCGTGAGGGCATTGAGGGCTCAAGCTCATCAATTGCATATGTATCACTTGATTTTGTTTTCTTTCAGCATTATATCTTGGAATGGGAAAATGGAAAAGATGAGTCTTAGAAAAGGTTACTATCCACCCACTGCCAATGCCAATTGTATTATGTTTTGTTTCTTCAAAATATAATTGTATTTATATTCTTTATTTTTATATTACTTGCACTGCTCAATTGATTTCTCCTCGAGAGTCATCCCTTATAACAACAAATTTAAAAAATAGAGGGAGAAAAATAGCTGAGCAGAACTAACATATTGAAAAAGTCTGATATCAGTCAGCGAACAAGTATTCATTACATGGTTCCAGTGTGCCAAACACTATACTTGGCTGTGGGAATACTAGTACAAAAAATGAAATAGTCCCTCACAAGGAGCTCACGTTCTAATGGTAGAGGGCCCTGGCAGCTGGCGGAATCACGAAACTGTCATGCTGAGGATGGTATTTGAGCTGTGTCTTTAAGGAACACAGGGGCTCTGGGAAGAAGAGGATTGCAGGCATGTAGGAAGGGAGATGGGGTGCTGTTTGACCAGATGATTAGAGAGCATGTATCACCTTCCTGATGCCATGATCCTCTTCGGGAAGGAAGGTCAAATAACAGGATAGGAAGTAAAGTCCATGGAGGCTGTAAAGATAGACTGGGGCCAAGTTACTTGGGACTTCCTAGCTAAACAAAGGTGATCTCTAGGTCAATAGGAAGCCATGGGAGTTGATTGAATAGCAGGGTCCTGTGGTCAGATCTGCATTTAAGGAAAATGTCTTTGGTAGCTGTGTGTGGGAAGGATTGGAGTGGGGAGAGACTGGAGGCAGGGAGACCAGTTAGGAGGCTGTTGACAAGTCAGTAATCTAGAAGAGAGGTGATGAGGACCTACACTCAGGGGGGCTCTTGGTGGATGGGAAGAGTCAGATGTGAGAGATGTCCTGACGGGAGGAATGGGAAGAATTGGCCATTGTCTGGATCTCAGGGGGCGAGGATCTTGTCAGGGTCACTGTGAGGAGGGGTGGGGTTGAGGAGGTGCCTTTGCCAGAAAAGGGGACCGTGTTGGGGGAAAGCGTGAGCTCCTCGTCCTCCTCTGCAAAGGGCCGGGTTTGCTGATTGCAGCTTCAAGGATTCATCTCCATTGTCTCTGCTCCTCCCATTTACATTGTTGTAGTCGTCATGTATACCTTTTCCTACTTTTACTTCCTTTACTTTGCATCGTTTCACTTGACTTACTGTCACATCTGTGTTCATCCCATTCATCGTTTCTTACAGCACAGTCATATTCCATTATGTTAATGAACTGATGTTTATTTAACTATTGACTGGGGGCAGCTGCATCACTTCTCACTCTTTCCTACTACGGAAAGTGCTTCTGTAAATATTTTGGTGTATTTAGTGTATGGGGCCTTTTTATAATCAGTGTCCTCCTTAGAACATAGAGGTAACATTGGAATCTCTCTGTCAAAAGGCATTACATTTTAATTATTTTCTTGCAGAATTCCAAATCACTTTGCAGAAGAGTTGCACCGGTTGACAAATTCCACCAGTTCATACTCTATAGTTCATTAATGTGCCCATATTCTTACAACTCCTCGAACCTTGACTCTTCTCTTTAAATCATCTCTGTCAGTTTTCTCCATGTGAGTTGAAACCTCAGGGTTGTTTTGATTTACGTTTTTCTTATTATTAATGATTTGGAGTGTTCTTTCATATAGTCTTTAAGAGTTTATAGCTCTTCGTTTGGGATTTATTTGTTCATAACCTTTGACCACTTTATTGGGGAATGGTTTTTGTACTTACATATTTGTTAATTTCCTTCATATTTTGGATATCAGACTCTTATCAGAGACGTTTGATAGATTTTCCCCCAGGCAGCCACTTACTTTCTTGTCTCACTTGCATTCATTTTGTTCATGCAAAATTTTTTCCATTTCTTCTACTTGAAATCATCTGTTTTGTCTTTGTAATTGTGTCTATTCCTGGTTTGTTTAAGAAATCACTCCCTGGCATAACTATGAAAAGTATATGTCCTGGTTCTCTTCCAATTCTTTTTTATTGGTATGACCTTTTAATATTCAGGTCATGTGGGATATTTATTTTAAAGATTTTTAACATACCATTTGAACTTTGCTTTAGTGTATAAAACCACTAACCACGTCATATAAGACCTATGTAGCTTATCGAGTGCTTAAACAGTGTAGCTGGCATTATTTTATTGACATTGTTAGAAGCATAACAAAGTATAAAGAAATTTTATGTCATTTTATAAACTCTGTCAGGGTAGATGTTTTTGACAGTGCCCATTGGGGCTTTTCCTTAGATTTCTGGGCACACGGGATCTTTGATTCTCTTCTCTTCCATTCATATTCTCACCAACATTGGTCTGCCTTGGGCATCCAAACAGGATTGTTCTAGTTCGAGGTATCATGGCATTGGTGCTGTATTTGCCAGCTTAGTGGAGGGGGAGGGCTTGTAGAATGTGTTCCCAGTGAGTGAGTATTCGCTGAAAGAATGGACAAGATCCGAGCTAAGAGAGAAGATAAATTCCAGCTGGTCAAAAACAAACAAGGTGAATGTTTTGGAAGAGGAGCAACATTTCTCAGCCTGTGTAGTGTTGATTCTATTAAAGGGAGTTAAACAAAGTAAAATTTCAGACTCTTCGACTATCCCTCAAATCCATTTTAGGGAGATTATTTTTTCTCTGACTCATCTTATAAACCTTAGATTAAGGGGAATTTGTCAGTATATTCAACACTAATATGTAAATCTGTTCTCTTATTTTTTTTTTGTTTAGTTTTGTTTGTTCATGTCATTTTCATGCAGTAAGACTTTAAGAAAGAGGGAAGCACTGGGTTAGAAAAAAGAATGAAAATTGATTTCTTTCAAAGGAAACAATTTTTTTCTCATCCCACTACGTAGAAAGTTTTTGAGTAATATTCATTATAAGCTGTCTCTTTATGCTTGTTAGAAGAATATAATTTTAAATGAATATTTGCCTGAAGTTTTTGTCAAGGTTGTCTTGGTTGTTTACACTACACAATATAGAAAACTGCGCCAGGAATTTCAGTTTGGCCCCTGTAGGCCTTGTAGACACTGTGATGCTAATTTAGACTCAAACTCCAGACCAGTAGTTTGCCAGCCAAAAATACGTCTGTCCCTAGCACCAGACCTAAAGATTGTACTCAGTATCATAAAGAGTACGTTATCATAATTATTGGTGAACTGTTTCTAATATGAAATGCTAATGTGGCAGCAGGGTGCTCTAGAACCTGGTAACCTATTTTTTATTGAAGTAGTATTTTTTACAACATAGTTCCACTGAGGCATACATGTGTGGAAGTGAGATAATAGGTCACCCTAGTACTCGATGTGTATGATAAGCTAAACACCTGTATCCAGAAAGGATGGAGGCCACACACAGAAATAGATCTTTAAGTGATGCTGGCTGCATATGTGGACATTTGTTAATTGTTTATATAGCTTGGATGCCAAGCTCTTATTAGAAATTTGATAGAAGAATTTTTTACCCCATTTCCCAGCTTCCTTTCTTTTCCTAGGCACATTCTTTTTTCTTTTTTGTGCAAAAGCTTTTCCATTTCATGTAATCAAAATTACCTAATTCATCTTTTGAAATTGCCTCTCTTCCTCATTTAGTTAGGAATATATTCTGCTCGTAGCCATGAAAGGTAGGATCTGCTTGTCTTCTAATTTTTTCATGTGTCCATTTTAAACGTATTATGGAATACGAGTGAATGAATGAAGCTTTTATGAAGCACTCACCATATGCTCAGCTCTTTTCCGTATATATCCCTAGCACTTTGCAAAATCAGAGGATCCCTAGTGCGGGAGGCAACATATAGGGAAGGTTTCAGATGCAGTTCTGGTAGGCAAGTCGTTTGGGCCTTGGGATGTGCTGACAAAGCACATACTAGTACTGCTTCTGTATGGTCTTTTGTGCTGATAAAATCCTCGCAGTTTCTGATGTTGAGCAACCTGACAGGATCAAGGACTTCCCATTTTGGGTCTTCAGTCCCTACAGAAGTCATCCTCAGGCTGCATCTTTTCAGACAGAGCCCGCTTCTCTGGAAGATGGCGGAGGGCACAGGGCTGGAAGCGTCAGGCTAGGGGCCTGGACTTTTCTCTACCTGGGGAAATGGAGATGGAGATGGGGATGGCGAGTTCTGACCTGTCTGGCACACGCGGTCTCCTGTCTCCCAGAGTTCCTTGCTGCTTCATCTAGTTTGGCCCACCTGGCCTGTGTGTGGCAGTTGTCATTTGGTGTAGGGGTAGCTGCCTGTGAGAGGTAATCTGGAAGCAGTGTGCTGCCCCTCCCAGGGCTCCTGTGCCCATTTGCCTGTTGGTGGCAGCTAGTCAGCAAGCTGCTGCTGGTGATGAGGAAGGGGATCTCCTCTCCGCAGTGATTTCTCCCTTCAATACTGACTAGCCAGTCAAAAAAAAAAAAACCGACTAGCCAGGAAGCAGGTCCAGGCATTCCCAAGGCACTACAGAATCCTGGGCTGTCTCCCATCAGGGTCTGAGGGGGTGAACCTCTCTGTTCATCACCTTCTTCTCCTTGATCTGCTTGCTACTTTCTTCTGGTGTAAAAGGTGTCGATCTAAGTCTAATTGGTGCCAGACTGCTTCAAAAGTAATTTTACGTTGTCTTTCATTTTCAAAATGAGTATTTCCTCTACCCCCCTTCCCCCCTCCCCCAACTTCATTGTAAGTGAGCTAGTAAAGAGGCTTTCACCAGGAGGAGCTCTATGTTATCCATAGTAGAAGTGACTAGCTTGCTCACAGTTATTTGCATACTGAATTGCCACTTAAGGGTAAAAGCGTAGCTCATATCACATGTTGTTAAGGGGTAGGAAGTAACAGATAGGCTCCCCATACTTGTGACTTCTAAATGTCCTGTTCATATCCTACCCAATACTTTCTTTCCTTCCCTCTAAATTTTCTTAAGAACTCCCTATCCCACTCTCCACTGTGGTTCTTCCAAACCTTTTAAAACCTCCCATTCCGTTCCTTCCCTTCTCCCTGTCTCACCTGCGGACCGTTCACTGCGAGTTCCCTCTTCTCCTCTCTTAAGATTCAGATGCCGTTTGCCACTGTCTCCTCCTCTACCCTGTGTCGCCCACAGAGAGGTGGCCCTGTTTCTTCCTGATAGATTGTTTCTGCTCTTGTCCCCACTATTTTACTTATCTTCAGTTTCTCCCTAGCTACTGGTTCCTTCCCTGCATGTCCCTCATCCTCCAAAAACGCCTCCAGCTTGATTCTTTCATCCTTGATAACTATTGTCCTGTATTTCTTTTGCCTTTTGTGGCCACATTGCTTGAAAAGACTATTTGCGATCAGTGCCTTCATTTCCTTTCCTCTCATTTGTGCCTCTTAATCCCCTACAGTTTGTCTTCTGACTTCATTCCACCAAAACTATTCTCTCCAAAGTTACCAATGATCCAGTTGCCAGATTTAGTGGTCTTTTCTCAGTCCTCATTGTTCTTGACCTCTCTGTTCATCACCTTCATCTCCTTGATCTGCTCGCTACTTTCTTCTGGCTCTCCTCCTTGCACTCTGACTGTTCTGGCCTGGGCCCTCTGTTCTCCCTTCTCCCTCTGTACTACTTCACTTGGTGACCTCGTCAGCTCCCATGGCTTTAAATGCCATCTCTACGCTGATGATTCTTTTTTGTTTGTTTGTTTTTTTGTTTTTTGTTAATTTATTTTGATTTATCAACAATCACTTCCATAAGTTTTTGAGTTTTAAATTTTTCTCCCCCTCCCTCCCCCATTCGGTTTGCAATCTGATATAGGCTATACAAATACATTCCTATTAAACATATTTTCACATTAGTGATGTTGTAAGGAAGAATGAGAATCAACAGGAGGAACCACCAGAAAAAGGAAACAAAACAAAACAGAAGGAAAAAAATAGCAAATAGTATGCTTCGATCTGCTTTCAAATTCCATAATTCTTTGGATGTGGATATATGCTGATGATTCTTAAAGTGACCTCTGCTGACCTCCAGCCTCCCATGTCATGTTGCTTTTCAGATATCTCAAACTGGTTGTTTGATTAATGTCTTAAACTCTGTGTGCTGAAAATCAAAGTCATCATCCCATTCTCTTTCCCCTTCCAAACTGACCCATCACTGTTGAGGGTACCACCAGTCTCTCAGGCTCACAACCTTGGTATCATCGTTGACCCTCTTACTATCTCTTAGAACCTGCTGTCTGCTGTGTGCGTGCGCCCTCCCCAACCAATCTGTTGTCAAGGCCTTAGCCTTCTCTTCTCTGACACTGCCACCACCCCTGTACAGGCTCTCATCTCCTCATGCCTGGATTATTGCAGTAACTTGCTGCTCATTCTTCCTGCCTCCAGTTTCTCACTACTCCAATTCATCCTCCATTGAAACCCCCCAAGCAATAAACTGATGGCTCCCTCTCATCGCCAGAATCAGATCCTGATCAGATCAAAATCCTCTATTTGGTGTTCATAGCCCTTCATAACCTCTCCTTCCGTGCTGCCCCCTCTCACCTTTCCAGTCTTCTTATACCTTATACCCTTCCATGTCTTCTTTGATCTAGCAACTCTGGCCTCTTGGCTATTCCAAAAAGAAGACCCTCCCTCTCTTGGCTTCAGCCATTCTCTCTGACTTTTCCCCATACCTAGAGGGCTCTGCCTCCTGCCTTCCACCTGAGGCAGGAAGCCTTTCCCAATCCATCTCAATTTTAGGGCCTTCCCTCTGTTAATTATTTCTTGTTTATCCTATGTGGGTCTTGTTGTACACATCTGCTTGCTTGTCGTCTCTCTGATTAAACAGTGAGCTCCTTGGTATCAGGGACTGTCTCTTGCATTTCTTTGTATCCCCAGCACTTACACAGCACAGTGCCTGGCACATAGTAGGTGCCTGATGAATGCTTATTGACTGACTGAACCATTCATTTTTTTCCTTCCCTGTCTTAGATGGTCCTCGATCTGCAGGGTGGCGAGAGCACGTGGAACGGCGACGAAGGTTTGAATTTGACTTTCGAGAACGGGATGATGAGCGAGGTTACCGACGAGTGAGGTCTGGCAGTGGTAGCATAGATGATGACAGGGACAGCCTTCCTGAATGGTGCCTGGAGGACGCTGAAGAGGAAATGGGAACTTTTGATTCCTCCGGGGCCTTCCTCTCCCTAAAGGTGAACACTTGTTTCCTTTTTCATGGCAGAGGAGAGTAGTGATGAAATGAGTTATCCAGAGTGTATGTTTCCTTGTTACAGAAAGTACAGAAAGAGCCCATTCCTGAGGAACAGGAAATGGACTTTCGGCCTGTAGAGGAGGGGGAGGAGCGCTCTGATTCGGAGGGGAGTCACAATGAAGAAGCCAAAGAACCCGATAAGGCTGCCGGCAGAGATGGGGATCGAGTAGATCGAGGAGCTGCAGGTAAGGAAGACTCTTTGGGACTTTGGCCAAACTTTAATAATTAATTTATTATTAATTCAAGATCTTTCCCTGTCACAGAAACTTCAGAAGAACCCATCAGGCCATCGTCCCCAAGTGCTCAGCCAGCTAGTGCTTCAGAGCGGCAGCCTCAGGAACCCCTGCAGCCAAGCCCATTTGAGAGGAAAGAAGAGAGCAAAACGGAGCAGCCAGAAGAAGACAGCCGGTCCGAGAGCTCCCTCCCCACCCAGGGGCCCAGCAGAGGAGAAGGTACTTGGCCTTGCCGAAGTCAGCAAAGCAACTGAAGTTGAGATGATGAGACTCAGGGGTTTCCCTCACGCTGTCCATTCTTTACTGAGAAACGGAAACTTGAGGGGAAATAACCTCACCACAGTGATCTTGTTTGACTCTATTCCTCTGCTTAATCCCCATAGTAATTATCTTTCTGTAGTATTTTGTAGTTTACATTTGTTCTCTTACTTGAGCACTGCAAAAGCCATGTGAAGTAGATGCTGTTTTTATTCTTATTTTATAGATTATGAAACTGAGACTGAGAGAGAATCTGTGACTTGCCCAGGGTCACACAGCCAGGGCCCAATTTGAACTTAGTAAACCCTTGATCCACTCTGCCACTCCCCATTCTGCAGTGCCCAGGGGACAGTATGACAGCCTCGCTATCACCAGGCTCCTCCTCTCTAGATTCTGAGAGTTTATTTTAGACAAAAACTTAGATGAGTTCAGTCATCATTGCCCTGAACCCCCAGTTAGGAAAATTTCTAACACTTAAGCAGAGGCTGCCTAACTTACCATTTATATTTATTTCTAGTTACTTCAGGCATTTTTGAGGCAAAAATTCAGTTTATTGAAAATATTTGGGTCATGAAGCAACTGATTATGGTGTACTTACTGTCTGTGGATGGAGAGGCAGGACAAGGGGATGCTGGGGAAAGAATTAACCTTTGGGAGGCCTTGTTCTGTCCCAAGATGCTTGTAATGCCAGTGACCCTCCTGGACATCTCCCTTCTCTGCCACAGGATTCTGATGCTTATGAGGCCAGTGACTTCAAATCTCCATGCCTCTTTTCTTCCTTAAGTTGTCTGTATGTAACCTGAAAGATTTGTAGTAGTCACTTTCTTTTGTGATTTGTAAAGGTCTCTAGCAAGTATGAGTTCATTCTATATGTACCTGTCACGTCTTACTCAAAGACTGTACAAATACTCCTGTAATCCTAATTTCATTGTATTGAATTATTGACTTGAAATCTGACGCAGTGTGATAAAATTCTGTTACAGCAGTAGTATTTGGACTGTCCCCAGTAGTTTTTTGTGAGAAGATCTGACTTCACTGAATATTCCCCCCAAAATGGAGGGGGCAGAATGGAGCCATACTTACATGATCTTAGGATGAGGAAAATGTGGGTTCACATGTGGTCTGTGACAGGTCTCTGACCCTGTAATCTTTGAGCCAGTCACTTGACCTCTTTTGTGCCCCAGGTAGAATATTAGGACTACGAGAGTAGGTGTTAACATGCATTGTTAGTTTTCCTCCTTTAAGACTGCTAATGAAATCACAGCTTCTGTCCTGTTCCCCTCCCCTTCAAAAAAAAAAATCCTGAAATAATTTGGATATTTCCTATGACTTAGAAATACTGTCTTTAAATTATAATTTTTGGTAACTGATTGATACAGCTACTGTTTTCACCATTTTTTCTGTTTAAATTGTTGATTTTTCTTTCATTAGTTTGCCCTGACTTAATGCAGAATTTCTAGTTAGTCTTACTGTCAGGCAGCCCAAATGCAGATGTGTGTTCTCCTGAGGCCACTATATCTATGCGAGAGGCTTTTAATGTCTTGCATCTCTTTCTCTAGAACTGGTCCCTGCTGTCCAGTCTTTGTCACAGAACTCTTCAGACCCGTCCTCTTCTGGTCTTCTCCCCCCACCTGTTGCCAGTCCAGGCCCCGCCCTCCGGACCCCCCAGACGCCAGCCGTGGCTGCTCCTGGCATGAGCGGTGTCTCTGCAGATCCAGATGATGAAGATGGCCTCAAACACCTGCAGCAGGTAAATGTTAGGCCTCCTTAGCACCAGGAACTTCCTGGAAACTGTAGCAGTATTGCACAAATAAACCAACATAGAATGTTCTTTCCTGTTTTAATTACCCAAAGGGGCAGACACATTTTGTGTCTTTAGTTATGAGAGTGAACTTTATTCCCTTTCCAGTCCTTTCATGCTTATAAATGTCTGTTATGCAGTGGTCATCATGTCAGGTTATTTTTTGCTCCTTTTGAGTTTGCCCTTGGCTGTTTTTTGCTTTCGGTATGTGAAGAATGCAAAAAAATGCTCCCTTTCAGCAATTGCTAATGGGTACCATTGTCTTGATTTTTAGTTTAGCTGGATGTTAAATCAAACAGTTAACCATTAAAGGGTCAGGATGGGAGCATCCTGGTCTGTCATTATCTGAGGAGACCCCAGATTTCCATTTAATTGTATATGTGTTGTTGTTCAGTCCTTTGAGGTTTTCTTGGCAAAGATACTGGAGTGGTTTGCCATTTCCTTTTCCAGCTCATTTTACAGATGAGGAAACTGAGGCAAACAAGGTGAAGTGACTTGCCTGGGGTCACACAGTAGTGTCTCAGGCTGGATTTGAACTAAGGTCTTTCTGACTCCAGGCCTGGTGTTCTGTCCACTGCACCATCTAGCTACCCAATTGTGTATGTACTTCTGTCATATTCAATGTAGACAATTCACCTTTAAAAAAAAAAAAACAGTTCCTCTAAGAGTTATCTCTGTTTTATAAGATGCTCGTTGTATTTTTGTCAGTTGAGCATTGGACCCTAGTTCTATTGCTGATCCACTTTTCAGGTTTATACTTTCGCATTGGTCTTTTGTTTAAAGGTATTTTTCCTCTCTCTGTATGGAGACAACTTCTGTCCTCATTCTTTTATCTCTGCAGCATTTGTAAGTCCCTCCTCTTGTTCTGTTTTGGGTGGACTTCTTCTAGCTCTCTGATCGTTCTTCATTTTTTTTTTATTAATTTATTTTGATTTATCAGCCATCACTTCTGTAAGCTTTTGAGTTTTAAATTTTTCTCCCCCCTCCCTCCCCAAGACTGTGCGCAATCTGATATAGGCTATACATATACATTCCTATTAAACATATTTTCACATTAGTGATGTTGTAAGGAAGAATTAGAACCGATAGGAGGAACCACCAGAAAGAGGAAACAAAACACAACAGAAGAAAAAAAATAGCAAATAGTAACTAGCTTCAATCTGCATTCAGACTCCATAGTTCTTTCTTTGGATGTGGATAGCATCTTCCATCATGAGACTTTTGGAGATGTCTTATGGATCACTCTTCATTTTAACTTACATTTGCTTTGTATATGTGTGTTTTTGTGTGTGTTGAATGTGTGTGGGCCTGTGTTCTCTCCCAAAAGAATGTCAGCTCTTTCACGGCAGGAACTATTTTATCTGTGTCTTAGTTACCCCCGTGCCTGGCACATGTGCTTAATTAATAGTTGTTGATGAATTAATTGCTTGGTCTTATGACCACTTTTCTCTCATGGGTGCCTTTCCGCTTCTATTACAGCAAGCAGAAAAGATGGTGGCGTACCTACAGGACAGTGCCCTGGATGACGAAAGACTGACTGCCAAGCTCCAGGAGCACCGGGCCAAAGGAGTCTCCATTCCGTTACTGCATGAGGCCATGCAGAAGTGGTATTACAAAGATCCACAAGGAGAAATTCAGGGTATGTGTGGGTGCTTTGCTCCCTCCTAGAGAAATGTCACCTCCCACACATCCTGAAAGGAAGATGATCTGTACCCCAGAAATGTAAATGGCCAGGCTCACCTCGTAATACTGTGGAGGGCAAGTCCCATGAGGGGAGCTCCAATAGGATCCCCAGCTGTGCTTCATTAGGGCCTTCGATCTCCAGATGTTTCCCTCGTCTGAAGTAAGAAGACCATTGTCATAAATGGAACCTTTTACTTTGACTCAGCAGCTGATGTTGGTGCCAGAGCGTGATGGTCGTCCTTTCAATGGGCATTTGCTCACCCAAGTACATTTGTCCTTTGGAGGTTTCACGTCTTAGCTGAAGCGTTTTCCAGTTCCAATTGTGTCATGAACGTATATCGAACTATACAGTTTACTTTGTTAGCTCCTAGTTCCACTGGTTGTATTGAAAAATGGTGGGGCAGCTGGGTGGCGCAGTGGATAGAGCACCGGCGCTGAAGTCAGGAGGACCTGGGCTCAAATCCGGCCTCAGACCAAACACTTGACACTTACTAGCTGTGTGACCCCGGGCAAGTCACTTAACCCTAGTTGCCAAAAACAAAAAACAAAAAGACTTGTATTGAAAAATGGTTAAATAATTGAAGTTAATCTCTTCTCAGGTTGCATACTTTATTTCCCTAAGTTTCTTTTCTTCTGGGAAAGAAAATAAACAAGTTTGAACAAACTTACAGCATTCTTCCAGTTGTGCCTAGAATTGCTGATTATGTGAAAGGATATTGATGAACTTATTGACATATCTTCATCACTCTAATGCTTTTACTGTGTGTGACCTTGGACAGTTCATTTTACCACTGTGCCCTTTCAGTTTTCTCATCTGTAAAATGAAAGCCCTGAACCAGATGCTATCGATGACTGTTTCTTGAGCTGCTGGTCAGACAAGAAGTTGACAGTCAGACATCATAGGTACCTTAGGCGCTACACTTTCATGCTTAGGTCTAGGGGGGTCTGCCAGCAGGGTGAACTATATTAAGAGAGAAATGTTTGTTCTAGAATGGGATCAGACTCTGGGTATGGCTGATCCGGGAATCCCTGACGTGCTTTTGTTTTGCTGGGTTGTGCCATAGGTCCATTTAATAACCAAGAAATGGCAGAGTGGTTTCAAGCGGGCTATTTCACTATGTCCTTGTTGGTGAAGAGAGCGTGTGATGAAAGTTTCCAACCCCTTGGCGATATCATGAAAATGTGGGGAAGGGTTCCCTTTTCACCCGGCCCAGCACCCCCTCCACATTTGGTAAGTAGCCTAAATTTCATCTGAAGTACCCACAAGGAGAGTATCCATTAACTGGGAAGTGGCAAAACAGATTGTTATCTACAAACAGGTATTAATTATGTAATACTCTTGTGCCATAAGAAATAGCAAATAGAAGGAGTTGGGAGAAACATGCAAAGACTTACACGAACTGATATAGAACAGTGTAAAACCAGGAGAACAAATACATAACAGGAGACTGTGTTGGCATAACCCGATACAAATGGAAACCTGGGAAATTAGTTTCCTGAAAGAAAGTACAAGATTTGTCAGGTAGAGATTCACTTTTTAAAATGAGGCATTTGGATCAAAATGACTTTATATTCCTTCCCATTCTCACCCAAAATCTATGTTAAGATCATATGATAATAATTTTCTTTTGTAGCACTGATAGAGGATTTTATAAAGAAAAAACCTGGGAATATCACTGTTTTGTGCTTATAAACATTTCCATACACATTAAACTGTACAGTTGTTTTTATTCCAAATGCCATACTCTTTCATTGCATTTTATTGCCAGCATCCAGGCCTTTTTGAGAGATCAGTATTCTACTGTCATGTACAGAGGCATTGACTGTGTTTAATACTGTAGGAATATTCCGTTTTCTGGGATTATTTTTAGGAATGGAGAGCCAAGTTGCTTTCTACCCTGGTTTGAAAGAACCTGTTTTAAGTAACTGTCATGTTCCTGGCCTGTTAATATACAACATCTGGTAACTTAAATGATCTGACTCTGGAGCTTTGAAACTAGCTTTTCTTGAGCGTCATGTAGTTGACCCCTTGGAATATAAAGTAGACCAAATGAATGGAGAAACTAGAAGACCCACTGAATTTTTCCAAGATAATTATTCAGCAGTCTTCATCATTACTTTGTAGATTTCAGAGGCTAGGTTAACCAGTTTGAGTTCTTTGACATTTCAGATTTCACTTCTCACCTGGAATATCGTTTTAGCCTTCTGTTGAGTTTACTGGATAGCCCCTTTCAGCTCTAATCCATCCTTGATAAAGCTGCCGAAATACCCTTAGTAACGCAAAGATTTCAACAGATCCACCCCCATCCTGAGAATGTGCTACATTGCATTTCTAACCGTTAAATCCCTCTCTTCCTTCAAGGCCTCCAAGAAGCCTTATTGAAAACCTTATTTTCCTACTCAGATTTTATTGTCTTAACATCTCCTTCACCCCTGTCATCTGTGATCTAGTGGCACTTGAGCCTTTGTGCACGCTGGGAGGCTTTCCAGCACCCAGGACCCTGTGCCAGGGCTAGCCATGGTCACAACTGAGGTTTATTCAGTTGAGTGTGGGTGGACTGCTGCCCTCTGGTGGACAAAGCCTCCAACTTAAAGGAGACTTGTCTGATTTAGTCTTTTTTTGCCTAGAATATCTGAGTACTTTTAGCAAATCTCTTTTAAAATGTGTAGGCTCTTTTTGTTTTTTAACCCATAGTTTATTGTCATTAACTACTTTAGTTGCTATGGGATCCCTATAGCCATCCTAATGTAGGGCTTTTTACCTCTGTGTATGTTTTAATTTCTATATAAAAAGTACATGTATATGTATATTCACACATAGCTTATCAAACATATTCAACCCAATTCTCCTCACGCTATCATTCTTTATCTTTTACTGTTAAATTCCTTAAAGGAAAAAAAAAGGAATCTCTACTTGCTGCTTCCACTTTCTCGCAGCTGTTTGCCCCATTTCTTCCCATCTCACTCTTCCTCCCTCCTTCCCTCCTTTACACGTGGCTTTCACCACCATCTCTTGTTACCATCTCAAAGTCACCAGTGATCTCTTAATTACTTACTGGGTATTCTCAGTCCTCCAGTCCTCATCCTTTTTTTTACCTGGATTGTGGCCTCCTTAACTGATTTCTCTACCTTCAATCTGTCTTCCCTGTCTGGTCCATCCTTTAAGAAAAAATACATTTTGTTAATTCCTGGTGCCTCTTCCTTCTCATTTAACCCCACTTGTGGTAAGGAAAAATAAGCAGAAAAAATCTGACTGCATCTGGCTGTGTGTGTGTTGTGTGTGTGTGTGTGTGCGTGTGTGTTTGTGTGTATAATCCTTATAGTTCAGAGCTCTCCTTGAGAAAAGAGTAGTTTTCAATGAACTCTTCTTTTGGATCTTCCTTACTGTTTCAGTTTCTTCTATAGTGATCTTCAAATTTTCATGGCATATAGTCATTGTATATTTTCTTTTGGTTCTGCTTAGTTTGCTGTGCATATAGTCTTACAAATCTTCCCACATTTCTTTGAATTCTTTGTTTTTGTCATTTCTCACTGTACAGTAATATTCTATTATATTCAGTTATGCTGTAGTTTTTTCACCTGTTGCCTACATGGTTGTTGTCTGATTTGTTTTACAGCCACAAGAAGTGTTTGTATGAGTTTTTGTCATATGTTTGTCTTGTATTTCTGTCTTTGACTTTCTTGGGGTAGATGCCTAGTCATGAGATTGCTGTGTCAAAGGGGAATGGACAGTTTAGCCATTTGCGTAATTCCAAATTGTAATGTAGAATTGTTGAATGACTTCTCAGCTTTCCAAGCATTGCCCCAGTGTACCTGTGTTCCAATATTCCTTCCCATCTTTACTGCCCCCATCATTGTGAGTTTTCATGGTTTGAGATGAATCCTCAGAGTTATTTTACTCTGTGTGTGTGCATATAATAATAATTATTATTATTTTTATGTCTTTTAGAGTTTATAATTATTTTGAAATTTGCATGTTCTTTGACCTCTATTGGGTAAATAGTTCATTGTGTATATTTTTATCAGTTGAGTATCAGTCTTTTGTTAATGATATTTGGTGCAAATATTTTTCCAATTCTTTTTAAGTCATATCTAGCGTAGAAATAAATGCATGTAGCACTCTATGGAATATAAGTGCATTTTAAGGAAGCACTAATAGAAGTTGTAGATGGCTCTGTCTTAATTTGCTAGATAAAAGGTCTAAGTCTTTCTTTATTGATATTACTTATTGCAAACACTTTTTCATTTTTTGTAATAAAAATCTGGTTTATCTTTCATAATCTCATTTTTCCCTTGGGTTAAACCATAGTTGTGAAAAATGCCTGATCTTACCCTTTTTAAATTTTTATGTTGTGGCCTTTTATATTCAGCTTGTGAATCTGTTTTGTGGTTATTGTGCTGTATTATTTCATTCTTTCTTCCCAAAGATGCTAAAATTACCTTCTTTTCCATGACCCTCCCCTGATCAAAAAGCTTTTTATTTCATTAAATATTTCCCAATTACATGTAAACAGATTTTTAACATTCACTTTTTGAAATATTGAGTTTTAGATTCTCCCCTCCCTCTTCCCTCCCCCATCCTTGAGAAACAAATAATTTGCCAATAAAAAAATCTCTAGTGATTCCTTATTGATATTGGATAAACAGACCTTCAGGTTCTAGTTCCTTGGAATCCAAGGCCCTTCTCATTCTGGTTGAAGGACATCTTTGAAGTGTTATTTCAATTCATTTCTTTCACAAATTGTTCCAGACCAGTCTGAGCTTCTCTGTTCCCTGAACTTACCATGACATCTTCTGCTTCTGTCTGTTAGTTCACTTTCTCCACATTTCTTTATATCCAGAGATCCTTCAGGGCTTGCTGCAGTACATGTCATGAGAGCTTTCTCTGAAACAGTTTTTGCCCCCAATTTTTTTCTCACCAATACACTGTAAGTTCTTTCAGAGTCAGGACTGTGTTCTTATTAAATTTTCCTAGTTGATGTCACTCTTCCGATGCTGCATGTTATGTTTCGTGTTTACCGGTCACATTAAAACCTGCCACCTAATTAGTTAGATTCTTCTTATGAGCAATGGATATAGCATAACAGCCAATTTTGCCTCCACCTAGGCAGGAATGAATGGTCATAGACTGTTTTCATATTTCAGTAAAGCTAGTATCTCATTAATGTGGGATGATCTGCTGGGAATTGCCTTGCAAGGGAGAAAGATAAGCATGTTTGCATGGGTACCTTCACTATTCTGAATCTGTTTCCAAATAGTTTCCATTTTATTTATTTCTTTATACTTATTTCTTTATATTTATTCTTTATACTTATTTATATGTTCTATGTTATCTTTTGTATTTGGCACTTCATTTTAGAAATTCTCAGATCCAGCAGATTCTTAAAACTAACTGAAATCACTGTTGAATTTTCTGACATACATTAGGATCCAACAGAACTTAAGCTGTCTTAATCATGTTGTGTTGTTTTTTTTTCCACGAGGAGACTTCATTAACTTCTGCTATTACATGCCGTCGCTGTAAGGGTTTAATTTGACACATGGCTTTTATGTTCAGCCATTTACGTTCTCTCTCTAAAAAAGTACAGTGTGTTTAAAAAAAGAAGAAGAAGCCGGCGGCGGCTTTCTTCAGTTACTTGACAGCAGTTTTTCTACTCCAGGGAGAACTGGACCAGGAACGACTGACCAGGCAGCAGGAGCTCAATGCCTTATACCAGATGCAACATCTCCAGTACCAGCAGTTCCTCATACAGTAAGACGTCACTCCAGAAGCTAAGGCGCTTATCCACACCCCTGCTGCAGTGAGGTCTGGGTTTAGGCTTGAATCTTAACTGAAGGAGAGGTTGTATCACCTTTCCTTTGTCACTGCTACTTAGATAAGATAGCGAAAGGTTTTTAGCTCCAAGATCAAGGGCTTCCAGTCTCTTTAGCGTTGAGCACAAATAAGTTTTTGTGTATTACGGAGAGGAAGAGGCAAGAGGGGCAAGAATAAAAGAATTAGAAATATAGAAGAAAGTTGGAGGAGAAAGAAAAAGGGGCTTATATCTAAAATAAGAAATAGTAGTCTTAATTTGTATTAATTGAGTTTTAACGTCCAGAAGGTAATAGATGATATTTTCTGCTATAGATAGCCATAGTCAGCTCACATTGTGTTCTTTTATCTAATTCGGGTTGTTGCATTCTGGAGAAGAAATTCAGAAGTTGTCATATGTCCAGGAAATAGTAACCAGAATGATAAAAAAGACTTGAAACTGTTACCAAGTCAAGTACCTACTATGTGCCAGTTACCGTACCACGTACTAGGAACATAAAGGCCAAAGGTAGCCCCCTCCCCACAGGGATCTCACACTCTCATGGAGACAACACATAGACAGCTGTGCACCGAAGAGCCACATACAGGATTAATTGGAGATAATCTCAGAAGGGTTAAGGACAGGGAAAAGTTTCTTACAGAGGGTGGGCCTTTAGCTGAGATTTGAAGGAAGCCAGGAGGTCATAGGGAAAGAGAGAGAACAATTTCTTGTCACAGAAGTAGTAACGAATGACTGTAGTCTTCCGTTTAAAAGTTTTCTGGTGAATCTTCCATCTCAGACAACTTGGTTGTGAAAATAGAGAACACTTAGAATCCCTTCAAAGCATGGTGAGCCCGTATAGCAAAGACCTTCGTGTGACACCTCGTGACTGTGGGTTTCCTTTTATTGTTTGTGATTCCAAGTGGATTTTCAGTGGTTGCCCCATATAGGCAGGGAGTCATTTCTGTCTTTGTCATGAATCAGCACAGGTTTTTATAGCTTAAACTGGGAACCTGTGGCTTCCTCTGTTTTGACTTTATTTGTCACTAACGAGGAAGTGGTTAAAGATGATTATTTGATGTACAGTTTATAGGGACAAGGTTGGTAGCTCGTCTGTTTCTAAAGCTGAGAACATCAGGCAGCGAGGTGTCCCAGAAGGCGTTGGACCTAGGGCTGCACATCCCGCATTAGGCTCCCTGCGTGGCGACCTGGGGAAAGCGTCTGACTTGGGGGCTTCACGCCACCTCTGGTGTTCAGCTTTCTCCTTCGTCCGTCTCGACATGCGCTTTCCCTTCTTTTTGAAGACAACAGTACGCACAGGTATTGGCGCAGCAGCAGAAAGCAGCCCTTTCATCCCAGCAGCAGCAGCAGCTGGCACTGCTCCTCCAGCAGTTTCAAGCTCTGAAGATGAGGTAGGTGCTCAGTATTCTATCCAAAAGTATCTACTTTTATTTTTTAAAATGGACAAAAATGGGGACTTATTTCCATAAAGAATGAATCTGAATCCACCTTAACAGAATTGTCAGTGTTTTGGGGGTAGGATGGCCAGTGGGTGGATGGCTTGGGACAAGATTACAAATCAGTCTCCACCTGTTAGTGGCCATAGGGGCATTTCTTGATCTTATTTTTGAAAAAGTAAAAGCCCTGTTCTGAAGCAAAGGTGCAGCTTTTCGGTCACTGCCAACCATTTTGTTGGGGCTGAACTAAGCTGGGCCAGGAACCCATATCTGAATGAATTCAGTTTCTCTTTGTGCACAGTGTTGTCACTTAATTCCCATTATTTTTCACATGAGCCAGTGGGAAGGGAATATTTAACATAATGACAACTCTCACTGATATATCTGTTAGAATTGGGCAGCTGCTAAAACTGTCATGGGGTTCAAAAATAAGCTTTCCTCTTCTTGCAGGGGCCTAATCTAGATTTTCATGTGTAAGCACGAGGAAGTCAGAGCTAGCCTATGCAGAGCGTGGTGAAACTAGAAATATGTCCTCTGTTTGCTCTGCGGCGATGTGTGGTGTGTTTTCTTCTTTTTTGCAGAATATCAGAACAGAATCTGATTCCGTCCGTCACTAGGTCTGTTTCAGTTCCTGATGCTGGCTCTATTTGGGAGCTTCAGTCAACAACTTCACAACCTACAGGTAAAACAACTGGATTATGATGGGAGAATACAGTTTTTTAAAAAAATTTATCAAAAGGAGCTTAAATCATTTCTTTTTAAATAATTACAAGTCACCTTTTGCTAGTTTGATGAACCGATGGTAAATGAAGTATGAAACTGAGGCTCTGTGGTTGCTCATTATGAGAAAGAGTGCAGTTTGGTAACATTCCTGCTCTGGGATGTCCACCTCTGACATACATTCAGCTCTTGACCACCCTTCATTTCTTCAGAGAGAATAGAATGTTCAGGTTGTAGTATTTTATAATTTAAGGTAGCTCTTCATGCTTATGATTACTTTATTGCTGACAGATACACACAGTAGGGAGTATACACTGAGCTAGGCCTCCTTGGAAAAAATGCAGAGTAATTTTAAATACCTTAAGTTGTGACCTGATGAAACATCTGTCTTGTTAGCATCATGATTCTTCCAGTGATACTGTCTGTTTGTGACTCGTAGAATGTTAATCATGGTCCCTGTAGCTTTGAAGTCATGGGTTCTCAAAGGGACAGTGGGGAGGTCCCTGGTGGCCACAAGCAGACTGTGCCATCCTCCAATAAAGACCGGCACACAAGGGTCCTGACAGTCACCCACACACACAGCTAGATGAGAAGGATGTGGTAATTCTTCTTCATAGAGAGCAGAAGAGTTCTGATGGATAGAAGGAGCTGTGTGCCCCACTGGTAGCCCCACTGTGTTAAGACATCTAGTGGAAGGCCTGTGGCCTGGTGGAGGCTTTATAAAGGACTGGAAGCAGGCTCACCTGGCACACAACTGTGCCACTTAAAGGGGTACCACCGATTCCTTGATGCAGATGTGAGGCAGTGAGAAATACAGAGTGATGGAAAACCTAGGGGAAACAAGAAAGCCGTGCTTGTTGGTTCCTGGGATGCTTCCTGCCCAGTTTCTTCTGCAGCACCTCAGTGGGTCCCAGGCCCGGTGTTTCAGAGTCCTTATTCACTGTGGATTTTGAGTCTTTCTCTTCCCAGAACCAGAGCAGGGACTTCCTAATATCTCAAGTGTGACAGCCTTGGTAGGGACAGACTGTGTGATGAATGGGCCTTTTAGATTTCCTCTGGGCATTATTTCGTTCTGATCGATGTGTGTTGTAATCACTGTTGTTTTTTCCACATTTTTCAGTCTGGGAAGGTAGTAGTGTTTGGGATCTTCCTCTTGACCCTGCGGCTCAGGGACCAGCTCTTGAACAGCTTCAGCAGCTGGAGAAGGCTAAAGCTGCCAAGGTCAGAGACTCATTCTTCTTAGAGTATCCACATTACGCTTCCTTTGCTTCATTCCACAAACAAGACCAAACATACCCAAACACTTCCCACCCAAAAGCAGAAAGACCCCTGGTAGAATTAGAGTAAACATGATTAGTTTTTGAAGAGACCTCGGTGAAATTTGGTGTCTCTCACTTTGCAAATATAATAAATTGTTCGTGCTGGGGGTGGGGGGGTGGGGGAAGCGTTGCCATAACCATTTGTACTCCAAAGACTTACTTTCACTCTAGAGTACAAAGGGCCTCCATTTTTTAATAGTTTTCTGTGTACTTTATCTGTAAAGATTATGGTGTTTTTGACTTAATAATGGGATCTTGGGCATGCTCAAAATAGTGGGGTTTGAAGGTTTGATATTATGGTAGTAATTTGCCAGAAGCTGGGTTTCCCTCTGTAAATCAGAAACTCTTTCTGGTTTCCGTTTCTCCATTAACTCTGTGCTATCTTTGTCAGGGTTCACAGCTTAGCTTGACCCATCCTCCAAAGTTCTCAAACTGTGATCATTGTCCAGCTCCTTACAGAATCGCAGAAGAGAACTTCAGAGTCGGAAGGTGCCTCCACAATCCCCTAGTGCCAGCCAGGCCTGGCCCAGAACCTCCTCCATATGTGCCTGACAGGTGGCAGTCATCCATCCTCTGTTGGAATGCCTCTGGGCCTCCTGGGATAGCCCCATTCGTTCCACTCTTAGATTGCTGTCATTGTGGGCAAGTTTGCTCTTGTTAGGTGTCTAAATATGACTGGCCGCTGGCCACTGAGCATGTTGCTATTGAAGTTGTAAGATGGGGCACGTGTCAGGGACACACATCTTAGTTGTCCTCTGTGGCTAGTCATTCCTTTGTGGCATCTAGAAAAGTATCATGTAGAAGCTCTTTTGCCTCTAGATTGCAATGGAAGTGATTGTTACTGTAATGGTCAGTGGATGAAGGAATTGTGGGGAAGTACAAATGGGAAGTAAAGATTGAGTTTTCATTTATGGTTCCAAAAGGAGCTAATCAGAATTCTGACCAAGGGTGTCTGGGGACAGATGACAGAATGCACGCGTTCTTGGCCCAGTTCTTCACGGTCTCTCTATGTGGTTTGTGCACAGCTAGAGCAGGAGCGTAGAGAGGTGGAGATGAGGGCCAAGCGAGAAGAGGAGGAGAGGAAGAGGCAGGAGGAGCTCCGCAGGCAGCAGGAGGAGATCCTTCGGAGGCAGCAGGAGGAGGAGAGGAAGCGGCGGGAAGAGGAGGAGTTGGCCCGAAGGAAGCAGGTGAGAGGCTGCCGTCTGAGCACTCGAGGGACGCGCCGAATGCATTGATTTCCCTTGTATCTGAAAACTGAGACTTATTAATTAATCTGATGAGAAGGAGACACGTTCCATTTTATTGGTAGATGAGAGGGTTTTTTTGACCCAAGTTTTAGAGTTTATTCTGAATTATCTTCTTATGTTGGTGTAGCTTTGTAATACTTTCTCGGAAATGAGGAATTGTGCCCAAAAAGTTATTTGAATAAGCTTGGACTACAAGCTGTCTGATCTTTATCAGTAGCTCAGTGGGCCTGGCACATAGTAGGTGGTTAGTAAGTGTTTATTGATTGGCTGATTATTCCATTGTTACATCTTTTTCTCAGGATAGATGAGAGGAATAAATGGAGTGATGACCAGAAAGAACATGATTTATGAATTGAGTAGATAACTGTCCACTACTCTTACAATCGAGGGATCATCTATTAGAAACTCAGTAGCTGTTTAAATTAAATGAGAATTTCTGAACTATCAATATACCATGTAGATAAGCTTGTATCCTTTGTACTTGTATGTCTTTTTAAAGCTAATTTTTGCTTTGTGTTAGGTGGAAAATTGTTTTTTTATTGTACTTAAGAGTTAGACGTACAAAAACATTTTATATAACTAATTTTTACTGTTGGTTTGGTTTAGTTTTGTTTGAAAAAAAGTAGCTGGCAATCATATTAGTTACATTAGGGTTGTTCAAAGAGCTTTATAAATATGATCTCATTTGTTATATTAGGAATCTGAATTTCATTTTTTTTAATTCAGAAGAAGAAACTTAATACAACAATACATATTCCTGCTATTCAACAAATATTTATTAAATGTTTGTGTGCTGGAAAGATGACAAAATATGTATAAGACATGGTCCCTTCTTCCATGAACTCATAATCAGGAAGGGGGATAATGTACAAACCTGGATAAATATCCTTCCTGCATGTGATTAAGTAATCAGTGGAATAGAACAAAGTGCTGTGGTGTCAAGGAAAGCTTCCTGGAGGAGGTGGCATTTAAGTTGGGCCGATTTAGCCAAGGGATGCATGGCATTGTAGTGGGTGAAGAATGGTCCGAAGAGGACATTCTGGGCAGAATGAATAAAGACAAGAAGCTGGGGGAACATAGCTCAGTTTAGTATGGTCATGAGTAATTCATTTGGCTTGTTTGTAGACTGCAGGTCGAGATTATGGCCAGCTGAATGAATAGGGAGAGCATCTTGGCAGTCTCTGGAGGACTTTTCCTTTTAGCCTTCTAACACACACACACACGCACGCACCAGTAGTTATTTCTTACTTGTCAACTTTCTGTCCTAAAGTAAAGTCATCCTGTCTCATAAATTCAGCTACTGATTTCATGCTACTGGTAGGTTCATAGCATTGCCACAGATTTAGCCATCACACTCCCTGCCTAGTCTCACCTATCTTTTCCCGAACTCTTCACCAACGGCTGCCAGCCGATTCCATTTGTGACTGTTAGAACTTTCTTCTTTATCTGCATCCTTGAAGCTTCTGTTCTGTGGTCTGAGTTGGAGTTTCTAGAGCCACACGGGATAACTCACCCATTACATGTGAGCTCTTGAGATGCTGGAAAGCAGCCAGTCCTTTGCAGGCTTCACTATCCCCTGTCCTGCACTCTTCTTCATATAACATGATTTCTAGTCCTTTCATGGTCCTGATCATCGTCTTAGACATATTTCAGTTTGGGAGGGCCCCTCTAAACATATGGTCCTCACAAGGGAACAAGCTCTAGATGGTTTTCAGAGAGCATAGCATGGTCCTTTCTTGCCTCCCTTTTCTGGGGTCTATGACTGGCATTACCTTTTTGACATCTGCTCCAGCCTGTTGGCTCATGTTGACCTTGCAGTCCGTGAAAACTGCCAGGCCGTGCTTTCTAGTCCTAATTATGCTGCTTCTACAAGGCTTTCCCCTGGTGATCCAGCCCACATGACGTCCCCCTTTCTGCAGCACTTCATTCTGTTCTTTGGAACATATGGTCACTCATAACACAACCTCACATTTTTCATGATCTATTCTGTGCCTTTTTTTCCAACCCGAAAGTAAGCAGTGCAGGGACTCTTCTTGTACTTGTCTCTTGCCTTCAGTACCTAGCACTGTCCTCTGCATGTTAGAAGAGTTCACTAAATACTTGCTAAATGTTCATTGTCGTCTTCCCCCTTCTTCCTACGGTTCCCTTGTTATGTTTATTTTTTGCCCCTTACCCACCATCTCAGTTGTCAGCGCCCTCTGTAGTTCTACGGTCACTGACTCTCGTCTGTATGTCTGTCTCAGAGCCATCTCTGAATTAAGTCCTTTTCAGTTAGATCACCAGAATTTTCTTCTAGATGTCTCACAGAGACTAATCAGTCAACGTGTGTTTATTAAACGACCCCCTTTGATGGACCAGGAGCTCTGCTGAGTGCCTCTAAAAGAAAACAATGCCTATTTCACATTCTGTCAGGGGAGATCTTGGGGGTGGGGAGTGTGTGTTTGTGTTCAGTAAATAAACTCCAATGAATATAAAACTGTTGAAATACAAGGTTATTAGGGAGGCTGGACACTAGCACTTGACAGAATTGGGCTCCTGTAGAGGGTGGCACATGAGATACATTTTGAAGGAAGTTAGCAGTTCTTTGACATGGCAGTGAGGAGGAAATGTATTCGGGGCATGGGTGGGTGAGGAGGGGGACGGGGGAGACAAGCCATGTAGAGGCACTGGGAATGGGAGATGAAGTGAGAAACACACATAAGCCCAGTTTGGTTGGACAGTGTAGTGTACAACGTGTGATGGTGCTGGAGAGAGAGGCTGGGACCAGGCTTTTAGGGGCTTTAAAACCCAGACAGCAGTTTACATCTGACTCTAGAGACATTAGGCAACCACTGGAGAGTATTATTAGGAGGGAAGTGACAGGGGTCAGACTTGCTTTTAAGAAAAGTGACTGGCTGCTGTGGACAATGAGAATAGTTAGGCCACGGCCACAGTCCAGGCAGAGAGATCAGGACCTGAGCTCAGGTGGTAGCTGTGTGAATAGGGAGTAGGGCCAGGACATGAGAGAGGCTGTTGATGTAGAAACTGAAGGGTTTGACAACTGATGAAAGCAAGTTAGAAATCAAGAAACTGAGGTTATAAATCCGGGAGAGGAGAAGGATGCAGGCGTCTTGGACAGAAAGAGGCCTCTTTGGTAGAGAGGGATGTTTGGGGGGAAAGATAATGATTTCTGCTTTGGACATACTGAGTGTGAGCTATCTCTGGGCTGTGCTTGTTGAAATGTCCAGTAGGCAATTGATGATGTGGGCCTGGAGCTCAGGAGAGATACTATGGTTGGATATGGTCATTGGCATAGAGGTGCTAATTGAAGAGAGGAGGGCTGAGGCAGAGCCTTGGGTTAGGGGTTAGGGGTTAGGGGATGGGATACGGATAAGAAACCAGCAGTCAACTGACTAGGAGCCCTTGGCAGAAGAGGATTGAAGGAGAACAGTGCTGCAAAACCCAGAGAGAGGGGAGAGCATTTGGGGGTACAGAGAGGCTGTTTAGTAGCATTACGCACATCAGAGAGGTCAAGAAAGTTGAGGCCTAAGAAAGACCACCTGATTTGTCGAGCGAAAGACTGTTGGTCCCTCTGGGCCGAGCACCTTCAGTTGAGTGACGAAGTCAGAAGCCACACTGCAAAGAGTTGATGCCAGGAATGATGTGTGGTGGTGCCCTGGATGAGCGGCAGGAAGGACATCGACATTCTCTGCTAGGTGACGCCATTCGGTTTCTGCGTCACTTCGGGAGACTTACATTGCAACTTTGTGCAGATACCCTGGGCTGCTTATATTTAAAATGGGGGATTAGATATACTGGCTGCCACGGGCTTTAAGGGGCAGATCTAGGCTTGTCCAGTTTCTACTTGAGTAAATTTTGTGGTCCTTCTTCAGCTGTACTCTATATTTATCGGGGGGGAGCATTCTCCAGCGAGACTCATCATTCATTAAAGAAGTGTATAGATTTCTTCATATCCTTTTAACGCTAGTACAGATCATAGACTTCCTTGAACATCCTTTTGTCCTTCAGGAAGAAGCCCTCAGACGCCAGAGGGAACAAGAAATGGCCCTCCGGCGCCAGCGAGAGGAAGAGGAACGCCAGCAGCAAGAGGAAGCACTTAGAAGACTGGAGGAGAGGAGGAGAGAAGAGGAAGAGAGACGACAGCGGGAGGAGTTGTTACGGAAGCAGGTGTGTTTGTCAGTTCAGCAGAGTGGAAGCTGACTGGCAGCTAATTGCAGTCAGGATTCGTTAGGGTGCGGAGTAAGAACTGGAAGGACCCTCGTTCTACAGTTGAGGAAACTGAGGCCCAGCGAGGTGAGGCGACTTGTCCAAGCAGCAGAGCTAGGAATTGAGCCTCGGTTTCCGATGACGTGTTCGGGGCTCTTCGCCTGGCCTCACGCTTACCCCAGCACTTGGCACAGCTGTCATTCAGTCGTGTCTGACTCTTCGTGACCCTGTACGGGATGTTCTTGGCAAAGATTCAGAAGTGGTTTGCCGTTTCCTTCTGCAGTGGATTAAGGCAAACTGAGATTAAGGTGACTTGTCCAGGGTCTCACAGCTCGCAAGTGTCTGAGGCTGAATCTTAACTTAGTCTTCCTGACTCCAGGCCCAGCACTCTACCCACTGAGATACCTACCTGTTTCTATGCTTGGCTCATGTAGACACTTAATAGTTATTGACAGACTGATTCTGTGCCTCCTTTACTGCTAACGAAATTACCTTCCTTGAACCAAAATTTATTTTGACCAGCAAAATATACCCACATTTATTCCTTTTCTGTTATTGCTTAAGTATTATTTCTAGGATTATTTCCTGTGATAGGAATTTTTCAATGTAATTAACTTTTTAAATGTTTTGTTTATTTTTATCTTTAATTTATGGAATAAAATAAGCGTTTCCATAACATAGTGTAATTTTAGAAAAAGGTGAATTGTGCATAAAACTGCAAATCTCTTATGTACAACTTGCTATTTCTTTTAAATATATAATGGAGTTATTATTTAAATTTTTTTCCCTCCTCCCAACTTCATCCTAGAGATGGCTACCATTAGACATAAATGTGTGTGTGTGTGTGTGTGTGTGTGTGTGTGTGTGTGTGTGTAAAATCATTCTATACATACTTTTCTTTATCAGTTCTTTCTCTGGATGCAGATAGCATCTTCCTTCATGTGCCCTTTATAGTTAATTTCAGTATTTATAATAGTCGAAATGACTTAGTTGTTCAGAGTTGTTCTTAAAAACAATATTGCTGTTGCCATGTACAGTGTTCTCTTGGTTCTGTTCATTTTATTCTTCATTATTTCATGCAAGTCTTTCCCTGTTTTTCTAAGATCATCGAGCTCATCATTTCTTGTAGCACAGTAGTATTCCATCACAGTCATATACCACAACTTGTTCAGCCATTCCCCAGTTGATGGGCATCCCTGTAATTTCCAGTTCTTTGATACCACAAAGAGGGAGCTGCTCTAAATGTTTTATAACATATGGGTTCTTTTCGTTTTTCCTTAATCATCTTTGGAAGTAGACCTACTAGTGTTATTGTTGGGTCGAACGATATAGGCAGTTTAATAACTCATTGGGCATAATTACATATTGCTCTCTAAAATGGTTGGATCAGTTCACAGTTCCAACAATTAATGTGTCCCAATTTTTCCACATCCCCTCTAATATTTGTCGCTTTCCCCTTCAATTGTTTTAGTCAGTCTTATAGATGTAAAATGGTATCTCAAGGTTGGTCCAAGTTGCATTTCTCTAATCAGTAATGATTTAGAGCATTTTTTCATATGACTATAAATTGTTTTGCTTTCTTCATTGGAAAGCTGCCTGTCCATATCCTTTGACTATTTATCAATTGAAGAATGACTTGTATTATAGATTTGAAAAAGTTCTTTATGTATTTTAGGTATGAAACGTTATCTGATAAATTGTCTAAAACTTCTCCCCCTCAATTTTCTACTTCTAATCTTGGCTACATTTGTTTTATTTATACAGAAACTTTTTTTAATTTAATATAATCAAAATTATCCATCTTATACCTAACTCTGCTGTCTGTCTCTTGTTTATTCCCAAATTGTTTACCTATCTATAAACCTGTTAAATAATATGTTCCGTGTTCTTCTAATTTCCTTGTAATATCTTTATATCTCGATCATGTATCCATTTCGATCTTGGCAAATGGTGTAAGATACTGGTCTATGCCCAGTTTCTGCCATACTGCTTTCCAGTTTTTCCAACAATTTTTACCAAATAATGAATTCTTTATCCCTAAAACTTAAGTCAGATACAAGGTTACTATGTTTATTTGGTGCTGTAAATTGTGTATCTGCCTCCACTGATCTCCCTTTGTATTCTTAGCCAGTACCAGATAGTTTTGGTAATTACTGCCTTATAATACAATTTAAGATCTGGTACTACTAAAACTCCTTCCTTACTTTAAAATTTTTTTTCATTAGTTCTTTTGATATTCTTGACTTTTTGTTCTTCCAGATGAATCTTACTACTTTTTCTGATTCAGTAAAATAATTTTTTGGTAATTTAATTGGGAATGGCATTGAATATATAAATTAGTGTAGGTAAAATTAACTTTTAGAATCATAAAATCACTTCTTTAGTGCAATCAACAGCATTATCTAGGTGCTGATAAATTTGAATTGTGAGTCATTGTATGCTTTCAGCTCTGCAATGTGAGGCCCTAGGGTAGACCTTCCACTGACTGACTTGACTGCCTGATGTTGTTTGCATTACTTAAATTATTTGGAAAATGTAGTGCCTGGACTTGCATGGCCTTTACAAGCCCTTCCAGGTATGTGATTCTGTATGGAGTCATTTTTCTGTAAGACTGCAATCAGATGTATGGATTGAATAGTATGAAGAGAGGGTGAAAGAGGAAGTGCTTAGAGTGAGTTCAAGACTGATGCTGGTTCAACAGGTTGATGACTTATCAGGTGAAGAGACATACTGATGCCTTCACTAGACACGGCCTTTTGAAACTGAATTTCTTTCAGGAATAAATGCCTCTTACGTGCCTAAGTTAAGCTGGCAATGAGTTGTTTCTTATTTTGAATGACCCTGGAATACTTTATAGTAGCTTTATAGTAGTTATGTTTGAGATGGAACATGTTTTTGACAACATGTGCCTCTTAAAAGTGACCCAGATGTTTTCAGTGCTCTCATGCCTCTGTCTCTCTTTATGGGAAGGAAGAGGAGGCCGCCAGGTGGGCCAGGGAAGAAGAGGAAGCCCAGCGTCGGCTTGAGGAGAACCGACTGCGGGTGGAAGAGGAGGCGGCCAGGCTTCGGCACGAGGAGGAGGAACGGAAACGCAAGGAGCTGGAGCTCCAGCGGCAGAAGGAGCTGATGAGGCAGAGGCAGCAGCAGCAGGAGGCCTTGCGGCGCCTTCAGCAGCAGCAGCAGCAGCAGCAGCTTGCCCAAATGAAGGTGAGCTGACCTTCCCCCAAGGAGATGAGGCCACGGTTATGTCTTTGCCGCCAAAGAGCTTCCAGTTTGGAGGGGCAAGTAGGAGGAAGGATTTCCTTCTCCAGAGGAATATGACAGAATAGCAATGCTGGGTCCTTGGAGCTGCAGGGGTAGGAGCAGGACAGAGAGGAATAGTCATGGCGATTTTCGGGACCTGTGCGTAGACTGTATAGGTTGGAGGGAGCTTTCTTTTAAGGGAGTAGTGGAAGAATTACAGAAGCAGATAAGGGTCAAATCATGAAGGGCCTTGGATGCCAGATAAAGAACGTGCGCATTGTCCTGTTGACGTTGGGAACCCATTGAAAACTTTGGAGTAGGGTGATGAGGCATACAAAGGACTTTTCAGTGTCTTGTATCTGACACATAATGCCCGAGATGGTCTGGACAAGGGTAAGATGTGCCAGGGAGAATAGTTAGTCTTCCACTAAGCTTGTGGTGGTGACCTGATGGAGGATTATGGCACCGAGAATGAAAGGGAAAGGATTGCAGCAGAAGACAGTACAATTGGATGTGTAGGGGCGAAGGGAAAGGTCAGGGAGGATGGGCTTTCTTCCCCACCCCCCGGGTTGACAAGGAGAATGATTGTATCATTGATTTGGAAGGAAAGGTGCTGAGACTGTGGTTGATTTTAGCAGACATACAGAGATTTGGGGTTGAAGTTCAAGAGAATATTCAAGGTTACAGATATCAAATTCTGGATTCATCTCTTTTATAGAGGTGGGCATTGAAATGAGTAAGATAAGTTCTCCAGGGGGAGGAGGGAGAATTGGGGCCCTTTGGGAAGAAAAGTTGCTTTCTTCCAAAGAAGCCAAAGTATCTTTTAAAAACAGTGTTTTTATCCATGATAAAGTGGTATGTGTCATTTTCTCGATAGGGAAAAGGAAGAGAAGTGGAAGGAATTGGATGATGTGAGAAATGAGTGGAGGAGTATAAAGGGGAAAGTTTGAAGGCTTTGAACAAAGGGACATGTTTAGAAAAGAGTGTAAGGCCGGTGGTACGTGTACAGACTTGAACGCGATGTTAAACATGTGAAAAGTGGAAGATTGCTTCGAGGCCCTGGAGTTGACTCCCACAGGCCTTTTTTCTGATGAGGAGAAGTGCCTTATACATGTTGTTGTGACAGGTGAGATGGTGAAAATGGAGTATAGTTTTGCCTTGTTGGCGGTGGCCAGATACACTCACACATTTTTCCTTAAGCTTTTGAAAAGAAAATTAACAAAAGTGCATGATTGAATGCCTCATGTTAGTAGCATCACAATATAGTAGGAAAAGTATTTTCATGGTACTCACACAGGTCCTGCTTCCAGTCCCAGATTCAGACTTCGTAGTTGTGTAACCATAGAAGAGTCACTTAACTTATTTTACCCTTCATTTTCTCACTTTTAAAATGGGTGTAATAGTACTTTAGCTGCTTAAATTGAATTATTTTGGAACTATTTTGCAAACAGAAAGGCACCATGTCAGTGTGTGCTGCTGTTACTACTGTTATGTGAGCCTCACTTTCCATGTGTATATTATGAGTAATGTGTTCACAGCTATCTCACAGGCTGTTGGCAGAAAATCTCTTTTTAAATATTAAAGCATTATAATTCTAGATGTTTGTCATGTTACTACTTTTTTCTGCTTTGAAAAATCAGAATCAGCATTGACTTCTCAGTAGAATACGCTTTGTTCTCCTCAGGGAAAAACAGGATTAAATCTAAATGGCTAGATTGTTGAGAGTAGTAATAGATCAAAGAATAGGTGTTCACGTGGCTATATATCATTTTAGGATGGAAATAGTGGGTAAAAGGTATAGACAGAAGGAAATCAGTTTGCAACTCTCAATACACAACTCATTGCTTCTTATTCAGAATTTCAGCCTGACTCGTTGAAAATCTAGCAGTCAATTAACAAGTATTTATTAAGACTCTACTACCATACTGGACTCTGGGCTACCAAGCCTAAAGTGACATATTTCCTGCCCACACGGAGCTTCCATCCTCTGGGGTCCTTTTCTTTCTTGTCAGGACTGGTGCAGAGAAGCCTTCTCCAAGACCCTTTGGCGGTCTCAGCTGCCTAAGCAGCCTGTTTTTGATTTTACAACAATTGAATAGAATAAAAACGCTTGGAGGACTTGCACCTCACCCCAGATAGGTGAGGAAAGAGAAGCACAATAGAAAGGAACCATCCAGCTGCTTTAAAAATTGAGTTCAGATCTGTAAATCTAGAGAAAAATGAGCTTGATTGTGATTGGCTGCATGGTTTCTATGAAGGTTTATGCAGATTTATCAAAGGAGGCAGTGCCACACAGACCCTTTAGGAGCCCTCCAAGAACAAATCTTCATAAACCATCATATAAACCAAGCAGCCAATCACAATCAAGCTCATTTTTCTCTAGATTTACAGATCTGAACTCAATTTTTAAAGCAGCTGGATGGTTCCGTTCTATTGTGCTTCTCTTTCCTCACCTATCTGGGGTGAGGTGCAAGTCCTCCAAGCCTTTTTATTCTATCCATTTAAGTGAAGATGGAAAAGATGGAAGAAAAGGGATAATGTAGCCTTGCTGCCTCTCACCCTTCCTCATTACACCAGAAGCCCTCCAAGAACAAATCAGGCAGGGGCAGCTAGGTGGCACAGTGGATAGAGCACTGGCCCTGAAGTCAGGAGAGACTTGAGTTCAAATCCGGCCTCAGACCAAATACTTGACACTTCCTAGCTGTGTGACCGTAGGCAGGTCATTTAAACCCAATTGCCTAAAAAACAAAAACAAAACTCTAACCTCTTTTTTTTTTTTGTTAGAGTTTATAACTGGCAAGGCATGGAAATACTCTACCCAGTGTTTACAGACTGTAGCAAGGTGTTGTATAAATGCCTTTTTGGACGCCATCAAGAAATGGGGACTGGATGATCATGCAGCTAGGTAGATTAAAAGGAGAGGCAGGCAACTGGATCCCAGGAGTCTGGATTGCTTTTAGCCCAAAGGCAGGTCTCTGACCAAGTGATTTCTCCCTTTTAGGCTCAGTTTACTAGTCTGTAAATTTGGGGTGGGGGGCTGGATTAGATGACTGTTAAGGTCCCTTTCGTTTCTAATATTCTGTGACCCCAATGGCCTGCCATTTGGGCCTCTCTACTTAACTCTGTCTTTTTGATCATTTTTTTCAGTGATCTAGATAGAGGCATATTGCTTGTGAAAGCTGGAGATGACACAAAGCCAGGATAGAAATAATATGGAATACTGAGAAAAAACAAAGTCCTGTACTTAAGTTTAAAAAATAACTCCTGTACTTAAGTTTGAAATTAAGTTTAAAATAATATCAAGGAGACTTACCTTGATAACATTTCTAGCATTTCATGGCTAGAAAGGCTAATGAGCTCTGAAGGCAGATTGAACCAAGTTGAAAAATGATGGCAAAAAAATCTTCATTTTGATTTCTAATAAGAAATGAGATGTCTAGACAAAGGGAGACATTAGCCCTATAGTGTTTGTACCTTTGGAAGATTATGTGATAAGTTGGGCTGTGTTTCATAGGAAGGCAGTTGTGATGGCATGAGAAACTAGAAATCATGTGATGTGAAGAAGAATTTTAGGAGCTGGTACCTGAAGAATGTAAGAATGTTGTGTTCAAATAGCGGAGACTCCTGGCAAAGAGACTCCAGAGGACAGGATTAGGACCAGCAAATAGAAATGTATTTACATTGAAATCTTAACTAAGAATCAGAAAAGTTTCTGATAATTAAAATGCCTCAAAAAATGAAGTAGATTTCTTTGTGAAATAATGAGCGCTTCATCACTTCTGGGAGGGAGGAAAGGCTGGGGGACAACATCAGAATGATTGAGAAGAGATTCTGTCATGACATGAGAGGTTGCGCTGCCAGTTCAGATGCTGTTTTCAGTCAGCATAGGGCATGAAGTAGATATGGCAAGATGCCTGTGTTGAACGTTCTGAGTCTTGATGTCTCGTTATCCTGTCTTAAGTGCTCTCGTTTTATTTTTACTCAGCTGCCGTCTTCTTCCACATGGGGCCAGCAGTCTAATTCTGGGGCCTGTCAGTCTCAGACAACACTATCATTAGCAGAAATCCAAAAGCTAGAAGAAGAAAGAGAGCGGCAGGTTCGAGAAGAGGTAAGTCCTCCAAATGGAAAGGGTGTATCGGTCAGCCAGCTATTGTGCTCTGTGCTGGCAGAGCTCTAGCATTGTCACAGTTGGCCCAGCACAGAATCTGGGGGGCTCAAAGTGTTACATAATTTCAAAATGTCTCCTTGATTGGTTGTAGGTTCATGTCATCTAGATTTACAGTCTGTACATCCAGGTATGGTGTAGCCTGCACATAGTGCCCCAGGCTGTTTTCTGCACTATTAATGTATAATTTGGGTACCAGAGGGCTCTTCTAGGCATTTGGGATTTGTCTGTTTGGACCTTGAGAGACATTTGCCTGTAAAACCAGTGTCCTTAGTGTCTCTGGCTACCCCACAAAAATCCATTTTACCTCAAGAGTGGCAGAACTGTAGTCTTTAATTATGGCATTATAGAACCTAGCATAGTATATATTACTTACATGAGAAGGTGTATACAGAGCGATCCAACTTGGGATGCTGAGAACAGCTTGTACAAAAGGAAGCTAGGATTCCTCCCCTCCAGAAGGGGATGGGCTGGCTGATGGTGCTCATGAGGTGTCCTGGAGACGTAGGTTGTGGTGGAGTAATCATTCCAGACCATGTCTTATCTTGGGCTCCTGGGGGGCAGTCCAAGAAGGGAGAAGTGCAGTTGAGAACCTGTTTATGCCCCTGAATGTGGATTATGTTGGGGGGGGGGAGGGGCAGGAGGTGGGACCTGTCCAGGCAGAGACGCCTGTCACCCAAGCCAGCTGAGGGCCAAGCTGTAGCACAGTTTGGAGAATGGCCTGCATCCCCGAGAGGTCAGACCGCTTCCAGGGTCTTCTGTCTACAAAAAAGCCTTTCCTCTATGCCAGCCCTCCCCTTGGCAGCTCTGGTGCTCACATCCTAATAGCACATTGTGACGTCCTCTCGTCTCTCAGCTGTCCCATGCCTAGCTCTCGGTTGAGACCACAGGGGGCATCGTTTTTCTCATTGAGATGACTGAGCTTCCTCTGGAATCCTGCTTCTTTAGGATGTTCATAGCCTTCTCGATCGAGGGTTAGAGGAGACCTCGGGCCATCGAGGCCAGTTTCCTCATTTCACAGAGGAGAATCGATGGAAGCCCAAGGGGAGTGATTGAGTTGCCATGGGGACTTGACTCTTTGGGCTCCAGAGTCCAAACTTGTGTCCTCAAGATTACAGCATTTTTGGACTTGTGTAGATGGGAATTTTATTTAGTGCCATCGTTTTCTAGTTCCCATCAGACTACAAGAAACTTGAAGGGTCAGAGAATCCATGTACAAAGAGGGATAGTGCCCTGTCAGTCTCCTTTTAGGGAAGATAGAAACATATGCCTGCATTTGCCCCCCTTCACAAAAAAGTCCACTTTTCAGGACAGGATCCTAGCATCCAAAATTGAAATTGGAAGGGACTGTACAAGTCATCTGGTCTAAACTCCTGGTTTCATAGATGAGGAAACTGAGGCCCTTGTATGGGCCAAGTGACTTGCCTGAGTTCACACAGGTGGTTTTGTTTTTGGTTTTTGGTGAGGCAGTTGGGGTTAAGTGACTTGCCCAGGGTCACACAGCTAGTGAGTGTTATATATCTGAGGCCGAATTTGAACTCAGGTCCTCCTGACTCCAGTCTGGTGCTCTATCCACTGTGGTCCAGTTCACACAGGTAGTGACATTGGGACTAGCTTCTCTAAACCCTGGGGTTTAATAAAGGTTGCTTTAGGGGCACAAATACTGCAGATGCAGTGATACCATAGCTCATCTCATCAATGTGTATTCCTGTCACCTACACAATTGACAAAAATGTCTATCTTGCTACAGAATTTGTGATTAGAAACAAAAAAGCTATGTGTGCATCAAGGGAAAGCCTTTTAAAAAAAGAACTTTTTTTTTTTTACACCTTCAATTTACATTTTTAAAAATGATAACATTTTTAAGGTATGTTGCTAATAAATGCCAAACCTTTACCTTCCCATATCATTTCTAAAAATCTTTGCAATAGAAAGACCTTGATGCACCTGATATCTTGGCAGTATCAACCATCTATGGTTCCTATATGCTGAAGAGAGACAACAGGGTACCTGAGTTTGGACACCAGCTCTCTAACTCCAGAGCCAGCACTTTCCCCTTCATACCAAAGGGAACTAAGCCTTTATATGTGTCTCTTACCACATGCAAGGCGTTGGCCAGAAGCCTTATAAAGTCTGTTCAGTAGTGTCTGTCTCTTCGTGACCCTGTTTGGCATTTTTGTTGTTATTGTTTGTTTATTTTTTTCACAAAGATCTTGCAATGGTTTGCCATTTTCTTCTCCAATTCATTTTACAGATGAGGAAACTGAGGCAAACAGGCTTAAATGACTTAAGATTCATACAGCTAGTGAGTGTCTGAGTTCAGATTTGAACTTGTGAAGATGTATTCCTGCCCCCAGGCCCAGCGCTCTATCCACTGTACCACCTAGCTGCCCCTCTTTTCTCATTAGGCTGCCCATATCTGTCTAAACTAGAGATTGAAATGTAGGATGTGTTTAGGGAAGCCTAGTACCTCTGGTGTGAGGGCTGCCAAGGGCTTTTCAGTTCCGCTTTCTACCTTTGGTGTCCACCTGATTCACCCAACTCTCACCTGTGACTCCAAGAAGCTGTAACATGCGCAGTGGCCACACCTTGGTAAACCATTTTGGCAGATGGGCTGAACCAGGTTGAGGGTAACCAAGGGCTATCAAACCGTTTGGTGAGTTATGGGAGTGTCTGCCCCAAGCATGTGAAGCCTTGCCCAGCAGAATGGGCAGTTGAGAACAGTTTGTTCCGATGGCTGAAGCAGGTGCCGTGGAGCACTGTGAGCTTGGCTGACATGCAGGTCATCTACTGCATCCCGAGCCATCCCCAGTCATCTTGATTTTGTCTCACCGCTGGACTTGGATGACTCTGGAAGAGAGAGTGAGGCCGATAATTTCACACAACTCTGTCTCACTTAAGTACATTTACGCATGAATCAAAAGATATCTCCTAAACCATTTTAACATTTTTACCTATCGCAAAGTCCTATGGTAACAGGCGAGTGACGAAGCAGCAGGTGAGAATGCACTGGGAGCTGTAGTCACAACCCTATATACGGCCCAGGCAATAGAGTTATTTTTTCACTGTATTGAAGTAGCAGTGGGATTCAGCAGCTCCTTGGGTGTCTGAGCACCCTTTTTGGCGGGAGGAAGGGGCTTAAAAAGGTGCCCTAAAAATTGTCTGCTTTACTTAGCCCTGGCTTGCTTGCTGTGGTAGGCAGAGACCCCACTCTGTGATTGAAACACAAAAAAAATGTACAAAAACTTGCAAAGATGATCTCGCTCACCATTGGTACAACAAATGTGCGCACACTTATGGACAAGGTGAAATTCAGTAGGCCTGAGAGTTGAACAACTCTTATTACTAAAGAACTCATCCAAATGGTAGCCCTGAGTGAAACGAGGCTGGCAAATGAAGGCCAGGTTACCAAAGTCAGAGCTGGTTGCGCGTTTTTCTGGAGTGGCCCCAGTGACAGGGAGCACCAGGAGGCTCGCGTGGGTTTTACAATCAAAACTAATCTAATCAGCAAGCTTGTGTGCCTCCCAAAAGAAGTGAATGACAGTCTTGCAACAATGTGATTGCCACTTGCAGGAAAGAACCGTGATATCATTAGTGCCTATGCTCCCACCATGACCAACCCTGATGAAGTCAAAGAAAAATTTTACGATGACCTGAAGACTCCCATCAACAAACAATGTGCCAAAAGAGGACAGGCTTATAATTCTAGGTGACTTGTTCTTTTGTTTTGTTTTGTTTTTTGTTTTGTTTTCTTTTTTTTAGGCAACTGGGGTTAAGTGACTTGCCCAGGGTCACACAGCTGGTAAGTGTCAAGTGTTTGGTCTAAGGCCAGATTTGAACTCGGGTCTTCTTGACTTCAGGGCTGGTGCTCTATCCACTGTGCCACCTAGCTGCCCCTCTAGTGGACTTTAGTGCAAGATTTGGCGCAGACTACCAGACTTGGCAGGGAGGCCTTGGGAGGAATGAAGTTGGAAACAGCAACAGCAGTGGTTACTTACTACTGAAGACTTATGCATCTCATGACCTTCTCATCACCCAAACTACCTTCTGTTTACCCAGTTGCAATAAAAATTTGGTTTTATGTTGGTAGTAATAATCAATGAGCTTTTGTGATGCCCTGAAGGCTATTTATGGGCCAAAGACGAATGGTGCATCTCAGCTATTTGCTGCTGATAGAGTCTCCACGCTAATTAGTGATAAGGACGTGATCCTGCAGAGATAGGCTAAACACTTAATGTTCTCAACAGACCATCATCAATCAATGCTGAAACCACTGACTGTATATCTCACGTTGGAATCATTTCCTTTCTAACCAAATTTCCAACTGAGAAAGAGGCTTTGAATGCCATTAGGCTGCTCTCATGTGGCAGAGGGCCTGGTACTGATTTTATTCCAGCTGAGATTTATACTGCTCATACAAAAGCTGACTGAAATTTTCTGGGTTACGAGGCAAGAGGAGGTTATCCCCAGTAGTTTAAGGGTTCCTCCATTTTCCATCTCTATAAAGGTAAAGGAAGTTGATTGTCCTGTTTCAGCGGAGGTGGGGAGGTCCCTTGTAGTCATTGCTGGCAAGATTCTGCCAAAGTCCTCCTTGATAGGCTGATCCTTCACCTGGAAGGTAGTCATCTACCTGAGCCACTGTGGCTTCAAAAAGGGCCAAGAAACACTCAATACAGTGTTTGCTGCCTGACAACTCCTGGAGAAATGCCAGGAGCAAAACAGAGGTTTGTACACAGTGTTCATGGATCTGACCAAGGCCTTAGATACTGCAGTTTTGAGGGCTTGTGGAAAATTATGTCAAAATTTGGTTGCCTGGAGTCCATGAGTATTGTACATCAGTTTCATGACGCCTTGCTTGCCTGGGTTCTGGACATACTTTCCCAGTCGCTAGTGGAGTGGAACAAGGCTGTGTGCTTGCTCCCGTGTTTTTTAGCATGACATTT